GCCCATTATATGCCAGACACTGTTCAAAGTGCTTGGGAGTACTGTAGTGAGGGATAGCAATTTAGATCCTATCCTCAAGGAGCTCCCATTCTGCTGGGGAAGACAGACAGTAAGTACTTGTACAGAGATGGAATCAGGTTCACTACCTGCCTCTGTGTACCATGAAGAAAAATAAAAGCTGGGTAAGTCCAATATGGAAAGATGGCAGTAAAGCTACTCTGGAAAAACCCTCCCAAAAATGTTGGAGCAGGGGCTGGGGATGTGGCTCAAGCGGTAGCACCCTCACCTGGCATGCACGGGGCACTAGGTTCAATCCTCAGCACCATATAAAAATAAAATAAAGATGTTGTGTCCACCGAAAACTGAAAAATAAATATTAAAAAATTCTCTCTCTCTCTCTCTCTCTCTCTCTCTCTCTCTCTATATATATATATATATATATATATATATATATATATATCCTCTCTCTCTCTCTCTCTAAAAAACAAAACAAAACAAAAAATCTTGGAGCAAAGACCTGAGTGAATTAGCTATGTGAATAGCAGAAAAGTACTGGGGGCTAGAGCAGTTTAAGGTGCTTTAAAGTTGCTAGTGTGGCTGGGGTGGAGTGGTGGGGAAGCATATAGGAAATGAGGTGTGAGAGAGAGAGCTAGAGGCTGGGTGATTTAGGGCCTTATAAATTTGGGTCAAGTATTTGAACTTACTGGAGATGGGAAGCCATTGAAGGATTTTTGAACAAAGAAATTATTTTATTTTTAATTTAAAAGTATCACTGCAGGGGCTAGGGTTGTGGCTCAGTGGAAAGGCATTTGCCTAGCATGTGTGAGGCATTGGATTCTATCCTCAGCACCACATAAAAATATAAATAAAGTCATTGTGTCCATCTAAAGTTAAAAAATATTAATTAAAAAAAAATATCACTGCAACCTGCCATGCCCAAGAAATGCTGTAGGGGGCAAAGCCTGCAGGAGAGAGAACACTTTGTCCAAGGGAGGGATGATAGTGGCTGGAACTCAGTGGTATGCTGGTGAATGTTTACAGGTTCTTTGAGAAGGGAAGGAAAGTCTGTGTAAGTACTCCCACAATGGTGATTTCGAGGCTATCAGTGTGCGATCACTGAATATGGGAAAAGCTGTGCACAGTCATATGAGCTGGTGTAAGGCAATGCTTGCATACCACTAATGGTACTTGGATGCATTTAGCTTGTGGCATTTGCAAGAGGTGTCCATTCTCTAGGGTGGGTGGAAGCTTTACTACATTTTGGGAAAGAGAGGGAGGGAAAAGATTATCAGAGGAGGAAGAGAGTCCATTTATAAAGTCCATTGTGTTAGTCTTGCAAAATAAACCTAGATGTTGGAGGCTTCACAGGAGCTCTGGACTCTCAGATCCTTTGAAAGTGGAGCTCAGCCCAAACCTCCCTGCAAACAGGAAGCTGGTTTGAGTTAAGAACATAAAATAAAAACCAGCTGATGCCCCTGAATGTTTTCCCCTACTCCTCCCTCTCTACAGAGCCAAAGGAAACTGCTTTTTTCCCCCTTGAATAACTTTAGAGAGCCAGAAAAAGCCAAAAACCATAACTCCTTTGAAAATAAGCCAAGTTTTGAGCCCAGGCAAACTCCTGCCTGTGAGGTTTTCCTAGTCTGGAATTATGTTCCACTGTGCAGAGTCTTAGAGGAAAATGACTGAAGAACACAAAGGTGTCAGTGACCCAAGTCTGGCAGAGAGAAATGGTCTGTATGTAGCAGGTTTCCCAAACTAGATCTTCCAGCCCATTGTAGGTCATGATATCAATAAAGTAGGTCATAACTAGAATTATTATTATCATTATTAATAGTAGTAGTAGTTGTTGTTGTCATTGTAAAGGGGATTGAACCCAGGGGCAATTTACAACTGAGCCACCTACCCAGCCCTTTTTACTTTTTGAGACAGGGTCTTGCTGAGTTTCTGAGGCTGACTTTGAACTCTTATGATCCTCTTGCCTCAGCCGCCTGAGCCACTAGAATTTACAGGCATGGGCTACCACACCAAGCCCCAGTTCTTTTTTATTTTTTTTAAGAAATTTTTAAATATTTTTAAGTTTTTGGTGGACACAACATCTTTGTTTTTATGTAGTGCTGAGGATCTAACCACATACAAATAAAGATGTTGAGGCGAGTGTGCTACTGCTTGAGCCACATCCCCAGCCCCTTTATTTTTTATTTTGAGACTGGGTCTCAACTAAGTTCCTTATGGCCTCGCTAAATTGCCAAATCTGGCCTCGAATTTGTGATCTTCCTGCCTCACTCTCTTGAGTACTGGGATTACAGGTGTGTGCCACCATACCTGTCCAGGTAATGAAATGAAATATACTAGAGTACATCACATGCAATAAAAATTTTGCGAAACTTTTTAGCTTTATGCTGAAAAAGTATATCCAGATATACATATATGTATACACTGGGATATAAAGTATGTTTCTTACTATGGGTCATGGTCAAAAAATTTGATAATCACTGGTCTTTTAGGGCCTGAGTAACCTACATCTCCTCCTGCTTTAGATTGCTGTTGAAAAGTACAAGCTAGTTTCACAGTTCTCTGAGGAACTGGATCATTTACCCACAAAACACCTACTCAAATTCCTATCAGAGGGAAGAGCATCTGAGAGCCAGCTGACTTGTTCTGATTCTTTGGGACCAACATTCAAACATAAGGAGGGAAGGAGTTGATGCTAATTTGAACCGAAAGGATTTGCCTTAAATCAGATTAGCTTGAATAGAATAGGAGTTATGTAGCCTTTTAGCTCACTGTACTTAATTTTGTGACTTCTGCCATCCATGTGGGTCATGCCTCAGTATCCTCTCTCTCCACTGTACAGGCAGTAGTTATAGCAGGAATGTTCCTGAGCACCCCTTCCTCTGGGGTAATTAAAGGTGTAGTGCTAAGATGAGTATCTTCCAGATTTCCCCAGGATGAATATGTACTCTCTAGCCAGTGTCAGTTAACTAGATGCCGGGGGTGGGGGGGTCATTAAGCTGAGAAAAGAGTAGAAAGAGGCATAAATTAGGGAAAACTGCCCAATGTGGTGGTTCATACTTGTAATCTCAGCTGTTTGGGCAGTTGAGGCAGGAGGATTGCAAGTTTGAGGCCAGCTGGGGCAATTTAGTAAGACCATGTATCAAAATAAAAAGTAAAAAGGCCAGGAAATGCAGTTCAGTGGTAGATTGCCCCTGGAGTCAATCCCTAATAAAAGAAAGAAGGTAAGGGAAAACTATTAAGAATGTCTAGGATAAGGTAAAGTTAGTCACTCTCTCATCAGATTTACTGAGTCAACTAGGCCAAGGGTAACTGACAAATTTGGTACTGGCCAGGTGGCTGTGGATGGTGCCTTATAACTAAACCACTTCTATCACTGTATAGATACAAGTTGGAGTTCTTGATCCATATCCCCCTGAAGTACAGAAGACTCTTGGGAACCTTTCTGAGGAAAAGGTTTCAGCTATATCATCCTGGGAAGTTTATGTTTGGTCTTTGACCAACACAGGGCATTTCTTTCCAGCCTAATTCAAACCAAAATGATCCTTGGAGATAACAAAGAGTACTTTCAGTTCTACTATTGGAATAGTAAGAGGAAACTATCCTGATTGATTCTGGGATTACCCTCTCTAGAAACTGGCCTGAACTGGGTGTCACAAGTATGAATACCTTTTAGGTGTTTCTGGTTCACATTGCTCCCCTGGGATTTCCAAGACTCCTCAGGTTCAGAGTTTTCATATCAGACTTTAGTGTAGCCTGTTTACATGGCTATTCTGCATTCAGAAGCTCAGAAGCTTTCTGAGTGAAGGGAGAGCAAGGACATCCCTAAAGAGGACTGGTGCAAGAAGTGCCTTCTGACAGTACTGGAAGAGACTGGACCTGGAGTAACCAGCAAACTATCCTGTAGCAGAGGGTGAGGTGGAGCAGTAAGCAAAAGCTTACAGGGCAGTCTGAACCTCATATGGCATCATCTAGCAGAGAGACCAGTGATGGGTTAATTTAAGTTTAGTCCATATGGGTCTTAGGGCTGCAGACAGCATGGGGTGATAATACTTATGATGAGAGTGATGAATGACTCGTGTGACCATGTCCTTTTAGAATCTCTGAGCACTTTGCATGTTTCCCTATCATCTCTGTGGGAGACGTGGCTTAAATAATAATAGAGTATCCTCAGCATCTATGCTTTACAAAACACAACATTAAGCCATGTTTCTGCCTCCTAGGCTCAAAGTCTGTATGAACTGGTAGACATTTGGGAGGTAGAGACCTCTGATGGGGAGGGGAAGAACATGATAGAATGTAGAGGTCAAGGATAGTTGATGGACCTGATGGTGCATACCTGTAACCCCAGCAACTTGGGAGGCTTAGGCAGGATGATTGCAAATTTGAGGCCAGCCTCAGCAACTTAGTGAGACCCTGTCTAAAAAAAAAAAAAAAAAAAAAACCAAACCTGGGGATGTAGCTCAGTGATGAAGTATCATTGGGTTCACTCCTTAGTACCCCCCCCCCAAAAAAAAAAGTTAAGGGATATTATGAGTCACCTAATCAATACCTAACATCCTTTTGGTTCTTAGTAGATCACAATGGCCTATCCTTCATGCCTGACAAGGCATGAAGATCAGTACCTTCCCTGAACTTTATATTACACATGGTTCCCTGAGTCTCATAGACCCAAAAGCCCAATCTAGGGACCCAAGGCCCTAGCTTGTAAATAGTGCCTTCCTGGATTGCTTATTGTTCTTTAGCCATGGATTGTGCTTTAACCTGTTGATTTTCTTTCCCACAGTACCTGTACATTGAATCTGGTTAAACACAGGTGATGCACACTGAAATTTTCCAATATTATCAAAAGTCCTTTGACCTAAACAGAGCTTGGAGAAATCATAGCTCCATTTTCTTGAAGATAAGGGCATCAGGAAAGCACTTCATCACCTCCGTCCTGAACCTACTCTGTCTATAACATGTCACTTTCTGTCTTGTTCTAACAGGTAACCTTGGAGAAGGTGTTGGGAATAACAGTGTCTGGAGGCAGAGGACTTGCCTGTGATCCCCGATCAGGCTTAGTTGCCTACCCAGCTGGGTAAGTGCCTTGGAAGAAGGGATCTTGTTGTTGCACGGGAGTTTATAGAAATGCTAGACCAGGTGGGGTGGGCTGGCATTTTCTGGTATCTTCTGGGAGATGTATCCAGGTTAATGTTTTAGTGCCATTTCTGTAACTAGGTAAAGGTCTTTATTGGGTATTGTCCTTATTGCTATCCTATCCTGCTTTTTGACCATCTGTCCCCATCTACCCATACAAATTTATACTTTATATTACGCATGGTTCCCAGCACCATCTTCAATAACTACCTTCTAGCCATTGTTAAAAACACCTTTATTGAGGGCTGGGGATATAGCTCAGTTGGTAGAGTGCCTGCCTCCCACGCACAAGGTCCTGAAGGTCCTGAGTTCAATCCCTAGCACCACCAAAAATAAACCCAAACAAAACAAAACACCTTTATTGAGATTTAAAATGTCCAATTGAGAACTGGATATAGCTCGAGAGAGTACTTGCCTAGCTTGTGCAAGGCCCTGGTTTTGATCCCCCAGCACTGCAATAAATAAACAAATATCTACTATCATAGTCTTTAGTATTTTCACAGAGTTGTGCAGACATCACCACAGTTGATTTAAGAAAAATTTTATTGCCCTAAAAAGAAACTCCAGCTGGGTACAGTGGTGTATGCCTGCATTCCCAGCAACTGAGGAGGGTGAGGTGAGAAGATAACAAGTTTGAGGTCAGCCTCAGCAACGTAATAAGATCCTGTGTCAAAACAAAAAAGGGCTGGGGGTGTAACAGTGGTAGAGGACCTCTGGCTTCAATCCCCAGCACTGGAATCAAAAAACAAACCAAAAAAAACCCCTCCATATAGGTGGGTATGATGGCATGTGCTTATAGTCCCAGCCATTGGGGTGGCTAAAGCAGGATCATTTGAGACCAGGAGGTCGAGACCAGCTTGGATAACATAGTGAGACTGTCTCAAAAACAAATTTATAAGGAAAAAAAAGAAAGAAACTCCATACCCATTACCAGTCACTCTCCAATCCCCCTCCCCAAATCCTCAGCCCTAGGCAAGTGCTAGTCTACTTTTTTGTCTCCACAGATTTGCCTATTTGGGACATTTCATATAAATGGAATCATATATTTGGCTTTTTGTGACTGTCTTCTTTCACTTAGCCTAATGTTTTCAAGATTTGTTCATGTCACATGTATCAGTACTCCATTCCTTTTTATATGTTCCATCATATAGCTATATCACATTTTAACTGTTCTTTGGTTGATGGATATTTGACTCATTTCCACTTATTAGAAATAATCCTGATATTACTGTTTATCTGCTTTAAGTAGTGTCCGTGCCATGAAAGAGAAGTAGGGGCCTGGGGATAATGTTATTGCTGTTGTTTTAATCTTCTGCTCCTACAAATCTCCTCCATTTGAGAAACCTGAATCATAGTTTCTTAGGCTTTTATAGAAGTGTTTTTTCTGGGGGGCAGTCCCACCTTCTTCTAATCCTTTCTGTCCCTTGCTGATGGGTTCAGGAACATGAAAATAAGAAAGCCACTGTTTTAATTTTCTTACCCTACCCTCAACTTTGGAATGCCTAGTTCCCCAATGTAATTTCCCTAGCAACTTATATAGTTTTTATACCGGATACGTGATTTACTTAGTTTCATAATCTCATCAAAAAAGCTACCTTTATAAAATACTTATTATGGTCCAGGTACTCTTTAAGCACTTTATACTGTTTAATACTCAGAGCAGTCCTGTGGGGTTGTTACTCTTACCCCAATTATTTATTTATTGGTCGGGGGCAGTGCTGGGGATTGAACCCAGATGCTCCTTACCTTGAGCTACATTCCCTGTCTTTTTATTTTTCAAATTTTTTTAAATCTTGAAACAGGGTCTAAGGATTTCACTAAATTGCTGAGGCTGGGATCCTTCTAAGGTTGTGATTCTCCTGCCTTAGCCTTCTGGGTTGCTGGGATAGCAGGCATGTGCTACTCCATCCCATCTGTCTTCATATCTCTCTCTCTCTCTCTCTCTCTCTATATATATATATATATATATATATATATATTTTTTTTTTTTTTTTTTTTTTTTTTTTTTGGTACCAGGGATTGAACTTAAGGGCATTTGACCACTGAGCTACATCCCCAGCCCTATTTTGTATTTTATTTAGAGACAGGGTCCCATTGAGTTGCTTAGCACCTCACCATTGCTAAGGCTGGCTTTGAACTTGTGATCCTCCTGTCTCAGCCTCCAGAGTCACTGGGATTACAGACATGTGCCACCATGCCCAGCCTAGTCACCTCCATATTTTAGAGGATGAAACATATTCAATGAGGTAAAGCAATTTGCTCAAGGTTACATAATTAATGTCTGAATTGGGGTTACAATCCAAGAAGTCTGACCTCAGAGCTCTAACTCTTAAAATGGCATAGGATAGGGAAGACCAGACTTGCAGATTATTTTTCAAAGCTGCTTTTCCTCTAAAGCTGTCTGTCATTTGAATGAAAAGAGCCTAATTTATGGGCAGCTCATTCTGTGCCAGAGTCTTTTATCCCTGGGTTCTGAGGTCAGCGTCTCTCCTGAGGGGCCCTCTGGTGTTTGGTGTCTGTAGTGGGGGGACTATGGGAGCTGCACTGGCTCTACCTGGCAAAGGTTGGGTTGGTCTTCTCCCCCTCCAGAGGCAAGTTGATGAAGGACCTCTGTTGCTGGATAACCCTGTACAGCCTGCCTCAGGGGAATTCCACTCATTCCTGCCTTTGCCTGGGAAAGCCAGGCTCCTTCTTGTTGGGGGTGGGGCTGGATCTAGATGAAGAATAGGCAGGAAAGGCCTGGTGTTTGCTGAATTGGGGAGTGTGGAACCCTGTGCCCTCCTTCTTCCCTAAGAGACCCCAGGCCTGGCCCCTTTAAGGATATGTGCTTATGTTTATGGGCAAGTCCCAGCCTAGCACATGTGGCTGGGAGTCATTATCTTTACAGGTGGTGTATGCAGGCTTCCCTGACACTGCAACCTCTAGTAGGTCTTCCAACTGTGCTTCACTTGGGCCTGTGCTGGGCTCTGCCCCTGATCAGTTTGTCTTCTGACCTTTGAATTTTTGTCAGTTCAAAGAAACTTTGATTTTTCTCTTTGAAAATGTCCTCTTTCTGGGGTTTTAATTCTACTCTTTGCTGAACTCCCTAATGTGCTTCTGGGATCTCCAGGGACCACCATAATTTGTGTGAGCCCAAACTGGTTCTTTCTTTCCCTGTCTTCCTTCTCTTGCAATGTGGTAATCCTAACACCACTCCCAACCCCCACTCTTGCTCCTGCTGTGCTTGTTGCTCCAGAAGCCCTCTCAGGTATCCTAGAAACAAGAGAAGAAACAAAACTTCGAAAATTCTCCCAGAGGCCTAGAGGCAAATATCAAACCAAAACAAAGTTTTCTGAGAGGAAATGAAACAGCACAAGGAAAGAAGGGTGGACAGCATATATCAGACAGCAGTATGGTTTGGAACTCCAGGCTGAGTGTGGAGTCTTTGTTAGAGACCCCTCAGTTATAGTGGCTCCTGCTTCTCCTCTCCAAAGCTCTCCCTTTGCTGTCATTTTCTCTACTGCCCGCCCTCATCTGTCATGCTTTAAGCCCTCCTACCCTAGGATGCCAGCTTAATCCCCATATAGCTTCTTTGAGGGACTTAATTTAGTTGAACACTCTTTTTTCTACTTTACTTCACAGCCCCTGTTGTCACTTTGGAGCAAGTTAGTTCTGAGTATGGGTTTCTCTTGGCCTCATTGCCTGAGTAACCTGGGTAAGTGCTCTGGGAAGAGCTGCTCTTTGACCACTGGAATAAAAAGTGTCCTAGCAAGGTGACTAGGCTCATCCAGCAGCTAAGAGAGTTCATGACTCCTTAGGTTGAGAGGTGGGGGAAAGAGGGAAACTGACTTCACCTGAGAAGGCCCTTCAGTCTACTCAGCCCATGTTGGAATTTATTTTGGGATCCCCCCTTCAAAGCATTGGACAAGGTGTGACGAAGTGACAGAAACTCCTCTTATGCTGTATTCTAGTAACATCTGAGCTGAAGAAACAGAGAGTTCCCTTCTTACTCTCTGAGGCAAGCCTTGTGTGGGTGTTTGCCAGGAAGTGTGTGGGACAATGGAGAGACCAGGTGGGCCTGAGAGGAGGATACTTGGACTTGGTGCCCTGATGAAATCATATGCAGGGGTACATACAAGCGGGGGCAAAGGGGGGGGGGCTTGGTACCTTTCCTTTCAACTTCCCTATATATCTTACACTGGAAACCAGTACCCCTTAGTTCTTCCCACAACAGTTTATTAATTGATGCATTCATTTGTTTAGCAGGTATTTGTTGAGAACCTGCTCTGGGCCAGATACTGGGGATGTAGCAGTAAGTAAGACAGACAGGGTCACTGCTTCTATGGGGTTTAGCTTCAAGAAGGGTGAGCAGACAATAAGCATTTAAGCAAGTAAGTGAACAAGGTAGTGTCAGACAATAGTTAAAACAAAATAAGGGGAAAACAAAATAAGGGGAGGAAAGAGATTAAGTGAAAAACTGGGAGCGGGGAAGGGCTACTTTAAGATTGGGTGGTCAGGGATCAATCATTTGAATAGTATCTAAATAATAAGGAGGCAGCAACATGTACGATTTGACCCCAAAAAGTTTCAGAAGAAGGAAATGTCAAAGATGGTGAAGGAAGGAGGACTCAATTCACTTGAATTAATGAGAAGAAGGGTATGTGAACGCTTCCTTTTTGACCTGGCTTCTAAGTCTTGCAATTCACTTTTTGTCAAGGAAAGGATTATGTTTAGAGTCCTCTGGGCAAAGAAAAGCATGCTGATAGCCCTAAATCATTGGGCACATAATTCACAGGGTAATATAACATCTTGAGGGGGCTCAAGAAACAGTGTTCCAGAAACCAGAGATGCCAGTAGACCTCATAACCTGGTTCACTTAACTTAACCTCAATTTTCTCATCTATAAAACAGAAGTAATGTCTACCTCAGAATTGTTGTGAGAATTGAAGATAGTGTCCAAAATAACCAACATGGTGCTCTTGAAGGGTCCCCTAATACAAGGAAAGGGCTATCCAGGGGGTCAGCAGAGAAGTGAAGGTAGATGTCCAAGATCATAGAATACGTTAGCAGAGAGGTGTTCTTGCTCTTTCTTCTGCCATATTGCCCTTAGGCATCAGTGGGTCATCCAAAATGCCTACCATGTGGGAGAACCATAGACCTGTGCTAGGACCTGTCCTGGTTCACAGGTCTACTACCCAGGAGATTTCTCAGCAGTCAGAGCTTTGAGATCTTGCAGCTAGTAACTTAAAGTTGTATTCACTCATCCATAAATGCTTACTGAGTGCCTATCTTCCAGGCCCTAAGGACTTACCAGTAAATAAAAAAGACCAAAAAAAAAAAAAAAAAAAAAAGTCCTCTTCACAGAGCTGGCAATCTAGTGTGTGAAATTAAATTATGTAGAATATTACAAGTAAATGTGCACTTGGAAAAAAGTATAAGCAATGATGTTAAAGAGCAATAGAGAATGTGGAGAGTAGGTTTTTAGTCATAATTAGGGGTAGAGGATGACATTTGAGCGAGGCTTGAAGGACCTTTGGTATACCTCATTGAGTCACTCTTTGATTTTATTTGATCTGAAAGAAGAAATTTGAAGGCACAGGATCTCTGATTGAACCTTCTGTGCCTGCTCCCTGCATGTGCTGCTTCAGTCATAACTCATTTCAGGGTTCATTTAGTGCTGCCTTCTGGAAGTTGGAGAATGGTAGAAGGTGGATCCTATTGGGTATGCTGGGTTCTTCTTGATGGTAGCAGGCCTGGACCTGTGCAGGGAATTGGGTAATCTTGAGGGGTTGGCCCTTCCTGGCACTAGTGTTCCACACATGACTCCCAGGAGCTGAAGCCCAGAGGGACTGAGGCCTTACCTTCTTCCTGTGAGAGCAGGCAATCTCTCTGTACCCTCAGGTTCTGAGTTACAGGAGTTAGACTGTTGGGCCAGCCCAGCCAGCCCAGCCAGCCCTGCCCTTGTCATGTTGAGGATTTCAGTTAGAACTGCTGCAAGGCTCATGCTGCCGGGCAGGGATGTAGAAATAGAGGGCCAAAGACTGATGACAATTGTGCTTCCCCCTGCTTTTCCTAGCTGACTGAGGAACTTGCTGAATGTTCACCAAGAAGAACGAGGAGGCTCCTTCCTGAACAGGACCTCCTGTTTTCTTGGGAGCTCAAACAGTTAGGCACACAGGGAGCCGTTCAGCATCTACATTATTGTCTCCACAGTGGAGCTGTTTCCATGGGTTGGTCTCTTCCTTTTTCCCTGTGTTGAATGGTTTTCAAATCTGAATAACTAGGAGTAAAAAGTTGAGATTAAGAGCCTCCCTCTGTGTGTTTCTCTCCCTTTCTTAACTCTTCCATGCCATACCTGAGAATTTCCTAGGCTAACTAGTGGAGCAGGTGAATATTAGAGAAGGGAGAGTTTGTTCATCTGCCTCTAGATACACACACACACACACATACATACACACACTGCTGCTTTTTCTCTTCCTCCCACCATGGAGTCAAACTTAGGAGAAGGAGGAAACAGGATGTTTTGTCCCAAGAAGTCTCAGAATAATGACCTGGAAAAGTTTGGAGCAATGACCTGGAAAGTGTTTTAAGCAGTCTGATGCACTGCCCTTTAAAAGCTATAATGCTGCTTTGGGACAGTGGGCTTAAGGGAAAACTCACAGGCTTATTGTAGAGCCATCAACACTTAACTTTTTCTGGATGTGGTGTGTGGTTGGTTGGATTGTATATCAAGTCAATTCAAGTATATCAACTCTTGAGTAGAAGCCCTCTGCCATCGTTGATCTGTAACTAATCAGAAAGCTAGGTAACTGGGCTCAGGATGTAGCTCAGTGGTAAAGTGCTTACCTAACACATGTGAGGCCCTGAGTTAAATTCCCAGGTTACTAGGTAATTCATAAACCAATCAGACTATGGAAGCCTTTGCTAAAGAGATGAACCTATACAGGGCCTCCTTAACCAGTCAGCACGGATTTTAAGAAGGTTCAGAAAATATCATTTGGCCACTGAAAATTGCTGGGCTGAATTCATGATGATGACAGACCTGGGGTGGATTTTTTTCATACACTGGAAAAAAGCCTTAAAATCTGAATATCTAAATCTGTAGACTTTCAACTATAACTGCTATATATATTTTTTTCATACACCTATTCAGGCGTGATTGAGCACAGTTTCCAAAGTCATCTTGTTTTTGTCATTTTGTAAAGCTCTCCTGACCACAACATTCTAGAAGGGAGAAATGAAAAAAAGAAAGGAGAAAAAGCATAAAGGGAACAAGGAAAGAGTAGATGGGGAGAGGAGGGGGAAAATGGTGAGGAAGGAATGGGTAGATTGAGTTAGAGGAGATTATGGGCTCAGGAATTCCAAAGCTATTGGTCAGCTAAGCATTCACTAGCAACTTGTATCTCTTCCACTTCTAGTTTTCAGCAGCAGTGGGGTTTAGATATGGGGACTGCAGTGGGCTTCCCCCTAACAAAAGTTTAGGACTTGGGGAAGTAGCTATTTGCTCATTCTTCTTCTCCTCTTCCCTGGTGTAGCAGCCTCCAAGCTTGCTCTTGTCAGCTAGTTCCACTGCTAATGAACAGGGGAGGAAGGTGGGGAACAGGCCAGAGCCTGCTCAAAGCCAAGGAGCCTAACAAGAACACTGCCTGGCTACTGGCTTCTGGCTTCTTCCTTTTGATGCCTGCCACCCAGCTTCCCTCCCTGGAGCTGCCTCTGGGCAATCTGGACCTGATCCTGTTCAGCAGTCTTATTACCTGGCTGGAGTGCTCAATCACTCCTGAATAGGTGTATGAAAAAAATATAGTAGTTATAGTTGAAATTTTACAGATTTAGATATTCAGATTTTAAGACTTTTTTCTTTTTTTTTTAATATTTATTTACTTTTTTTTAGTTTTCGGCAAATACAATATCTTTGTTTGTATGTGGTGCTGAGGATCAAACCTGGGCCTCCCGCATGCCAAGCGAGCGCGCTACCGCTTGAGCCACATCCCCAGCCCAAGACTTTTTTTCAGTGTATGAAAAAAATACACCCCAGGTCTGTCATCATCATGAATTCAGCCCAGCAATTTTTAGTGGCCAAATGATATTTTCTGAACCTTCTGTGCAAGGCAGGCAAAGTCCCTTCTTATCCTTTTGTAGCAGTCAGGAGGCCCTATTCAGGGATTATCTGAGATGGGCTTGGGAGCTCTGTGGCTCTGTAAGGTTTTCTCAGGTCCTCTCAAGCTATCTCTATCTCTTATTCCTGTCTTACCAGGCCTCCCTGTAGTTTTGGTCCCCTTGAGGCCTCCCATGTTCTTCCTTATCCAATATGTAGAAGTTTTGAAGGCCAGTTCCTGCCAGGTGTACACACGTCCACACACATGAGAGGCCTTACTCCTCCTTTGGGCACAAATGATTGACACACAAATGGCTGTGTCAGGCTCTAAGCCTGAGAACAGGCTGTACCCTGAGGCCTGCTTTACCTAAATCACATTGATTCTTCCCTCCTTTACTCCTTCCTCAGGTATTTGCAAGGGCTTTGGGAAGGCCTGTGTTCCTGCTGCTCTTTGTAGCTATGGCCAGAGATTGTGGGTTGGTACTTGGGAACTTGGTGGGTATAGATGTCCAGGGAGCCTTTTTATCCTGCGGGGCTACAGAGACAGTCTCTCTTGGATGGAGAAAGGAAGCAAGAACAGGTTTCCAGGAGAAAGCATAGGAATCTTTCTGAGCTTGAATGTTTCCTCTGCTGGGTGACTGGAAGTCTTAGATGGCCTGCGAGCTTCTGGGGAAGCTATGATTTGGTGCTGAGTCTCATGTCTCACTCATCTCCTCAGGTGTGTGGTTGTGCTTTTCAATCCCCGGAAACACAAACAGCATCACATCCTCAACAGTTCCAGGTAGGTAGGCCTGGCTTCAGGGAAAACTTCTTCCTCCTGGCAGCATGAGAGGACACTGAGACTCTGACTGGGACATGGTTGGGGCCAGGGCCAGATAAGGCAGTGCTATGCCATTTGAGTCTCCTGGTTGTGCCTTTGGGAGAGGTCCTGGCAGTGGGTAGGGGGGGGGGCAGATTGCCACTGCCCCTCTGAATCTGCCCCATCTCTTGCAGGAAAACTATCACTGCTCTTGCCTTCTCCCCTGATGGCAAGTACTTGGTCACTGGAGAGGTGAGTGAAGGAGAGAAGCAGCAATTCTATTAAGAGTGTGGGTTGTCTGCCCTCAGCAAAACCATAATCCTGTGTTCAGTTAGGCTATTGTCAATTTGTCTTCCTGAACTGATGCCAAATCCTGTTTTTTCTATACCTTAAACAAGTAGTTCTAAGCATTGGTATGCATCAGAATCACCTGGAAGGCTTGTTAAAGTACATGTTACTGGGCCTGCCCTCAGAGTTGTCTGATTCTACAGGTCTGGGAATCCCCAAATGACTTTTCTAACAAGTTCCCAGAGAATAATGATGTGGGTGGTTAGGGAAGCATACAGAAAACCACTGACCTAAAATATTCCTTATCCCTGGAGGCCCCCTGCTGGGCACATGCAGAATACTTCTGCCCTCTCAGTCTCTTACAGGAAGGGTAGAAACAGACATGAGTGGTGATAGAAGGCTATCTGTCCATCAGAATCATTCAAGGAGCTTTGGCCTAATACGGAGGTCTGGGCCTCTACCCAGATACACTGAATAAAATCTGGAACCACTGTATCTCTAATAATCACTGACACCGTCAGATATTTATCATGTCTCCTCTATATCTTTGTTCTGAATAGCACCCTGCTCTTGACTTTTGGCCAGGGGACCATTAGAGATGGTGTCCAGTAGTAAGGAGGTGAGGGCTCCCACTCTGAAAGGCCTTTAAGGGAGGCTATAATCTATCTATGGTCCTCACTTACAGTTCTTACCTCCCTGCAGAGTGGGCACATGCCTGCCGTGCGGGTTTGGGATGTGGCTGAGCATAGCCAAGTGGCAGAGCTGCAAGAGCATAAGTATGGTGTGGCTTGTGTGGCCTTCTCCCCTAGTGCCAAGTACATTGTCTCCGTGGGCTACCAGCATGATATGATTGTCAACGTTTGGGCCTGGAAGGTGAGTGGTAGGTGGGATGGCCTGGAAGCTTTGTGGGAGTCCAATTGTCAATTGGGGAGTCAGGAAGCTGTTGCCCTGAGCTGCTGCCCTGAGCTACTTCAATCGACTTTGCTGATCTCAGTCTCATCCTAGAAAAAGATCTGAAGAAGAAAATAGCAACTGTGTTTCAACCATGTTGCTAGAAAGGGCTTGCTTTGTGTCTTTCTGACCTCTAAAGGAAATGTATCTTTTCAATTCCTCTAGAAAGGAATTCTCTTCTACCCCTCTTTTTTCCAGCAGATCTTAGAAAGAAACATTTTTTCCCCCAAGTAGAATTTTTTTCTAACTCTCTTCTATTTGAGTCTCTTTCTTCTTAGCCCAGAGAGACAAACCCTTGATTCTTCTTTTGACTTTCCCACCAGAAAAACATTGTGGTGGCCTCCAATAAGGTGTCCAGTCGGGTGACAGCTGTGTCCTTCTCTGAAGATTGCAGCTACTTTGTCACTGCAGGCAACCGACACATCAAATTCTGGTACCTTGATGACAGCAAGACTTCAAAGGTGAGGTGCTGAGATAGTCTCCAACTCTGGGAGAAGACTATTCCACTTGGGCCTCTTCTGCCTGCTCAGCCACCACACAGAAATTTTGAATGAGCCAGGTGTTATATGGGCTAAAACAGTAGTCTCAAAAAGCAAGGGACCTTGCCACTTCCCCTCTCCTAGGACCTCTTTTCTAGGGGGAAGGATCTGGGGTGGATGGATGGCTAGTGGTGGCATGTCTCTACAGGTAAATGCCACTGTACCCCTGCTGGGCCGCTCAGGGTTGCTGGGGGAGCTACGGAACAACCTGTTTACTGATGTGGCCTGTGGCCGAGGAAAGAAAGCCGACAGCACTTTCTGCATCACATCCTCAGGCCTGCTGTGTGAGTTCAGTGATCGCAGGCTTTTGGACAAGTGGGTGGAGCTGAGAGTAAGTACCTCTGTACCAGAGAAGGGCATGGCTCAAGTTGGGAGAACTGATGTTGGGGGCTCCAGATCCTAGGTTGTGGGCCTTCATGCATGCAGGAGGGGACTCCAGAAGAAGGAAGCCTGGGTTGCGAGAGTTGGCCCAGTGCCAGCTCCTGGTGATCTGTGTAACTGCCTCCTCTTGCTCTCTCTCTTTCTTGCTCTCTCCCCTGCTTTCCTCTTCTGCTCAGAACACAGACAGCTTCACAGTAAGTGCTGCCTAGACCTCCTCTATTCCTCAGACTGTTTCTCTCTGCTAGGCTTTTCCTACTTTATCTTTTTTTTTTTTTTTTGATACTAGGGATTGAAGCCAGGGGTACTCAACCACTGAGTTACAGCCCCAGCCCTTTTTATTTTTTATTTTGAGACAGGGTCTCACTGAGTTGCTGAGGGTATTGCTAAATTGCTGAGACTGGCTTTGAACTTTGAACTGCCTCAGCCTTTCAAGCTGCTAGGATTATAGGCATATGCCCCGCACCTGGCACTTTATCCTCTTTGCCAAAACTTCTGGTGCCTTAGATCTCCCTGATCTCCATCCCTCAACTGCATAGGACCCTGGGCCCTCTGGCCACCTGTTGCTGGAGGGAGAGTACCACTGGATGATAGTTGAGGGGCTCAAGACATAGCAGCTGGGCTGCTATTCCCTCATCCCCACCTTGACTTTTCTCTCCTCTCAGCAGGGGACTGTTATTGAGGGGTTTGGGAAGAGAAGAAAAGACTGAATGGGCAGGTGGCTCTTACTGACCTGAGTTACTTTGCCCACAGACCACAGTGGCCCACTGCATCTCTGTGAGCCAAGACTACATCTTCTGTGGCTGTGCTGATGGTACTGTGCGTCTTTTCAACCCCTCTAACCTACACTTCCTCAGCACTTTGCCCAGACCCCATGCCTTGGGGACAGACATTGCCAGTATCACTGAGGCCAGGTGAGCTATGTGGGCCCTTGCCTCCATTCATTGCCTTACCATGTACCCAGACTTCCTTGTCAAAAGTGCTTCAGAGAAATAAATAAAGAGTGTATTGATGCCCAGAGATTACCAGGATCACCTCTGTAGACAAATTCATTTGGTTTTATTGATACTTTTGGAACCAAGGAGACCTTGCACCATGGAGGACCAGGGAGTATCTCAGTAGGTGGGTGTTTAGAATAGCTTATTATAGGATTTGGGATTGCATTAGATTATTTTAGGAATAGTTTAAGGGATTGAAGTTTTTTTCTGGTTGGATGCTATTAGGGAACAATTCCTAGGGGAAATTTCACAACTGGTCCTCTTGATGCTTTTTATCTAAGAACCAGAAGGAAGAGTATGGGGTTAAGCTGTTATATGGTAAAGAAGTGGCCATCAATTGTGTTAGACAGGAAAGGGTGATGTTTGGTCATTTTTGAGGCTTGGATGGTGATCTTGTTTTCCTCTGTGTGCAGAAATGATTGCAGAATAGTCTCATTTTGTTTTGCCCTATTATGGCTACAGAATCACCTTGTCTGGCTTTGATATTCTGTGAACTTAATTCTGTTCATCAGGAGAGCATTGTGGCCCAGTAGCTAGTACTAGTCAACTATCAGCTGATGGGTATAAGAGGCTGCTTCTTTGTTCTCAAGCAACTACCTCTAAACTTGCATGTCTACAGGGGATGCCCATGTCCTGCCCTTTCTTGTGAGTCAGCTTCTCTTCATTCCCTTTAGTCTCACCAGTTTGTTTTGTCCTCTCCCCAACAGTCGCCTCTTTTCTGGAGGGGCAAATGCTAGGTATCCAGACACCATTGCCTTGACCTTCGATCCAACTAATCAGTGGCTGTCTTGTGTGTACAATGACCACAGCATCTATGTTTGGGATGTGAGGGACCCTAAGAAAGTGGGCAAGGTGTACTCGGCTCTGTATCATTCCTCCTGCGTCTGGAGTGTGGAGGTATGTGAGTTGACTTGGTTTGCTGGGATGCCATTTTGAGGACAGAAAGTGGGGAACCCTAAGTATAACCATATGTTCCTGCTGCCTCCCTATTTCTCCAGTGATGTCCCGGTTGTGGATCCTGGGATTGAGCTTGAATTTTACTGCTATGCATCCTAGGCTTCTTCCAATCTGACCCATCTGTCCTTGGTTTTGCCTCATCCTGGGATCAGTGATTTTGAACAAGTTATTAAACTTGACCAAGCCTCAGTTTCCTCAGCTATAAAATGATATTCCTGATTCATCTAATTATTGTAAGAATAAAATGAAAAGATATAAGTGGGAGACGTAGAGGAGTGGTGCGTAGTAAGTGCTTGGTTAATGGGTTTTCCCTTAGTCATTATATAAAGTATGGGGCTGGGGTTGTGGCTCAGTGGTAGAGTGCCGGCCTGGCACATGTGAGGCACTGGGTTTGATCTTCAGCACCATATAAAAATAAACAAACAAATAAATAAAGGTATTGTTTTCCTCTACAACTAAAAAAATATTTCAAAAAAAATATATAGAGTATATGTTATGGCTTTGCATACTATATGTGGAGTACCCAGCTAAGTCATAGCCAGCATTCTGTTTTTAATTTCATTCCCTTTCATTTCCTTGGGCAGAGAATGGACCCTTTCCCTTTGTCTCTCTTCCCTTTGTCCCTCTAGGTGTATCCTGAGGTGAAGGACAGTAACCAGGCCTGCCTGCCCCCCAGTTCCTTTATTACCTGTTCCTCAGACAACACCATCCGCCTGTGGAACACTGAGAGCTCAGGAGTACATGGCTCCACCCTGCACAGAAACATTCTCAGTAATGTGAGCCTGAGACCCTGGGGCCCCCACTCCATACTTAATTCTCCCATACCTACAGCCTTCACACATCATTCTCAACAACTGGGCCCTCAGACCTTGATTTTCCAGCTCTTGTTTGGTTGGGCTATATGAGTCAAGGTTTATATTGCCCAGCATTCCTTTCTTTTCTCAGCTATACTATCAAGTTTCCCTTATCCACATCTTCTAACCTGTTCTACTAGGATCTCATTAAGATAATCTATGTGGATGGGAACACTCAGGCCCTGCTGGACACTGAGATGCCTGGAGGAGACAAAGCTGATGGTTCCCTGATGGATCCCCGTGTGGGCATTCGCTCTGTGTGTATTAGCCCCAATGGACAGCATCTAGCTTCTGGAGACCGTATGGGCACACTTAGGTAATGCCAGGTCCAGAGTGGGTACTGACCTATGGTGTAGGCTGGGGTAGTTAGGGCCCCAAGAACAGAGCTTTAGGAGGATTTGTCTCAAAAAGGTTGAGGAACAATTATTTATTAACTTGAAAGGAAATGATAATAACTTTACCATGAGAGAGACCATCTTAATCAAGTGATAATAGTTAATATCCACACATCAACATGATGAAGCCTATAATACGATGTTCTAAGTATATAACATTGTTTCTGTGGTCTTCTTACCCAAAATGCATAAACTCAATTCACTCATGAGAAAACCCCAGACGGACTCAAATTGAGATACATACAACAGAGTGAGGGACTTTTCAAAAGTATCAAGGACATGAAAGGTAAGGAAGGATTGAAAAACTATTATAGACTACAGGAAGTTAAGAAGTAACAAATAGATGACATTTGTACTCTGGGTAGGATCCTGGATCAAGTAAAAAGGACTTGTGAAAAAAATGGTGAAATTTGAGTAAGGTCTTTGTTTTTGTTTTCTTTGTCACTATTTAGGGATACTTAAATGGTTTCAATAATCAAGCATTGATAAGCTCTTTCATATTTAATATATTATGTTACTTCTGTACAAATGGAAACAGTATTGTACCACTGTAAATTTCCTAGTTCTGATAATTGTACTATCATGTTATACAAAATGTTAACATTAGCAAAAGCTGAGGAAGGAAAATAAGAAACCTCTGTACTCTTTTTGGAACTTTTTTCTAAGCTTAAAAGTTTGAAAAGAAGAATTTGGAGGAGAAGATATAGTAGACAAAGGGGATGAGTCCTTCCTCCTGTGGCCTGGCAGTGACCTCTTTCTTCCTCTGCTCCTCTTTGTAGGGTGCATGAACTGCAGTCTCTGAGTGAGATGCTGAAGGTGGAGGCACATGACTCAGAGATCCTGTGCCTGGAGTACTCTAAGCCAGATACAGGTAAGCAGGATGCCCATTCTGTAGCCCAAAATGGCATAGAGTCCTCCAATCCCTCTAGTGCCACTTATATGTATCCTAGCTCTTATATGTGAGGCTGATCATCTTTTAGATTATTTGGTCTTTGTAGAGTTAGAAGAGAACAGCTCTGTCCCTGCTCCATGATTGATGTAGCTTGGAGACGTGAGGTTCAATTTCTTTGGGGCTCTTTGTCAGGCCTAGTTAAGAACATGCTCAGGGAACATGTGGGTTGATTGAATTCTTCCAACCCTAGGTCTGAAGCTGCTAGCGTCAGCAAGCCGTGACCGGCTGATCCACGTACTAGATGCTGGGCGGGAGTATAGCCTACAGCAGACGCTGGATGAGCACTCATCTTCCATCACTGCTGTCAAATTTGCAGGTGGGACAGGGCAATTGAGATACATTCTGCCACCTACACCACCTTCTATTTCTGTGAAAAAGGTCTGCCAGTGGTGTGGAAGTTGGACAGCAGCTGGGAGGCCTGGGGTTGGATGGGAAGACAAATGGAATATAGTCTTTCAGTCTGGAGGACCCTGAGCAAACTAGTTTGGGTTGAGGATGGGGAAAAAGGAAAACCTGGGTTTAGAGGGAAGCATTCTTATTTAATTGGTTGACCCACCATGTAGAATAGCTTGAATGGGTGAAAACACAGAGGAAAGTTGCTCCCATGCAGTGGGAATAGTGGGAGTAGCTAGGTCCCCTTCCTCCATAGCCAGCGATGGGCAAGTGCGCATGATCAGCTGTGGAGCAGACAAGAGCATCTACTTCCGCACTGCACAGAAGGTGAGGGTACTGGGAGGTGAAGGGGGGTAAAAGCAGGGCTCAGTGGGTCTGGTGAGGCATTTGGGTATGGGACTGACCACATGCTCCACCTCTGCAGTCTGGAGATGGAGTACACTTTACACGGACACACCATGTGGTACGCAAGACAACCCTCTATGACATGGATGTAGAGCCTAGCTGGAAGTACACGGCCATCGGCTGCCAGGACAGAAATATTCGGTGGGCATCCCCCTCTCAGATTGTCAGACCACATTCTTTCGTGTTCTAAGGAATCAACTCTATACAGCTCATTTCCCATATGTATCTTTTTGTCCAGGACTTTGTATCCCCTTGAACTTACACAATAAGTACTGTGCCTCACCCAAGAATGGTGGCCCCTATGGTGTTGGGGGTTAGCTCCCAGGAGTGACTGCTGGCATTTCTACCACCCAAGTGTGCTTGATTGTCACTCCTCCTTATAAGAGCAAGTGTGTGTGTGTATGTGTGTGTGTGTTTTTATAGGATCTTCAACATCAGCAGTGGGAAGCAGAAAAAGCTGTTTAAAGGATCACAGGGTGAGGATGGCACTCTAATTAAGGTAAGGGCCTAGTGGGATGGGCACTGGGCCAAGGTACAAGGGGACAGAAAAGTATGAGGTGAAGAAGCAGTGGCTCTTTTGTACTCTTCATCTATGTGACTCCACTCCTCAGGTGCAGACAGACCCTTCAGGGATCTACATTGCCACCAGTTGTTCCGACAAGAACCTCTCAATTTTTGACTTCTCCTCAGGCGAGTGCGTGGCCACCATGTTTGGCCATTCAGGTGAGTGTAGCCCCACTACTCTACTCCTAGAACTCTACTCTTTCTTCACTTAGTTTCTTGTGACCCAACAGAGCTATCTGACCTTCCCTCCAACCAGCCACCATCTCCACAGTTAGGTCAGACAGGAGTGGTTGGAAATTCAGGGTGGCTTATATTCTTTGTTCTTCACAGAGATTGTCACTGGCATGAAATTTAGTAATGATTGCAAACATCTCATCAGTGTTTCAGGGGACAGGTAAGTAGAAGCCAGCTTCCCCTAGAAACATATTCTTTGTCTGTGCCACAAGCACACACTGTCCTTCCCCTCTGTTCATCTCACATATCTCTGGAAAGTAGGGCTGAACATGGAAATTTCTTGACTGGGCCTACCCTGGCAGTGGAGGGTGGCTGTGATCTTCTTGCTAGTCCACAGGAAAGGAGGACTAATGGTGTTGCCACCTCCAGAGTCCTGCCCTGCCTCTCCCTTACCCAACTCTGTGGCTATATCCCAGCTGCATATTTGTATGGCGTCTGAGCTCTGAGATGACCATCAGCATGAGGCAACGTCTGGCCGAGCTGCGCCAGCGTCAGCGAGGGGGCAAACAGCAAGGACCCACCTCTCCCCAAAGGGCTTCCGGACCAAACTGGTGAGAACAAAATATGGGAAAATGATGGGTGGGTGTCCAGATGGCTTGCTGTGATCTCACTGCTCCTCTTGCCATTCAGCAACTTTATCTCCCAAGGTCTTGCTTCTCAAACACAGAGTATTATCATCCTGACTTTTTCCTCAGTGTATCTGCTATCCCCATGACCTCCCTTATCTTGGACTCAGGCCCCAGACCCCAGTGATGCTCTCTCCTGGACCAGCTCTCTCATCAGACAGTGACAAGGAGGGAGAAGATGAGGGTACTGAAGAAGAAGAACTGCCAGCTCTTCCCATCCTTGCCAAGAGTACCAAGAAAGAGCCTGGTCTGTAGCAGTCTGGTGTGGGGCCAGAGAGCCAACAGATGGTGTAATGGCTAGATAGATCCTTTCTGTGACCCTAGGGTGAGATTAGCATGAACTGAGGAAACTGGGGCATCACTGTGGCAATGCAGGGGATAGGCTGATGTGGGGTCCCAGTTCCAGGGGTGGGTAGTCAGGAGAAACTCCTTCTCACTTCCCATTTCTTTCTAGCCTCGGTCCCCAGCCCAGCCCTGTCCCGAAGCCTGTCCCATTGGGAGATGAGCCGAGTAAGTCTCCTTCATTCAAATGTGCTTCCAGGGTTACAGGAGGTGAAATGGTGGTGGTGAGGGAGCAGAGCCCTTTGTGTGTTGTGAGGTATTTGGACAGAGGGTCTGCTCGTATGCTCCAAGAAAGGCATTACCAGAAGGAGTTCAAGCAGCTGGTCCCAGTTAAGAGTGAAGAAAGTCCTAGTCTTTCCATCCTGTACCAGAAAATGTTGTTTAGCACTAGGGGAGCTGCTCCAACCCGTTCAGCTGCCTAGGGCCTGGGAGAAATGCCATCTGAAAGCAACTTGAGGTGGGGAATAGAAAAGGGCATCTGAGCCACATGGTTAGAATTAAAGTCCAGGAAAACCAAGTGTACAAAAAGCAGAAATGAGAAAGTGTAGGTCTAAAGAGTACACTACTCCCAATTAGGAGAGGTAAGCATAGTATTTGCAGAATAGTTGGAGGGAAAAGGCTATAAAAGGACCAATTACTGAGTGACTACTTGAGAGTAGCCAGAGGGGGTTAAAGGCTTTCACAGCAAACCCCAAAGCAGCCCAGCCCTCATATGTCCCATGGAGATATTTCAAGCCAATCACCCTGTATTAGTAGCTGCAGTTTCACAGAGTGATGGTAGAATTGTACCTGCTGTGTTATTTTGACCACATCATGCATCTCAAGCTGGATTTTGGTCCTTCATTTTGTGAAGGAACTTTGGGGCCCTGTTAGGTCTGACCTCAGGGTAAAGGACCTTTAGAGACATGGTGAAGACAGAGACTAGACATTCCTATGTGAAGGTATGAAAAGCAGTGAAGGGATGAACTCTGGAGCCAGCCCCACCTGAAGGCCACCTATTGTTTGTGAGACTTGGACTGGTCACTTAAGCCCTGTGTGCTTTCATCCCCTCATCTGTAAGAATGGGGATGATACCTACTTCATAAGATTGTTGTGAGGATGAAATGAACTAGTTCCTGGCATATAGTAAGGGACATATGAGTGCTTATTGATAGCATTGTGTGGTTCTTGTTGTTATTCCTCCTTTACTTTTTATCTGTACCAGGCACAGGAGACAGTGGAATTCCTAGACCCAGCTCCTGTAGCCAACTCAGGACCCAGAAGAAGGGGGCGTTGGGCTCAGCCAGGCGTAGAACTGAGTGTTTGCTCTATGTTGGACCTGCGGCAGCTGGAGACCCTTACCCCAAGCCCTCAGGGCCACTGCCAGGACTCTCTGGCCATGACTCCATCTGGTCCTGGAAAGCATGGTCAGAAAGCCCCTGTAACCTCACATGCTAGCCAGGTGAGCCAGCTTTTCCCCAGATCTCTAGCGGTCTCCAGGGAGCCTTAATCAGTTTCATGCCAATATCTCATGCCAATAGCTGCAGCCTGAGTATTGGTCCATCTATGCTTGCTTTGCTTCTGTGGCACATAGGTCACCTGAACTGCAAGTTCAGGTTAAGGCTGGCTAGTTGTATGGTATGGTGATGGAGGTGGGCAGAGAAGGGGTGGGGGTGAAGAGAGAAAGATGACCTTTGCCCTGGGCCAGCCAGGTTCCTTGGAGGACTTGGTATTAAGTGGGGCTGGAGGTTGGCAGCACAGAGTGTGCTAATATAGGTCTTCAGAAGCTCACAATACCAGTCAGAGCCTAGTCTAGCTGTCTGGTGTCTGTCCTCAGAGTTGAAGTACTCAGTTTTCTCAGAATTGGTGCACACCAAATCCTTACCCGCCTTCACCTCTTTACCAGGACCCTCTTCTCTCCTTAGTAACTCCCATAATGTTCTTTTGTATGTTCCCAGAATGAAAAATCCCCTCAGCTTCAGGCTTCCCAACCCTGTTCCTGTCCCCACCTTATCCGATTGTTGTCACAAGAAGAAGGGGTCTTTGCCCAAGATCTGGAGGCCGCACCCAGTGAAGATGGTATTGTCTACCCAGAACCTAGTGACAGCCCCACCATGGATACCAGGCAAGGGTTCTGCCCTGGCCACAGCCCTGTTTTCTCCTTCCCTCTGAGCATTTTTCAGCTGGGTGAGGGCTGGGCCCCAGGTTGCTAAGGGCTTGTCTGACACCTTACCACCACCTCCTCCCTAGTCCTGCTCCCAGGCAGGAATCCAGTGGGGCTGCTGCTCTCTTATGCTCACTGCCTCTTCTTTTCTAGCAGTGAGTTCCAGGTGCAGGCTCCAACCCGAGGAGCCCTAGGAAGAGTGTACCCAGGTAGCAGGGGCTCAGAAAAGCACAGCCCTGACAGTGCCTGCTCTGTGGATTACAGCAGCAGCCGCCTTTCCAGCCCTGAGCACCCCAATGAAGGTGAGGCTACATCCCTGAGGGAGGGACCAGTTGACTGAAGCAGGGGATGCTTCAGATGGGTGCAGTGTGATGCCTCTCCACTCCCCCACATCCAGACTCCGAGAGCACGGAGCCCCTAAGTGTGGATGGCATCTCCTCAGACCTTGAAGAACCAGCTGAGGGTGATGAAGAAGAGGAGGAAGAGGAGGGAAGAACTGGCCCTTATGAGCTGCAAGAAGGCAGCCCCCATACCCCGGACCAGGAGCAGTTTCTAAAACAGCACTTTGAGACTCTGGCCAATGGGGCTGCTCCAGGTGTGGCCAGAGGGTCAATATTTGGTCACTACAGTCTGCCCTCTTCCTCTCCTTGCCCAGCTGAGAGGGAGGGTCAGGAAGGCAATGCTTTGGGGTTTGCCTCTAGGGGAAGCAGAATCTGGGGCAAAGTCTTGGCTTTTTGTCTCAATTCATGATTTCCATGACTGGCAGGGGGCCCAGTGCGGGTACCAGAGAGGACAGAATCTCAAAGCATCTCTTCACGATTCCTGTTGCAAGCACAGACTCCTCCACTCAGGTACAGAGACCCCTCCCCACAGAAGCTTGGCTCTGCTAACTTCCCAGTGCTCCTACCTCTGGGGAGTACACAGCCCTCCTGTCCCCCTTTCTAAGGGTGTTCTGTGCTCCAAATATTAGGACAACTGGTCTCACCTCAACCATGGTGGACTGGATTGTGCCTGTCTTCTCCTGGCACTTGTCTGGCACTTGTCTGGTGCAGGAATCAATATGCTCCCTCTGTGCCTCCCCTCCCTCCCGCCCCGCTGCTTAGTGGAAGAAACACTAAGTTTTCTCTGGGCCTTATTCTACATCTCCTCCCTATAGGGACCCATCCTCTTCAAGCCTGGCATTGATGTCGAGACACATCCAGGTGTCACAGGTGTCTGGCGAGCAACAGAGAGGCAGTGATGCTAACCCCCCAGGAGCACCTCCAGAGGTGGAGCCCTCCCCTGCCAACCCCAGCCCCCATCAGGCAGCCCCTGTGCTATTGCCACGTCGTCGTCACAACCTGGACAGCAGCTGGGCTCCCAAGAGAGTGATCACAGCTGGCTTCTCAGCTGGACTCCAGAAAGCCCAGTCTGTGCACAGTCTGGTGCCACAGGGTGAGGAGCCTGATGAGCTCAGCCCCAGAATGTGGGGAGTGTGGAACTCATGGGTGTACTAGAGGAGGGTAGGAATGGTGTGTCTGCCAGTGGGTATCCTTAGTGGGCATGTGCAAGGGAACACCAGCTCCTAAGGTTTGAGCTGTAGCACCCGGGTGTCCTTCCTCATCACTTGACCTGTATATATCTCTTGTCTCCTCAGCAAATGAGATGCCTTCATCAGGCCCATTGCTCTCACGGGACATGGAAGTCCAGGATGGCCTGGATTCCCTGCCCCAGGTTGATGGCTGTCCATCTTGGCCCTACTCCTACCAGAACCCTACCACCAGTTCTATGGCTAAGATATCCCGCAGCGTCTCTGTTGGGGAGAACCTAGGCCTAATGGCAGAAACTCAAGCTCCTGTCTCTATTCGAAACTCACCACTCAGCAAACTGGCCCTTCCTAGCCGGGCTCATCTGGTCTTGGACATCCCCAAACCACTGCCTGATCATCCTACTCTAGCTACATTCTCACCTGTAACGAAGGGCTGGGCCCCTGATGAGGCAGAACAGGCTGGCTCCCCAGCAGGCCTAGGAAAGGCTCATAGCACATCTGAGCGGCGGGCCTGTTTGGGTGAGGGTACTGCTCCCAAGCCTAGGATGGAGTGCCAGGCTCAGCCTGGGCCCAACAGACCCAGTGCCCAGCAACTGCCAGTCAGCCTCCTCCGAAGCCCTGAGAACCTGCAGCCCCTACCCCCTGAGAGGACTCCCAATCCCATGGAATGTATCAGGCCAGGCGCAGCCCTGAGCCAGAACTCAGGTGTGCACAGCTTCCAGCTCTTATCTCCTGCCCCATCCTCTCTCTTCTGTCTCTGTTAGCCACTCTCTGGTCCATCCCATTTCTGTGCATCCAGCCTCTAGTGTTCTTCATCCTGTCTGCTCCTGTCTCATTCAACCCATAAGTCATATCCCTGATGGTGAGACACTCCTGCCAACCTTCATGATCTCTTTGTGACCAACTTACCCCTTCTGGATCTTGGGGTTTGAGCTGGCTCTCTCCTCTGGACTTTGTTGTCTGTGTGGTTTTGGAGAATGTATTATAAGGGAAGGGGGGAAACAAGGCACAGTGGCACAGGCCTGTAGTCCCAGCTACTTGTGAGGCATAAGCAGAAGGATCACTTGAGCCCACAAGTTCAAGACCAGCCTGGGCAATGTAGTGAGACCCTCATCTCAAGAAAAGAAAAGAAAAAGAAAAAAAGGGACATGAGGAAGGGATTCAAGAAAAGAAAAGAAAAAGAAAAAAAGGGACAGGAGGAAGGGATTGAGGGCTGGTGGGGGTTTCAGTGCTGAGGGGTAGGCCTCTCTTGCTCTGAGCAGCCCTGGATGGGAAAGTCTGAAATGGCTTGCTGAGCCTTTCTGGTGTGTTTTTTTTTCTTTTTCTTTTTTGGAACTGGGGGTTGTACTTAGGGCTTTGCGAATGCAAGGTAGACACTAAGCTACATCCCAGCCCTTGCTGAGCCTTTCTGAGCTGTATCTGTTCCTCACAGAACTGGTGGTGAGCCTGGAGCAGTGTGAAAAACTTGTGGCAGAGCTCCGTGGGAATGTGCACCAGGCTGTACAGCTCTACCACTCGGTAAGCGTTGGGCACCACCTGGCAGGAAGACAGAGCGTGACAGTAGTGCGAGGTGTTTGATAGCTGAGTGTCAACAATGATAAAAAGGATCTTCCACTAACAGTGTGAAGCACTCAAGACATCCGGGCAGAAGAAGCAAGGGAGTTATAGGCCAGTCCAGACCTCTTGAACTAGGTACCTACTGGTCATTTCTAGTTAAGAGCTTGAGGTCTCCTCAGACAGGAGGATAGACCATGGAAAGACTCATGTTCTAATTTTCTCAAGACACTCCCAGTTTATGCCTGTTGTCCCTGTGTAATTATTAACAGTATCCCTTTTCATTTTTTTTAATTTAAATTTTCCAAAATTATCTGGCTACAGTCCAACAGGGCCCAAGTTTTGAAAGAGAAAGTGGAGCCTACATGAATTGTAAGGAGTGGTTAACAATATATAGGTAATTCCATAATCTGAAGGGATCCTCTTCTGGTTCACCTTCTAGTCTGTGAGGGTCCCATATTCCCAGGTCATAATGAAATTGATTCTTGGAGTGTGGAACTCCCAACCAGTCCCTTCTTCTGAGGCAGCAAGGGAGTTATAGGCCAGTCCAGACCTCTTGAACTAGGTACCTACTGGTACCTGGAGCAGGTGGGGCCCCTCCCTTTTACATATACATTGACAAGACCCTTCACTGTTCCTTCAGCTCACTTCTAGGGGTCTTATTGCAGGTGGCTGGCTGCAAGACGCCCTCAGCAGAGCAAAGTCGAATCACTCAGCTCCTCAGAGACACCTTCTCTTCAGTGCGTCAGGAGCTAGAGGCCCTGGCTGGTGCAGCCTTGTCCAGTCCAGGCGGTAGCCCTGGGGCTGTGGGAGCTGAGCAGACACAGGCCCTACTAGAGCAATACTCAGAGTTGTTGCTTCGAGCCGTGGAGCAGCGAATGGAACGCAGACTCTAGCTTCAGAAGCCTGTCCCAAGTGAATGCTTCCCCATTCCAAACTGTAGCCCCTCTTCCACTTACCAAAACCTGTGGGGAGTGGATAGCAGGGATCAGTGCTCAGAGGTGAAGCAGCTTTCCCAGCTACTACTCCAGGAGCCCCTGTATTTATTAATTTATTTCCCAGACTGTTGCCTCACATCTTTGAAACTCCAGCCTCCACAGCCGTTCTAGTGGGTCATGGCAGGGGTAGGTCTTGGGTCTTTGTCATCATGGTGCTGTGAGGGCTAGGAGGGCAGCCTGCCCCATCTGGGGGACACTGGGAAGGGCTTGCCCTCTTTTTTAGAAGCCATTTGAAATTACTTCAGGGATCAGCTCCCTGGGGTGGAGCATTCACAGGGTACTCCATGGGGGTAGAGGTGAGAGGTAATGTGGTATTCAATGCCCTTCAGTCAACTGAGGACTTTCACCTCTATTTCCTTTCCCCTCCCACACCAGCTACACTCTCCTGGCTGCCAGAGCAGGCGTTGTTTCCCCCAGTTCCTGGCAGTTTAGGAAGGCGGACAGAGCTGCCAGGACTTCCAGAGCATCCCCAGCCATCAGGAAACTCAAATTGGTATCAGGACCTGAGCCTCCACATTCCACTTCCACTCAACCCCCAAGAGGGCCCTCGTATTGTCTCTACCCTTGTGCCCCCTTTTCTCTCTCTGGCAGAGCTTGTGGATCCAGCTCTGTGCCATTGCTGCAGGACAGTAAGGTCCTCTGCTGGGCAAACATGAAGCCCTGTCCTCCTTTCCTTAGTTCCTTAGCCTTCTCTATCCTCCAGCCCTAGTCCTCAGCAGGCTACAGAAGCCCAAGGGTCACCAAGTTCTCCCTGCATCCTGAGTGATGCTGTCAGAAGCCTGTGTGAAATTTCCTTCATGGTTTACAGGGCACTTACACACCTTCTGAGGACCTTGGCCACAGATGAAGTCTCACATATACGTACAAAATGTACACACACAAACAGTTGGGTGCTCATTGCTAAAGTCCTTGGATGGCTGATATGTGCCTGGGTTCCTCTCATATTCTGCCTCAGTTTCACTACCTTAACTTGTGTGGAACTTAAAAAGGAATGGAACACACTACATCCAAATTCTGGATTCTTCATGTCCACAGCCTAGCTATGTGATGGACCATTAGACACCTAGTATGAGGAGCCTCCTCAAAGACAGTGCTGGGTACCCATCAAGGGCTCTACAGATACTGGAGGTTGTGGGGAGGGAGGCAGCAGGGCCAAGAGACACACAGGAAAAGTGGTAGGTGGGACAGGTAAGTGGCAGAGGTGAGGGACAGATTAGAATTTAAGGGGCCATTCTTGGGTTGAGGGGAAGGAGAGGGTGTAGTAGGCCCATGGTGTTGGACCAAGTAGTGATGCAGTTGTTTCAGAGTAGGGGTGAAGAATGTGTCTCTGGGCCCTCCTGCTTCTCTCTGCCCCAGGTAAAGCAGGGCAGCTTTTACCACAGCTTCAGGCCACAAAAAAGCCGGCTTATCTGGCTGCAAGCTCTGTATGTAGAAGCTATGAAAAAAATTGGGTTATGGAGCATGCCCAGCTCTGTTCAATCAGCCTGAATGCCCTAAGAAGACCAAAACGTTTCATGCCCCCACTCTTCTCTACCACCAGCATCTGCATGGTAAAACTCAAATGAAATCCTGGCCTCCAAAACTCTCACAGCTGGCTGTGGACCCCTGTCAGCACTGTAGCTGCCTGCCTGAGGGTAGAAATTCACTCCATCTGTGCCTGCCCCCATCACCACCAACAGCCACAGCCCACCACAAAGGCTCAGGCTTGGCACTGCAACCCCCTTGCTCCACCCCGGGGCCAGGTTCTTAGCAATCCTCAGTCAGATGCTTTAGGAGAGAGCTACATTCCTGCTTAGGTTTGTGAGAAGGTAGCTGCCCTTTCCCTATCCCCTGCCCAGGGTGGGTGGGGGTCTTGTGGCCGTGTCGGCACCCCGACCCCTTCTGCATGTCTGAGGCCACCGGTAACTGCCGCCCCTGTCCATACTACCCCGTCCCAGTTTTGAAAGCCCCTTATTTATAACTTTTATACTTTGTTCCGGCAGTGGCGCTTGTCTCCTCCCCAGCCGCACGGGGCGGGAGCTGTTTTTAACGTGTCCGTTTGTACTGATGTATGAACTTGTCAATAAATACAATCATTTGTTAACTCTGGGGTGGCAGCAAGTGAGGCCTGCGAAAGAAATCACTGCTTCTCGCTCCATCCAGTGGAAAGGGGTCCAGCGGCCTGGCGAGAGCTGAGGAGTGTGGGGCGGGGCCGGCCGGGGGCGGGGCTTCGGACGGCGGGCGTCATGGCGGCGGCGGCTTTGGACGCTTTGCAAAGGGCGTTACGAGAGTTCCCGGCCGCGGCACGGGGTGAGTGCGCTAGCGGGGCAGGCGCCCGACCCGAGAGGGGTCCCGGGGACCGCCGACACCTCGCACCCCTGCGCGAGAGTGGTTGGCACCCCCGCTAGGCTCGCTCTAGTCACGGCCCCTCCCCCAGCCGGCCGGTGGGTCGCGGTCGCACGCGCTGTGGCTTTATGGAGTGTGTGTTTTCGTTATTTCAAGGCCTGGTGGTGTTGTGCTGGGTTCCCAGGGTCAGTCTGTGCTTAATAAATCTGGGCAGTGCATTGTTGCTCTTCCCGTAAAGAAGTCTCATTTGTAACCTCAAATGTCCACAGGTGGTGGTGGGCTTCTGTCTCTGAACCCCTGCAGAAAGGAGACAGTCGTCTTTATTCAGAACAGACTCCTCCAAGCTGTGGGCGTGCAAAGTTTTGGGAGAATTGTAGACAGCTGTTCAAGTGATCCTGGTTCTTACCCTTACTGTTTTTTTTTTTTCCTTTCCTCTCTTCCTCTAGTCCTTCCTCATCACCCGCACCCCGCAACCTCCTGGCTTTTTAAATTTTTCTTCTTTCTGTTTTTATTATATACTTGTTTGTATCAGTACTGGGGATTGAACCCAAGGACACTCTACCAGTGAGCCCTTTTATTTTGAAATAGGGTCTCACTAAGTTATCCAGGCTGGCCTTGATCTTGCCATCCTCCTGCCTCAGCCTCCTGAGTTACTGGGATTACATGCCTGTACCACCAGGCCTGTTTTTAAATGATTTTTCTTTTTTCTCTCCTTCCTTATTTCTTATTTATTTTTAATGATTTTGTATCACTGACCAGCAACACAGGCACCTGACCTGAGTATTTAATGTAAATAAAATAAGCTTCCCACTGTCAGCCCCACTTTGCATTCTTCCAGGAAGATTCTTTTTAAATCCATGCACACAGGACTGTACCCTTTTAAAAACTTTTCTGCATTGTGCATCCTGGAAGTCATTCCACATCTATCTCATTCATCTGTGAAACGGTGAAATTCACTGAAGCAGCCCACTATTGATAGGCATGTCAGTTATTTTTAGTCTATTGTTTTCAATAATTCTACAGCTAATACTTGAGTTTTCATTTAATATATTCTTTAAGCACCTCCATGTGCTAGGTTCTGTTTAGTATATTGCGGTACATCATTGCACGAATAAAACAAGCTCTTAGAGCTTACATTCTAAGTGAGGTGACAGACAACCGCACTGAACATGTAAATCATGAAGTTGGTTAGAAGACAAGTGCAGGGCCAGCAGCTCCTTAGGTGGGAGAGTGCTTGGTGCATTCAGGGAACAGTGTCTGGAGCAGTTTTTGTGCACAAGTGCAAATACTTTTTAAATAAATAAATATATATATATATATATATATATATATATATATATATATATTTAGTTGTAGATGGACACAATATCTGTATTTTATTTACTTTTATGTGGTGTTGAGGATTGAACCCAGTGCCCCATGTATGCGAGGCACGCACTCTATCACTGAGCTACAACCCCAGCCCTGTGCAAATACTTTTGTTGGTTAAATTCTTAGAACTGTTGGGTCAAAGGAATTGTTTGGATCCCTTTGAAATTCTCTCTCTGAAGCCCCAGGAGAGAAAAATAGCCATTCTCTAAAGGAATGATAAGCAAGGAAATCTGATACAATTGTTAAAAATCCAAAGGATGAAAAGAAAAAGGCAGTTTCCACATGTTTTATGAATCCCATGACTCGGTGGGGTAGCTTAGTGGTAGAGTGCTTGCCTGGCATGAATGAGGCCTTAGTTCAATTCCCAGAACAGCAGAGGCAAAAAGGAATAAAGCCTAATGAGTACAACAGGGAGATGTACTAGCCTCAGCCCATCTCCCAGGGTAACTGCTTGGGAGATGGCAGAGCCCATCTTGTCCCTACCCAGGAAAAATAAACACACATGCCAGATTTTTCATTTTCAGTTTTCTTGGGCCCACCAAGGTCTTCCCATTCAGTTTCAGTTTCTGATCTTAAGACATTTGCTTTCTTACTGATTGCAAGGTAAGGATTACTGGCATAAAGACATAGCATGAGAGGTGGAGTATGACCTTAGAGGTGAAAATGAATGACATGGTCATTGGAGCAGGTTGTAGTAACCACTGATTGGGGCCAAGGAGGAGGAAAGCGAAGCCCTATGCTCTTGTAAAAATCTGGAGAAAGGCATTTAGTCTGAGTGAGCAGCAGGAACAAAGTGTGGTACTGCCTGAGTAGAGGGTGTGTGGTAAGGGGAAGGCAGGAGTCAGGAGCAAATCAAACTGGAAAAATAGGTTGGGCCTAATGATGGAACACCTTGAATGCAGATTATGCTGTAATGAATAGTGGTAAGCCATCAAAGGATTCTTTACTAGGGGCGTGAGGAGTTCAGATTGTATTTTCAAATGACTGGGCCAGATAATGGATACTCTGAGGGGGAGTAGAATTAGGCCAGAAAAAAACAGTTGAATGGTTTGATGATTCCCTGCAGAAATCATTCAGCCAAGATATTGGAGACTTTCATTCAACTGTTAAGCAAATATTTACTGAGCACCTGCCATATGCTAGGTACTGTTCTAGGGATGCATCGGTGAACAAGACAAACTACCTTATGTAGCTTCAGTCTTTCGAGGGAGACAGACCAATAAACAATTTTAAATAAGTGAAATATATAGCATGTCATTTGGTGATAAACACTAAGAAGAAAAAATAAGGGATTTAAGAATTGGGAATGGATTGCAATTTTAGAGTGGACAACCTAGCAACTCAGGGTGCTGAGGCAGGAGGATTGCAAGTTGAAGGCCAGCCTTGTCAACTGAGTGAGACCCTGTCTAAAAGAGCAGGATTGGGGGGTGTAGCTCAGTGATGGAGCAGGTGCTTAGCATGCCATGAGGCCCTGGGTTCAATCCCCAGTACCCCACCCTACACACACACACACAAAAGAATAAATAAAAATAAACCAGGATACACCTCAGTGGTGGAGCACTTCCAAGTCGAATCCTTAGTACTGCAAAAAAAAAAAAAAAAAAAAAAAAAAGTGCTCAGGGAAGGAATCCTCAATATTGTAATTTTTTAACAAGGACCCAAAGTAGCAGAGGAAAGAAAGAGATAGTGGCTTTGAGAAATAGTAGGATGACAGGAGCAACTAAGGGTGAGTCATAAATAATAGATTGCATTTAAGGGTGATGTAGGACCACTGTAGACGTCCAAACAGGTGGCACATTGCGTAAGCTGCTCAAATATACATGGTGGCCCTGGGCATCTAAGGATGATGCTGCTGTTCAGTGAGACCCAAAACACAGTTTAGCCTCTATTTCATCTGGTATCTTTTCACCCCAGGTAGATTGTAAGCTGCTTGAGATGATTATTGGATCATCCTTTGATATCCACACTGACCAGGCCAAGTGTGAGCACATTCCAGGTGCTCAGATGTGTCACTTTTGAAGGGGTCTTTCTAGAGCCTCACCCCCAGCCCAGCCATGGCCTTGGGCCTTGTCCCTAGTCATTCTAGACCTCCCACCACCAATTCTGTGGCTCCATTTCCAAATGGATGCTGTAAGATTTGCCCTCCTTATGGGAAAGCCGAGGGTCTACTGTATAAAGCCAATACATGGACCCATGTAGGATTTAGGTCATAGGCTGAGCAGCAGCCCATGGTGGCCCATCTTGGTGTGTGTTACTTTATGCTTTCTCACTTCAACTTCTCACTCTTCTATTCCTGGTTGTCTAGGGTCCTATGGTCACCAGTGGGCATGGCTTAGTGACATAGTATGGCCTTCCTAGGGAGGGTATTTCTTATGCAGGAAATGGGACAAAGACTGAGTGCTGCTGCCTTCAGCCTCCCCACCACCACCACCCGCCTTTCCCTCTTTTTCTCAGAGCTCAGTGTGCCTCTTGATGTGCCTTACCTGGATGAGCCCCCTACTCCACTCCACTTCTATCGGGACTGGGTGTGCCCCAACAGGCCATGCATTATTCGAAATGCCCTGAAGCACTGGTCAGCTCTCCAGAAGTGGTCCCTCCCCTACTTAAGGTGGGAGCCTCCCTGGGGTGGTGGATGGGCAGTGATTACTGACAACTGGGCATGAGCTGAGTATCCATTCCTCCAGAGCCACAGTGGGTTCCACAGAGGTGAGTGTGGCTGTGACTCCAGACGGTTATGCAGATGCAGTGCGAGGGGACCGCTTTGTAATGCCTGCTGAGCGCCGCCTGCCCCTCAGCTATGTACTGGATGTGCTGGAGGGCCAGGCCCAACACCCAGGAGTCCTCTATGTGCAGAAGCAGTGTTCCAACCTGCCCACTGAGCTGCCCCAACTGCTGTCTGATCTGGAGCCTCATGTACCCTGGGCCTCTGAGGCACTGGGTGAGTGAAGGCAGGTGGGGAAGGGGGGTGCAAGGTGATCTCTGACCAGGAGGCAGGGCAGGGAATCTGGGAAGGAAGGGATCAGTCTGCTTGTTCATTCTCTCCCTTTGCTTTTTATTTGGTCCACACACTTGGGCCTGTGTGGTCAGGTGCTACCCACCTGCCTTCCTCAGGCCTTGACTTCATATTAGATGAATAAGGAAGCACTCCCAACTTCTTCCTCTTCTCCTTGAGATTTCTTCACTCCCACCCAGCTTTTTGCCTAGTATCCCTGTGTGTTGGCCCAGCTAGCATGTCCTTCCTAACTTGTCATCTGCCCCACAGGAAAGATGCCTGATGCTGTGAACTTCTGGCTGGGGGAGGCAGCTGCAGTGACATCCTGTAGGTGTTGGGGAACAAGCTGGAGGGGCAGAGGAAGGGAAGATGAGTTCCGGTGAGGAAGGTTGGGCTGGACTGAAGATAGGCTGGCTGTTCTTTCACATTTCCCTTGGGGTTCTAGACTCCGACACCACAAAAGGTCTCCCCTGACAGCTGAGTTGGGTAGCTACCCATGGTATTGAGACCAAAGTGCACCATTTTTTTTCCTGTTGATCCCTAGAAGCTCTCTGAAGGCCAACTAGGTCAGGAGGGAATTTAGGAGAAATCTGATGGCACCACTTCCCCTCTTGGTGGAGGTGAGCCCAGGGCCTGACCAGATCTGTTCCCTGGTGTGCTGAGTTCTGCAATGTCCACCAGCATCCTTGGTGTCTCCTTGAGCCAGATGACCCTTTATGATCTCTTCCTTTTGCCATAGGCAGTCTTGAGCTTCAGGGTTGAGGTGGTTGGCTCCCCTCTGTCCTCCAACCTCACCTCCAGGCTTTACTTACATTGACAGTGCACAAGGACCACTATGAGAACCTGTACTGTGTGGTCTCAGGGGAGAAATACTTTCTGTTACATCCACCCAGTGACCGGCCCTTCATCCCTTACGGTAGGGGACATGGCCTGGAGGGGGCTTTGGGGGAACAGGTGGCCTGCGGTGGAGGGAGGACAGCAAGATCCCGGGGCAGGCTGGTGCCTAGGCCTGAAACATGACCACAGGTCTAAAGTGCACCAGGACTCCCAACCCTCTGGACCCTGTACCTAGGGAACATGTGTGCTGGCTGGGGTAGGGAGGAACTGGCAAGCTGTGGATCACTTGAGGTTCCCCACAACCTTCTCCCTTGGGCTTTAGAACTGTACACACCTGCAACCTACCAACTAACTGAAGAGGGTACCTTTAAGATGGTGGATGAAGAAGCCATGGAGAAGGTGTCTGTTCTGTTCCTGGGTTCTGGGGAGGGGAAGGAGCAAGAACCTGAGCCCCAGAGGATAAGCACAAAAGGTCTGGGGAGGTGATACCTTGCTCTGAAAAATTGTAAGTATGGGGCTTTTTCATGCTAAGTAGAGCAGGGTTCATGGTATTCAGCTTGGGAAGGGACAGAGATGGAGGACCTGGAACTTTGGGGCCTGTTTCCTGGAAACTGCTGTGTCCCTAGGTGCCCTGGATCCCACTAGACCCACTGGCTCCAGACTTGACCCAGTACCCCAGTTACAGTCAGGCACAGGCCCTCCGCTGTACTGTGCGGGCTGGTGAGCTGCTCTACCTGCCATCTCTATGGTTCCACCATGTCCAGCAGTCCCATGGCTGCATTGCTGGTGAGGAACACACAGGCCACCCAAGGGAAAGCCCTGTCAAGGCCCAGTAGGGCATCTTTGGGAGAGGTTGGGGGCTCAGGATTAAAAGAGGGACCCTCATGTTCAGATCTCTGTTCTCCCCACAGTGAACTTCTGGTATGACATGGAATATGACCTCAAGTACAGTTATTTCCAGCTGCTCGACTCCCTAACTAAGGCTGCAGTCCTTGACTGATGTACCACTGGTGAATACTGCTAAGGACATCTTGAGGGAGAGGTTGAGCCCCTCCTAGGCTGCTGGCTTAATTCTAGAGACCACCTGGAGTTTAAGTACTTGTCTGCTGCTCAGGGTCCAGCTTAATTTGGAATCAGCCTTGGATGATCTTGGGATATGATCTTGGGATGTGATTAGGAGATGCCAGGCAGGTTTGAGTGAGCGTGCCCAGGAAGTTGCCACACAGATGAGGAGGAGTGGGGATCAGGTCCTACAGCACCTTTTACCAGTGTTGAGACTCTGGGCAAGTCACCACCTGTTGGCATTGGTGTCCTGGCTGTAAACTGGAGATAATAATGGTTCTACTGCACAGGGATGGAGATGATATCTGTAAGGTCCAGCATGGACCAGCACAAAGGAAGTGGTCAATAAAAGGTAGCTGTGAGTCATTTGTTCTGATACTCCCTGTCACAGTAGTTCCTGTGGCCCAATGAGGGCTTGAGGGTTTAGGTGAAAATTTCAGGGTAACCCTGACTGGGGCTGTGGGCCAGATCCAGGCATGGGAAGCTGTTTGCTACCCAGACCCCTTGTCTGTGACAGCCTATACAGTCCCTCAATGAGAAAAATGGACTGACCTCAGTCTTGTAACTGCCTGACTGGGCCCTCCTTGGCTGAAGGCCTCTAATGCTATTCGCAGGTTTATCCTGGCCTGGTTTGCTCTTGTCCCCTGGCTCCATGGCTGCAGGTGGGATCTCTTGTCCTAGGGTAACCTCTATTCTACAACAAGCACTGGCGGGAAGGGACAAAAACCCTACCCCTCCTGGGACATCCCTCTGAGGAAAGATTTGGTTTCCACACTCAGCCTCCCTCTGCACCCATCTGAAGAGCAGGAATGTCAACCTACCAGCCTTATCCCCGGCCACCCAACTCCAAGGGTGGAGGCAATCCAGACATGGCTTTGAAGGGCTATTTTATGTGACAGCCACACCCCCTGCCAGTTGTGATGGAGCCTGGGGTACTCCTCTCAGATTGGCAAAGGGCTCCAGTCAGGACTGGGCATTCCTGTCTTACTGGCGCTGGGAGGTTGTGCAATACCCTGCTGCTGAAGATGCTCAACTCCTCTGTTCACCACTGCTGTGGGACCCACTGTCTGCCTTCCTTCTGCTCAACACCTGACAGCACCTCTCCCGGAGCTCCCTCCTATAAGTCAGGGCTGACTGGGGCAGGCCCAGATGGTGATGGCTGCAGAGTGGGACCTCGGGGAACCAGGGCTGACACAAGAGGGTGTCAGTGGCTCTGGGACATGCTTAAGGTGCCTCATTTCCTGGACAGGTGGTGGGTGTGGGCCTTGGGTGGAGTGAAAGAGGCATATGGGAGGGGCTGGGGAGGTGCTCGGGGCTAGCTAGAGCACCCTGTCTCTGGGTTAAAAGCTGGAAGTCCTTGGTCCTGTGGCTGCTGCCTCATCATTCCTGCTCCTGAGAACTTGGCCTCATGGCTCTGGTAAGGCCTTCCAGGGCACTGGGCCCTCACTTCAAACCCAGATCCCCATCCAGGGTCTGATTATTGCTGTTTCTTAGAGAAGCTGTGGTCTTCTTGAGGTTTAGCAAGGAATATTTGCTGGTTGCAAGATGAGACCAGTTAGTAGTAGCCAGGGGAGAAGCAGTGACCTGGGTGAGGGACTACCCCAAGTTCTTTCTGTCCTGGAAATGGCTCCAGGTTGACCACAGGGAATTGGGTCTTGGGAACTCAAAGGCTCCCAGCTGCTGTCCTGGGGCCCCAGAAGGAAGTGGCTGCTTGATGCTCCTTCTGACTCAATTGCTTGGGATGCGAGAGCCCCAGGACTGCCACAGGTGGATGAGCTTCCCCATCTCTGATCCTGACCTTGGTAGCTTCTTGGACTTGATCTGTCAGCACCCTTCCAGAGGCAGAACTGAAAATCAGCGGGAAGTACTAGTTGGCACAGGCTTTCTCTGCCCTGGCTACTTTATAAACCCGAACCAAGGAGTGTGTTTGGAGGGAGCTCTCTGGAGACCATCATAGAGCAGAGAGCCCATTTCCAGAATGGGGTGGACAGTATAGGAAATGGCTCATCCATGATGTCCAAGGCCCTGACATACCCCTTCATCTCCCTTGATAGCTTACATCCCAATCTGCCCGAGACCAGACTCAAAGCTGCTTAGCTGGGGTGTGTGGTGAGGCTGTGGGATGGAAAGACTGAAGGATGCTGTATTCAGGATATAGAAGTACCTGTGTATGGGGCTTAAATTGGAGCTAGCCTGGTAACTAGATCTCCCCCAGGCAAGCGGCTATGTCTCCATGCCTCAGTTTCTTTATGGATTGATCCTAATAGGGCCCCTGCATAGGGTAGTCATGTGACAAATGAGTTCATGTATATAGAACCCTTGGCACAGAGCTGGACACAGCATTATATAGATGTGGGCAGATGTCAGCAAGGAGATACCATATCTCCTATGGAATCAGAAGTCTGAAGGGGTGGAGGGTGGGCCTGAGCCTGATCCTTTTGGTTCAGGATTAGGCCTCGAGGGACTGCCCCAGCTTCCCCTATGGACATTGACATTGTTGGCCTCATCTACCTGCAGTAAACCTGTCCCCTTTCCCTCCTCTGTAGGCAAAGGTGCCTGGCACCTGCCTGCTCACTGTGCGTGTCCTGCAGGCCCATGGTCTGCCTTCCAAGGACTTAGGTGAGTGTGCTGTTCCCCTGGCCCTGTGCTGGGCCAAGGAAAGTGGAGAGTACTACAGCTGGCTTCAGTGGGCAGTGTCAGTGGGAAGAGATAGGAGGAGGGGTCCTGGAATAGAGTGCTAGGAGAAGATTCTGAGTAGATGGTGGCAGTGGGGTCACCCATTAGACATGAGTGATGGAGACTCTGGTGGCTGGGCTGGGAAGGGCTGTTGGTCATCACTGCGCACTTGTTCATCCTCCCTGCAGTGACCCCCTCTGATTGCTATGTGACTCTGTGGCTGCCCACGGCCTCCAGCCACAGGTTTCAGACACGCACGGTCAAGAACAGCAGAAACCCCATCTGGAATCAGAGCTTTCACTTCCGAATCCACAGCCAGCTCAAGGTGGCCAGGCATCAAATCCAGCCCTACTCACCATCCCCTTGAAGCCACTGCTACCTGTCCTCTCCCAGGCCCTCATTGCCTGCCCTACCCCCTTTCCCATCTTACCCTCCTTTCTGCAGTCTTCTTACTCTGTTTCCTTTCCAGAATATCATGGAATTAAAAGTTTTTGACCAGGACCTGTTGACCAAAGATGACCCAGTGTTGTCAGTGCTATTTGATGTGGGGACCCTGCAGCCTGGGGAGTTTAGACATCAGAACTTCTCGCTGAGCTCACAGGCAAGGCTGTACTCAAGGCAGCAGGGGCTCCCCAACCTGGGAAAGGGGATACTTTGGAGAGTAGCTGGCCCAGGTATCTGTCACATCCCAGAGGCCTCTGCCAATTAGGAGTGACTTTTCATCAAGGAGCAGACCTTCCTCATCCTTTCTTGCCTTCTGAACCAAAGAACAGCTTTCTTGGAACAGCCAAAGGAATGTGGACACAGTAGCCTGGAGAGGGACAATGGCCCTTCCCTCAGACCCCTTCCTTCACCTTTACTTCAGCATCCCTAGCTGGTGTCTGGGTTGGAATCTACACACACACACACACACAAATACACACACACCACTCTTCTCATTCTTTCTAACTTGCTTCTCTATCTCCCCAGGGTGAGGAGCGGCTAGAAGTTGAGTTTCAACTGCAGAGCCTGTGAGTTGGGCCATGGGGCAGTCCCAGGTGGGAATGGAATGCTTCCTTCTGGGAATGACAGTGCCACCCAGAGCTGGCGCCGTTCCCTGGTGGAGAAGTGGTGCCCAGGACTCTAGGGGGTGAGAACCTGGGTTCTTGCAAAGGGTCACTGGGGGCTCTTTCCAGGACAGACTGTGTGGAGCAGCTTATCAGCAATGGCATCCTGGTGGTGAGTCAGGAATGGTGCTTGGGGGGTGACTAGGGGTCCCCAGGTTCCCTCATGCCATCTTCTTGCTCTTCATACCCATGGCTGCCTGGGTTAGAGTAAGCTGGTTGGGGAGCTTTGGGGTGTTAGTGCCTTGAGGGAGTACAATCTCAAGCAAATGCTAGGTAACTGGGAGCCAAGGTAATGAAGTGCTGAAGAGGAGGAGGCAGGGTGCTAGGAGGGTGGGGCCCTCAAGCAGGGGTGTCGATGATAGCTGAGGAGCTCTCTTAACAACGCAGGCCCGGGAGCTCTCCTGCTTGCATGTTCAGCTGGAAAAGACTGGGGACCAGAAGGGTGAGTTCCCAACCTACTGGGATAGTCCCTCCACCTTTTTGTTTGTTTGTTTGTTTGTTTAGTTGTAGGTGGACACAATGTCTTTATTTATTTATTTTTATGTGGTGCTAAGAATCGAACTCAGTGCCTCGTGCATGCTAGGCAAGTACTTTGCCACTGAGCCACAACCCTAGCCCCAAGTCCCTCCACCTTTATTCCTTATCTTCCTCCTTTCTAAGGGGAAGGCACTAGCTGTCTTCAGTTCCCAAAGGCAGGAATAAGGGCTAGAGAATAAGTCTGTGCTGGGGCTTCACAGGAGCCAAGATTTTCCACCTAGCATTCAGAGTGTGGTGTGGGCTCCAACATCCAACCTGGACCAACCAACCCTCCATTTCAGAGAGAAGGAAATGCCCTCCAGGAATAGTGAGAGATGCCTTGGGCAGAGATCCTAGCACTGTCCTCTCTGCTCTATTTCCTGTTTCCAGGGTCAGAGACCAGAGTTCAGCTTGTAGTTCCAGGGGCCTGTGAGGGACTTCAGGAGGCCTCTGTGGGCACTGGCTCTTTCTGTTTCCATTTCCCAGCCTGCTGGGAGCAGGAACTGAACATCCATCTACAGGTAATGGCCTCATTCCCAGGAGCTGGGTCCCCAAGGCCACCCTCACTCCCTCCGCACCTCCTCCCAGCCTGACCTCTGCTTGCCTGTACCCCACTTCCTTTACCCTTCTCCCTGACAGAGGCAGGCAGGCCCCTGGGTAGAGTGTATGGGGTTCCTGTTCCCCTCCCTCCTATTCCTTTTTTGCTGCCAAGGGGAGTTGGTGGGGTTCTTGCTGACAGGGAGGGTAAAGGATTCATGGGTTTTCTCTGTTCCCCTACAGAATGACCCTCAGGAACAACTGAAGGTGCCACTACAGACCCTGCCCACTGACCAGTTGGTGAGACTCATCTTTCCCACATCACAGGTACTGGTCACCCAGAGAAGGAAAGCTCAAGGTACAGACTGGGCTGGCACTGACCCCAGCCCTTTCCTTAAAGGGAGAGGCCTGCTTCTATAGCTACTTTTCTCCTCAGGCTATGCACTGAACAAGTGCTAGGGCCAGGCTTTGGGTAAGAGGGTGGCCTCTATGGAGTTGGTTGGGGGCCTGAGGGTGTATGGGGCTATCTAGGGCCCGGTGAGAGGAAGGGCCGAACAGAGGTGGCCAAGCTTTGTGATGGGGTTTTCATGGTTTCCAGGAACCCTTACTGAGGGTGGAACTGAAGAAAGAAGAAGGGTGAGAGGCCTGGCTGGGGCTTGGGAAAGCAACCAGGTAGGGGTGGTGAAGGTTGGGCCTCTGGCCTGCAGAAGCGACAGGGAGAGGTGGGGAGCTTGCAGCACAGTTGCACCTCTGGGCACCGCTTCCCTCACATGTAGAGCACAAAGTGCCAGAGGAAGCCTCAAAAAGCTTATTTTCTTAACTGTTTTTTCATTTGTTTCTGCTCTAGTTTGAGGGGTGCCAGTGCCTGACACTGGGCCCTGGATAAATAAATGTTTGGCTAAAAAACAGGTGGGGAGGTGAGGATAGTAGCAGGGCTTGAGGCACAGAGAAGGCAATGAAAATGAAACAGGAAGTTGTGCTGTTTGGGTGGGAGCCATTGTGGATGGACCTTAAATGCCTTCTTTTTTTAAAATTTTATTTAAAATGTTTTTTTTTAAACTTCCTTGAAAAATATTTTTAGTTATAGATGAATACAATAACTTTATTTTGCCTATTTGTTTTTATGTAGTGCTGAGGATTGAACTCAGTGCCTCACATGTGCTAGTCAAGCTCTCTACCACTGAGCCACAACCCCAGCCCCTTAAATGCCTTCTTAGGAGGAGTTGCCATCAGCCCTCTCTGTCTTGGGAAGTAACTTCTCACCATGAGAGGAGGAGGGCATTGGACCTTCTTTCATGCCCCCTCTATTGTCATTTTTGGAATTGGTGGGCAATAGAGAGAAGATGAGCCTTGGAAGTGGGATTCACAGTTTCAGGTCCCTGCATCGGGGGCCTGAGTGGCCCCTTCAGTCCCTGTATTCCCAGGCTCATGTGAATGTCCATGTGTGGGTCTGGGCCCCTCAACTCCCTGTCACACTTCACAATGTCAGGCTTCTGAGCACACAGGAGTGGTGGTGTGCATTGAGGAACGGGGAATCTTGAGAGTTTAGTGGCTATGTTGAGGCAAGCCCAGCATTCCCTTTTTCTGGTGTGGTTGGGAGCTGCCTCACAGACTTTTCCTCCTCTTCCAGCCCACGAGAGCTGGCCGTGCGTCTGGGCTGCAGGCCCTGTGCAGAGGAGCAGGCCTTCTTGAACAGGAGGAAGCAGGTGGTAGCTGGGGCCCTGAAGCAGGCCCTGCAGCTGGACAGAGACCTGCGAGAGGATGAGGTATGGGTCTGGGCAAGATTTGGTTGGGGCAGCCCTGGGCTTGCTTGGGCCCTGGGTTGAACACAGATTGTTTGTTTATAAGGAGCCCAGAGCTGGTGCCAACCTACATCTGTGGCTGCCGCCTGCCCTGCCCTGTTTCCTCTTGCGTGACGCAGTCAGGGGCTGTAAGTGCAGTGTTTTGCATGAGGCACTTGGAGCTCTCTGGCAGGAACTTCCCCACTGGGCTGGCTTTCTTCTCTTCGTTTCTTGGTCTTTACCCTGGTCCAGGTTTTTGGAATAGGTCCCATCTAACTGATTAGTGACAAGATAGCTAGTATAAGGATGGCCCCCTGGCATGGGTGGTCCCATGGGTCTGGGTCATCTAGTGGGGGAATGACATCTAGCAAATAGAAGGAGACTTTGGAGTTTGTATTGAGGCTTCCAGAAAGTGATACCAGAAACTTAGGGGCTGAGGGAGAAATGAGGCCTGGCATCTGTCAGGCCCTGACCCCTCACAACTGGAGAAGCCCAGCCCTCAGGAGGCCCTCTCTGAATCAGAGCTGGCCCAAGTCCCCCTGACACATATTGACTGGTCTTAGTTGTGAAGCAAGCTGAATGATTCCTTGATCTGTTTTCTTTTTCTTTTTTATTTTTAATATTTATTTTTTAGTTTTAGGTGGACACAATATCTTTATTTTATTTTTTTTATGAGGTGTTGAGGATCAAACCCAGTGCCTCACACATGCCAGGCGAGCACGCTCCCACTTGAGCCACATCCCCAGCCCCTTGACCTGTTTTCTTGCATGGCTTTTTCCATCCCTCAGGCCTTTCCAAGCCTGACTGTCCTCTCTTCTAGATCCCAGTGGTAGCTGTTATGGCCACTGGCGGAGGGATCCGGGCAATGACTTCCCTGTATGGGCAGCTGGCTGCTCTGAAGGAGCTGGGCCTCTTGGATTGCGTCTCTTACATCACAGGGGCCTCAGGCTCCACCTGGTGAGCTGGTAGCAAGTTGAGTGCTGGAGCCCGTGTGTGGCTGGTTGTATTGTGGGAGGGAGTGCTGGTGGTAAGGTGCTCCTAGGACCCAGAGGCTCTGAGCAAACTGGAAGGGCTGGGAAAACGCATGTGCTAGGGAGAAATATGCTCCCAGGCTCTCTTAAAGGTGCCTGCCAGAGGTACCTGTTGTCCTAGAAGAGAAAGTTTAAGGCATGTGAAGTCTGGATGGGATCCTTAAGTGACATCCCCCCTCGCCTGTGCTTTGACTTTTCTCAGGGCCTTGGCCAACCTCTATGAGGACCCAGAATGGTCTCAGAAGGACCTGGCAGGGCCCACCGAGTTGCTGAAGACCCAGGTGACGAAGAGCAAGCTGAGTGTGCTGGCTCCCAGCCGGCTGCAGTGGTATCAGCAGGAGCTAGCCGAGCGTGCCCGCCTGGGTCACCCAACCTGCTTCACCAACCTGTGGGCCCTCATTAATGAGGCGCTGCTGCATGATGAGGTGTTGGGGGTAGACCCTGGATGGGGTGCAAAGCCAGGGCAGGGTTCAGAACTTGAGCCTATCCCCTGGTAAAGGGTGGGAAGGGCTCCAGGCACCAGGGAGCTATAGGCTTAGTGCTGATCATCTTTCCCCAGCCTTGTGACCACAAACTCTCAGATCAAAGGGAAGCCCTGAGTCGTGGCCAGAATCCTCTGCCCATCTACTGTGCCCTCAACACTAAGGGGCAGAACCTGACAACCTTTGAATTTGCCGGTGAGTGGCCTCAGAGCTGAGATATATGCTCTTATGGATGGTGGGATAAGGGATAACCTGGCCTATAAGAGGTGGATCTTACACCCACATCTGCTGGCCATTTCCCAGAGACTGTCATCTTACTAGGCCTTTGGATGAAGCAAGGGCCTTAGGTTGTGTACTTAAAGTCACAGCAACAAGGTCTGAGCCTCCTAGTCACCAGGCTGTCCTCAAGTGAAATCCATAGTGGATGTATGGATGTCTGAAGGTCCCATGCCCTATGGCTGAGTGTATGGCCTCCTCACAGAGTGGTGCGAGTTCTCCCCCTATGAGGTCGGCTTCCCCAAGTATGGGGCCTTCATCCCCTCTGAGCTCTTCGGCTCTGAATTCTTCATGGGGCAGCTGGTGAAGCAGCTCCCAGAGTCCCGCATCTGCTACCTGGAAGGTGAGAAACATCTTCTCCACCCAGGCTGGAGAACTGGGTGGAGTGGGGAGAGTGGGTCTTCAGCCTGGCCAGCTCAGTCACTGGGAAGTTTACTGGTCTAGGAGGGGCCATGAGGATTGTGATGGGGATAGGGGACTCTTCCCTTCATGTCCTTCTCTCAGGTATCTGGAGCAATCTGTATGCAGCCAGCCTCCAGGACAGTTTGTACTGGGCCTCAGAGCCCAGCCAGTTCTGGGACCGCTGGGCCCAGGATCGGGCCAGCCTGGGTAGGTGCTTGGGTTCCTTTATTGGATGCAAAGGGGCAGCCAGTTGGGGAAATGTTTGGGGCATGGTAGAGGTGGCTCTTGGGTCTTTGGGGGCCTCAACTGTTTCCCTCCAGGGTCATCACAGGGGCTAGGATAAAGGTTCCTCCCACCCCTGCCTGTATAGACAAGGAGCAGGTGCCCCATCTGAAGGTAGAAGAACCACCCACAAGAGCTGGCAGGATTGCTGAGTTTTTCACTGACCTTCTGACGAGGCGCCCACTTGCCCAGGCCACTCATAATTTCCTACATGGCCTCCATTTCCACAAGGACTATTTCCATCATCCTCACTTCTCCACCTGGAAAGGTATCTGCTTCTTTGCCCTGGTCTTAGGCATCAAGCCTGAGCCCTGCAGCACCCACTGTACTCTCGCCTTTCTTTCTCCTTGGCACCACACCCTTTGAGACCAGTGCCCTGGCTATGGGGTGCAGGGACTCCTTTCTTCTCTCCTTGGGTTGGAGGTTCAGGTTGTGGGGGTGCTTCTTTAGCAGGAGAGCAGGGGCCCAGGGACACAGTCTCTCCTCTTACCAGTGTCAAGACTTGTTGTCAGCCCTGAGGAGCCCTCAGAGTCAGTGACTGTTGCTGCTTCTCCTGCTCCATCCCCACACTTTTGCAGCTACCAAACTGGATGGGCTCCCCCATCAGCTGACACCCATGGAGCCCCACCTTTGCCTGCTGGATGTCGGCTACTTTGTCAATACTAGCTGCCCACCCCTCCTGCAGCCCACCCGGGATGTGGACCTCATCCTGTCACTGGACTACAATCTCCATGGAGCTTTTCAGGTTGGGAGTGGGGTGGGTGGGACTTCTTACAGGACTGGAAGGTTGGGGCAGGAGTGGGAAGTGGTGGGCCAACTCCAGCTGGGCCTGTCTTGGCCCCTGGCAAGATCTGCTTTGGAGTTCAGTAAATGTCTGGCCCAGCTTCCCTTAGGCGGCATGGCAGTGACACCATGTGGAATGGAACACAGACTATTAACTCCCCACTGTGGAGAACTTGCTTCTTCTGATGCCTTCTACCTGCCCTGCAGCAGCTGCAACTCTTGGGCCGGTTCTGCCAGGAGCAGGGGATCCCATTCCCACCCATCACACCCAGTCCAGAAGAACAGCACCAGCCTCAGGAGTGCCATGCCTTCTCTGACCCTGCCCAGCCTGAAGCCCCTGCTGTGCTGCACTTCCCTCTGGTCAATGACTCCTTCCAGGAATACTCAGCCCCTGGTAAGCCACGTTCCACCTGCATCCTTCCTGTCTCTCTTCAAGTGACCCTAGACTACCTCTCCAGAGCCCTTTCCCTCCCTGGCTAGGCTGCACTCTCTCCCCAGGGGTGCGGCGGACACCTGCAGAGAAGGCAGCTGGGGAGGTCAACCTCTCTCCTTCTGACTCCCCATACCACTACACAAAAGTGACCTACAGCCCAGCGGACACAGACAAGCTGCTTCACCTGACACATTACAATATCTGCAACAACCAGGAGCGGCTGCTGGAGGCCCTGCACCAGGCCGTGCATCGGCGGAGACAGAAGCAGCAACACAGACCTGAGTGATACCAGGGAGGTGTACTGGCTGGGCTCCCACCTGGTCCCTGCCAGCTTTGACTCTTTGAGCATCACCAAATGTTCTGGAGCTCTGGTGTCCATGCATAGCTCAACCAAGGTGTATTCTGAGGATCATCTAGAGGTGGCAATGAAGCCAGCAACGACTTTATCCACAGCATCCAGGCTAAAGCCTGTAAGCAGAGAGGCTGGACTCCCTTCCTCCTTCAGAAGGCTGGGAGTGAGGGGCCCAGCTCATTGTAGCTGTAGTTAGGACCAGGGCTACCTTCTTTACAAAGGGGGATGGGATTTGGGGCTCAACATTTCCATGACAGCAGGGGGTAGAGATGGGGATAAAGTGGCCAAATGGACAGAGTAAAGTGGAGCACTTTATGTATTACAGCGGCTCTTGCAAATAGGAAGTACTGTCTGAAATTATCTGTCATCCCAGGCTCTTAGTTGCATATGGTCAGGACTGGCTTAAAAAGCAAATTGACACACCATCTCCCCAGGTACCTGGTATAGTGAGCTCACCAGTGCAGATTCCCCTCAAGGAGCAGGGCATCTGCTTGGGTCACCCTTTCTAAGCAGAGTGGAGACCAGTGGAGTCCAGGGGTCACTAATGCTGTAGCCCTGGCCTTGCCTAGGTTAGCAGACTCCCAGGCTGTCCTCTTCACCCATGCAGGGATCTTGGGGTGAGGCCACAGTCCAGTTAAGGGGCTGTTTCTTGCCACATGGTAGGGGTTGCCAGACTTGGGATCAGATGAACCAAAAAGAGACTAGTAACAGTGAGGTAACTAGCAGCTTGTGATCATGATGGGATACATCTAAAAGGAACTGTCTATCCCAGAAGCAGCCAGGGTAGGGATGTCCTTGTGCTGATAGCTGTCACTGGTTCCCCAGATAGAGTCTTCACGTGGCACCTGGAGGTTTGGTATTGCCCTGGGGTTCACTTCAAGGCCCAGGCCTGTTGAAAGAAGAGAGAGAGAGAGAGAGATAGGGACTGACCATCCCAGAATCTTCCTTGAGCAGTCATCAAGCTCTCTGGCCTCTCTTGGAACACTCCTTCTAGAAGCTGTTTCTAGAAGCTGACAGGCAACAACAGTTTTATAGAAAGAATGGGAGGTAATTTCCTTGATTCTCGTGATCCAACTTGCTATAGCTGCCAGACCTGACCAAGTGACTCTCAGATCCTTCCCTAGGCATGTGTCTGGAGTCACAGAGCCAAAAAAAAAATGGCTATCCTGGTAGTCCCAGAATTCACTGTGTCTAGGACAAGTCCCTTCAGCAACACATCATCTAAACTTGGAACCCATGGGCTCTGCAGGAGTACGAGTGGATAATTACACCAGAGACCATAGCCAGCTGCTTCCTGTTATAGGGCACGTGGTTGTGTGTGACATACAGACTGATACTGGGCCTGGGGTCCCCTGTATGGAGGATTTCACACTGCTTTCTCCAATCTCTCTCCCATGATCTCCCAACTCAAGTGTCCTCTCCACTGGTTTGCAGGTGGGAAAGATGTGGGTAAGGTAGTTAAATATCAGAATTATGCTAGGATCTATAGGAGGCTGAGGACCTGCAAAAAAGAGTCGTGTGTTTCTCTGCCTCAACCTGCCATGCTCTCCTAGCCTTTGCATTTCTTGCCCTTGGTCTGTAATATCAGGGACATGCTGACATCTTGGCCCTTTGTTCCTAGGGAGCAGGGCTGGGAAGTCGGAGAGGATGGAGATAGAGCAGGGTATGAGCAAGGGCAGATGGTTGGGCTATGCTGCAAATGAACACTATTGTTTGAAGAGGAAAGAAGGGGAGCTTTCTAGCAATGTGTAAGGGAAGCCTAGGATACCTCCTCCCTTGGGGCAGGCTGGAGCAGGAAAGGTCTTATACAGCCTCTGTGGCAGAGCTGGCCATCTGCTGGGTCTGGCCCAATGTGGAGGATGGGGCAGGCAGAGCCGAAGTGGAGTGAGGTTCTGGGAGGTGACAGTCATATCTGTGGGGAAAGAACCTTGTGGCTTGGGCTCTGCCATCACAACTGTGAATGGGGTTTGCACCCAGAGTAGGGGTGTAGGGCTTCCTATTTCCCAGGGGTAGCTGAAGGTTCTCAAAGGCAAGGGACCCCCCATACCCCAGCAGAATAGGTCAGAGTTCCAGGACCTTGTGTGTGAGAATAGCCTTGGTGCCAGTCATTGAAGCTCAGAATCCTCGCCCCCGACCACCACCACCTACTCAAGCATCCCACCTGAGCAAAGCAGCTGCATTCTCTGCCAGGAGTCTGGCCTTGGGTTCCAGGCTTAGATTCTGGGCTGTAGAGCAAGGGAAAAAGGACAGTTACCCTGGCTCAGACCCAAGCCATCCCAGGCAGCCAACTCCCCTGCTGCTCCTTCCTCCTGCCCCTGGAGGTTTTGCCCTGCTCTACTGAGCATCCCACATGGACAGTGAGGGTGAGCAGTTTCCCCAGGGCATCCTGTCTCCTGGACACTCAACACAGCCAGGAGAGGAGCAGCCTAGACGAGTGGGAGGTACTGAAAACTGAAGAAACTTCAGGTCTTTTAGGAGTTGTGGGAAGATGTCCACAAAGATAGAGCCCAGGGGAAACTGAGGAATGGGGCCAGACCCCAGGACATTCCCTGATCACACTGTCAACACAGAGCCTTGCAACAACCCAACAAAGGCTAAAATGGTTGAAGGGGGTGCTTTCTGGTGTTCCTCCTGGTGGTAGAACTGGGCTTGATCACTGTTCACAAGACCCCTCAAGGAGGTGGCATTCAGAGGTGTCTGAGGATTAGAGAAATCCCTCAGGAGCAGATAAAGCAGAACCTGTAATATCCTTGACAGAACAGAATCCACAAGGATCCTGGCAGGAAGGGCTTGGGTGTGGGTTTCAAAAGTGGTAGACTACAAAGGGGGTGGAACAGGACTATGAGGCAGCTGGGGGTCAGACAGGCTCCACCTCCTACCAATTAGCTGCGTAACTTTAAACAAGTTACTTAACATCTCTGGGCCTTGAATTCTTTGAGGAAAGAAAATAAGTCCCAGGTATTTCTCAGGGGTTAGAAATACTTGATGTGAAAATTTCCAGTGCCAGTTGAATTGGGAGTTTAGGACCCAGGGAATCAATACCCTGCCCCTGCCATCACCAATCCTTCCCCATAAGCCTACCTGCTGCACTGCCCAGGGCTTGCCGCCAGCGCTCAGCCTGCTCTTCAGATGGTGCTGCAAACAGGATCTCTGCCCCGTTGCTCAGCCTGGCACCCAAGCAGCCATGGGTCAAACTCAACCACTGCCTCCAACCACTGCCTCCAGCCCCTCAGCTTTATGGCTGCAGGTGGAGTCAATCTCACCTTAAGGAGAACACATGCTTCCTGCCCTGGTGGTCCTTCATCTTCTCACACTGGGCTCCCTCAAGGTCAAGGGGGACAGTGGAAGCCACTTTCTGAGGAGAAATTAGGTACAGGGTAACTGTGGACATCTACGCTTTTCCCTATGGATTTCTTTCTGTCCTCTGACCCCTTAGCCTTGTCTCCAGCCCTCAAAAGTCCATTTCTTGCTCCCTTTGCTATCTGGTACCTCCACTGCCATCTTCTCATCCAAGAACAACCTCAGAGAGCTGCCTTCCAAGGCCCCATAGCAACTGTCCCAGGAGCTGGCATCATGCTGTGGAGAGAGGTGGTGAGGTAGCACACAAAGGGGAGGCGACAGCCAGGTCTGGTCCCATCATTTGTCCAGAGCCCCCCAGGGGAAGTCCTGGGCTGCACCAAGGTCATTAGAACCAGGAGGGACTCTAACAAGGAAACCAAGAAAAGTAGGAAGAGAGGAGCAGCCCTACCCCTTCTGGGTGGGACAGAGGTTGTGAAGTACCTGGGAGCAGGGACTCAGTTGCTCTATCCAAATCCAAAAGACAAGCCCCAGGTGGCACTTCTGAGCCAGAGTGGTTTTGCAAAGGGGGACTGCATGGGGAATTTTCTGGCACTTACCACCTTCCCCCCAGGCAGGAGCTGCTGCTTAAGCTCGAGAGACCCCTTCATGGCAGGGGTACTCTTTGTCTCCTGAAAAGATGGGATCAGCACAATGATCCTTTTCTGGAAGGTCCTCCTAACCTGCTCCTACTCTACTTTTTTTATTTCTAATGTCCCTCAACTCTATGGACAGTGTGCCCAGCTCCTGCTGATTGTTCCAGGGGATGGGTCCTTACCACCTTGGGTTCCTGGGCTCCTGCTGTCTGGCCGTATGCTCCAGGGAGATGCTGGTGGTGAGGGGAGCCCTGACTTTCAGGCTTAGAGACTCTCCCCATGCACTACCCTCAGGCTCTGTTCTCCAGGTGTACCAAGCCTTTGCTTGCCCCTTGCCCCAGCGTCTCCGCACCTCTGTCATCTTCTGCAGCTGGGCAAACTTCTCCTTCTGAACTGCCAGCAGCTTTTCTAAATCCTTGTGTCTGTGGAGCAGCAGCTCTACATCTGACACTGAGCGCTAGAGAGAAGTGAGTCAGGGTAAGGTCCAGTTTATTGGGTGCTGAGAGCCTTCCCTCACCCTCCACAACCCAGCCTGGGTGACCAGTGAGTGGAACAGCAGCAGGGTCTGTTCTGGGCCATGGCTGCCAGAGGACATTTGGCTCTGGGCAGTCTCCACTCACCCCAAAACTGGGCTCCAGCAAGAGGCCCTCCCTGGAAGCCAGCCAGGCATCTGCCTGCTCCACACCCTGCCTCAGCTTCTGCAGATCCCAGGTCTGTTTGAGGCGTTGCTGGCACAGGGTCCACTCTGCCTGGAGCTCCTGCAGCTGCCAATGCAGGTCCTGCAGATACTCTGCCACCTGAAAGGGAAGGACAGCTGCAATGAGAGCTGGGCACTCGTGGCACTCCCACTCCAGGAAGGGCAGGAGAACCAAATTGAAAGCAGAGGGACCTTCCCCATTGTGGCCGCTCTTTCCCTCCCTGGCCTTCCTGTACTGCTGGTTTTCACACCTGCTCAGGTTCCAAGGCATTGGGAAGTTGGGCTCATCCCACCCTCTATGCTCACACCTCCAGGGACATAAAGTGGCCATTTTCCACCATTTTCTGCCCTTCCTTTTGTATGTCCTGGGCTTGAAGGCAATGTTCCTGGATTTCTTGCTGCAGTTCCTCATGCTGCCCAAGAAGCTGCTCAGTCCCCACCATGTCCCCAGCCAGCTCCTGGGAAGACACCAGCACCTTCCTCTCCTGAGCCCATGCTCTGCAGGGAAAGAAAGCTGCTACCAGAGCTGGCAGGACAGCCTGGGGGACAAGGGCAGAGACAGTTCTGCTCCCCCAAATCCAGGATGACCGCCATCTCTCAAGGCAGAGCTGAACCAACTGCCAAGGCAGAAGACCACCTACAATAATTCCCGGCAGTGCCCAAGGAAGGCATGGCCTTGGGCAGCCTGTGCCAACTGCTGGTCCCACTCCTGCGCCTTCACCTCCAGGGTGGCCCAGGCCTTCTGCACCTTGGCCAACTGCTTGGCCAGGCCCTCTTGAGCCTCAGGGTGCCACTGGCCCAGTCTGCAGGTTTCCATCTGTACCCGTGCCAACTCCTTTTTGATAGCCTCCAGTTCTCTCTGCAACCAGAACACAAGATCAGCCCACAGTCTCCCCTTTGAACCCCCATTCATGCATGTTCCCCATTCAGAAGCCCAGGTCTCTCTAAGGAGCACCCTACATTCTGCTCTATAATCTGGGCCAAGTTCCAGGGCCCTGAGGGGGAAGGCCCAAATAGAATCCCTGGGTGCAGGGGACTCCTGTGGACCTCTGGGAAGGGGCTGAGATGAACAGATACACTTCTGGCTTCTGGGAGGTGCTCAGATGGGAAGGCCTTGGGCAAGGTCCTCACCTGCAGGCGCCTGTGCTGGGGCTGCAAGGACTGCACAGATGACACGCAGTGGCTATGGATCTTTCCCTCAATCAGGGCAGTTTTCTCCTGCATCCAGCCCTGAAGCTCTGTCACTGCCTTTTCTAAGCCACGGACCTCTCGGGCTGCAACCAAGTTCTGGGAGAGAAAGGAGGCCCTGCTGGGGCTGCATTCTGTTCCCAGGGTCCCTTCTCCCTGAGACATGGCCTCTTCAGTTATCTCCTTTTGAATGAGGATGTAGTGACTCATCCATGACCCCCAGGAAATATCCTAGACGTGGCAGCTATACAATGAATGTGATGTTACTGGGGTTGAGAAGGAGCTTTCAGTACTCATCTCATGGGAAAGACAAGCATGGCCCTGGAGTGCTTGAGGACACATCCATTCATGTAAAGAGCAGGCTGGTCTGTGGGAGGGTCTGGGCAGGCCACAGCTGTAGCATTTCTGCTGGGGCCAGGACAGGAGGAGTGGGTTAGCTCTGGAGCTGACTGCCCCAGGCCAGGATCCTTGGGCTGTGGGGTCAGCCAAGGACTCAATGAGCTGGACTGCTCTCAGAAACCAGCAGCTGTGGTCAAGAGCTAAGGTTCTGGAAGAAAACGGATTTCCTTAGTGAACAAACCCACTCAGAGCATTTAGATTTGGGGAGTGGGTGAGGGAGAAGGGGGAGAACTTGGCACTGCAAGAGGAGAGAGCACATGGAGTTAAGTGTGAGACTGTTGAAGAAGAGAAGGGACAAGGTTTGTCTTATTAGAACTGGAGCCCATGTTTGGGAAAGGGAAAGGCTTCAATGGATTTAGAAGCTGGCCAGACACACTACCTGATGCTTCTTGAAGCTGTCGATGGTACTAGGAGGAAGCCAGATCAGTTGAGAGAGCTAGATGGGGGGACTGAGGCCCCCACCTGCTTGTCTTTGGGAATTAGACCAGTGCACGCATGCACACACTCCACAGCTGATAGGGCTGCTTGTTTCTGGTCCTGGCAGTGAACAGGATGGGCCAGCCCCTTGGCTACCCTGTCCACCCTGGTCTGTGGGTGCCTACCTCTGTACGCACTTTGATTGTCCTGTCCAGCCTCTCCCAAGTGGCCTCAATGCGGCTCTTCTGGGCTTGAATCTGGGGATAGTACCTGGGTGCTCCTTTCTCCAGGGGCCTTGCCAGATCCCTCAGGGCCTGCACCTTGACCTGCCCCAGGCTCTGGATTTCCCTCCTGAAAGCATCAAACTTCTCTTCCAGCACCTGCAAGGTTGTGGAACCAGGTAGTGTCACTCTGAAGGTAGTGTCTAGAAGCCTGTGGAGCTCATGAAGAACTTGGCAGGATCCAATGGCTACATAATCTGTCGGCCCTGGTTCTAGAACCACAGGGATCCTCCTAAAGATGCCCCTTCCCATTTCCTTGCTGCACCCCCACGGCATCCCTCTCATCCTCAAACACAGGCCTTCCTCACTCTTGCTCAGCCTGAATTCACTGTCCCCCAGGTTTGCCCAGGACTGACCCACCTTGACACTCTCCAGGTCCTGCCCATAGTCCTGGGACTCAGCGATGGCCACCCTGGTGGTCAGCCAGGCATCGAGGAGCAGGGTCTCTTGCTCCAGTTGGTGGAGCTGTAGCTGCTCCTGCAGGCCCTGCCCCCTGCCCTCCAACCTCCGGAGCAGCTGCACGTGGGCCTTGCTCACAGCTTGCAGCTGAGCCAGCACCTTGGGGCTGCAGCAGGAAGGATAGTTAGGACTGGCACCCTTCTGCAGGCTGGACTAGCTAGCCTCAGGCACCTCTGTGGGGGGCACTCTTCTCCTCCCAGGAGGGTTGGCTGTGGCCCACCTGTCTGGGTTCTGCCTGCTGTCCAGAAGGGCTGCTGACCGCTGCAGCTGCTTCATGCGCTGACTGAATCCCTCCAGGTCTCTCTTGGTGGCCTCCAGCTGACGCAGAAGGGCCTGTGTGGCCTCAGCACTCTGGCCCATGTCCTCACTGTCAAGGACATGGCCCCGTTCAGCCAGCCAGGATCCTGCTTCCAGGAGCTGGGGTGACAACAGATCATTTTTTCCCTGGATGAAGACTCTGGGACTCTAGCCTGTGATTTGTGGCCTTGAGATTTAGAGCCATAGTTGTCAGCTGGAATCCCCTGGTGGAGGTCCTCACCAACTCCCTAAGCCTGCGCCCCACCCTGGCAGATTCTCAACAGGTATGGATGAAGTCTGAGCATCAGTGTGTCTTTTTCTTTTGTTTTCTTTTGAGACTGGATTTCACTATGTTGTCCAGGCTGGTCTTGAACTCCTGGGCTCAAGTGATTGACCCTCCCCTCCATCTTGGCCTCCTGAGTAGCTGGGACTATAGGGAACACTGCCACGCCTAGAGATCAATGTTTCCTGAAGGTTCCAGGTGATTCTTTTTTCCACACAAAGTAAAGACACTTTATTCTAGATTCCCAGGCATAGATTTTGTTTTTGTCACATGATATTAGAACAAGATTTTAGTCAATTTCCTTTCCATGTTTTTCCTTTTTATTTCTTATTACTTCATCTAATTTCTCTTCTTATACAAATGTATTCACCATTGTGAGGTAGTTTAGGGAGAATCACAAGATGAAGTCTCCAGGTGATTCTGATGCAAAGCCCTGGCTGAGAACCACTGGTTTAGAAGAAACAGTGAAACAAAGCAAACAACCCAGTGGCCTGTTTTCTGGGGAACAGGCAGATGAAAGAACTTGGGATGTGAAACCCCTTAGTGGGGGAGAGAGAAGATGCACAGCACTTGGCCCTTGCAGGTGATTCTCAGGTCCAGCCCTCCCCCGCTGCGCTCCACCTTCTCACCTCCATCAGAAGCTCTTGGGCCTCCTGGGCCTGCTGCAACAGCAGCCTCCTCCGTGCCATCTCTGTTTGCAGTTGGTCCAAGGCTGCCTCCAGCTGCTGCACCCGGGCGGCCACCTCATGGGCAGCAAAGTGCCCAGCCTGCACCAGCTTACGCCCTGTGCCTACCACCACCTGGGTCAGAGCCTTGTGGCTGCTCATTTCACTCTCCAAGTTCTGTGGAGGAGGAAAAATAAAATAAAAACAGGGATGCTCTGACACTTGGGGTGCCTCAAGGGTTGTGCCTGAAGCCTCATGGCACCCCACAGACTTGTTCCCCTGTCCCAAGTTCACAAAGAATCCATGGTGCCCTCCAAAGCAGGGAGAGCCTAGTTGGGCCATAATGCATATTCCTTATCTGTGAATTCTTCCCACTTTTGAAGGCAGTGCCTCCCAGCATGAGCCAGCACCTGGTGCTTCTCCTGAAGGTGCCGCACAGCGCTCAGGCTCTGGCCATAATCCTGGGCAGTGGCCAAGGGCAGCTTCTCCTGCACCCAGGTCATCTCCTCATCAACATCCCTGAAGAACTTCAAGAGGAGGCTCTGGGCCTCCAGGGCTGCCCTGCGCTCCTGCAGGGGCTCTTGAAGACTCTGCAACCTGCAGCAGGGGAGGGCAGAAACAGGAGGGGAACATGGTATTCAGAACTGGGCCTAGACTGTGACATAGAGTTCACCCCCTGCTGTGACCCTCATCATGGACTGGGGGAAAAAATGAGAAGACATGAGCTGGGAAGAGGGGGCGGGTGTCCCTCTAGGGAACAGAGGAAGAGGAAGAAACATGCTGATCTACCTCTGAAGCAGCTGTTGGGCCTGCTCTTCCACATCTTTGGCGAGGCAGTAGCCATCCCGCTTGAAGGTCTGGGCCTGACCCAGAAGGGCCTCAGCCTGCCTGGTCTGCATGTCCAGGGCTACTTCCAGTTCCCCCTGTGCCCCCAGGAGCTTGCCTACCCCAGGTAGGTTCTGGCCTGTGAAAGGGGCTTTCAGCTGGCCCTCAATGGGCTCCAGCCCGCTCTCCAGCTCCTCTACACTCTGCTGTAGATATAGGACCTGGGACAGAAATGACAAGGTATAAGGGGGAGGCCAGAGCCCACCCAACTGCTCCATAGCATGTCACAGCCTCACCTCACAGGCCTTCTGCAGCTTGGTGACTTTCCTCTGGCAGTTGGCCTGCAGCTCAGCCCAGAGCTCTTCCAGTTCCTGCAGCCGCTCTTGAATGGTCTCTGAGGCTGGGTGGCCCCCATGAAGCAGTCTCTGCCCCTCCTGAATTCACAACATGACATATACCTCACAGACTCAGGACTGCTGGTACCACGGCCCTTGTATTGGCTTCAATGACCAGCCCCACAGCTATGTGATCTTGGGAAAGTTTCTCAGCCTCTCTGAGCCATATGTTCCTCATCCATATAGTGAAGATAATAATAGTAATTTGTTTAAGTGAGATAGAGTGTATGAAATACTTAGTAGGTCACTTTATGTCAGCCTGGAGTCAAGACCTGCCTTTGTAGGTAAGAAAAGGAAATGTTTTTAAAGGTGTTATGTTTTGCTGCCTCTACCTACATAACTGCTTATCTGCACTTAACTGCACTTATCATGTCAAAACGTTACCTTTAAGATTATTGAAAAGTCACTACTTTTGGAGAGGGAACCCCGAGGAAGAACCTGCTGCATGCCGGTGCATGCCACTACATGTCAGTGCAAGGCACTAGCACAAGGAAAGCACTTGATGAACGTCAGCTGTCACAACCATGGTTCCAGACCAGCTTCCAGGCTCTGAGGGGCAGTCTGTGGCCCCCTCAGCCCCATGGTGTCTCACCTTCTGCAGCTCCTGTTGCTGGGGAACACTCGCATCCAGCTCAGCCTGGAAATTCTGCTGCTTCCGTAACTGTGCTTGCAGCTTGGCTGGGTCCTGCCAACCTTCTTCCAAAGCCACCAGGTTCTTCTCCCTCAGCCACGTGGCCAGCTAGGAGAATGGGGAGGACCAGGTTCTGCAGCCTTGGACTCTCCTCTCTCCCTAACTTCTGGGGTGCCCTGGAAGAAGGGTGACCTTTCCCTGGGGCATCTCCTTCCCCCACCCACAACCATTCCTGCTCCAAGAAAGGAGAACCTCGAGTGAATCCTGCAGAAAGGTTTGCAGCTGCTGCAACTCCTCCAGCTGACGACCCCGGGTCCTTACTCGCTCCACCAGTGCTTCTTTCCTGCAGAAGGAGGGTCTCATATGCCCCCAGTCTCACCCATCAGGACTTGGAGCTGCTACAGGTGTGTATATGCGTGTGTAACATGTGCACATAGCCTAGAACATCTTTTCTTGGCATCACAATCCTGAATCAGGTTTCCTTTGAAATCATGAAACATTCCCTCTATATTAGTGTTTTTTGTGGGCTGAGCTGTATCCCCTATGTTGAAATTCTAGCTCCTGGAAATTCAGAATGGGACTGTATTTGGAGATAAGGTCTTTGAAGAGATAACCAAGTTCAAATGAAGTCATAGGGGTGGACCTAATCTGATACGATAAGTATTCTGAATGAGGTCACAGAAACACCCAGAGAGGAAGGAGACCATGTGAGTCCAGAGGGAAGATGGCCACCTATAAGCCAAGGAGAGAGGCCAAGAAACCGACCCTACTGACAACTTGATCTTGGACCTCTAGCTTCTAGAATTATGAATAAACAAGTTTCTATTGTTTATACTACCCAGCCTGTGGCATTTTGTTATAGCAGTCCAAGCAGACTTATACAGTATCTAAGCCACTTTTTAATTATGCATTATTAGTAGTAAGAATATTTTAAGCAGGCACTCCAAATGTAGATAGATAAAGATAGATAATATTTAACATAATTTATGATTATGACAATTTAACACTTGAAATGTAATATAGGTATAAATGTTATACACCAATTTATGCATTTTATATATGTGCTTCTGTACCAATGTATTAAGTACATTGCCACATACATGAAAATAAAGATTGTAAATGAGACCTACAAGAGATATAGGAAAAGAGGTCCTCACATCCCTTCACCCCTGTAGACTCTGTACACTTCCCCACCTGAGTTCCCCACACTAGTGAGAGTGTGAACCCCTCTGCCAGAGGATATGGTGGGTGGTGGAGGCATAGATGGGCCTAACTGAAGGGAAACCTCCTCCTGAGGATGGCAGAAACCCGGGAGGGGACAGGGTGGCACTGTGCCAGAATCAGCCAGGCCTGCCAGGAGCCACCCAAGGTGACAGAGACCAGCAAACCAACATTTTCCATTTGTCATTTCAAATACTTCCTCACACAGGTGAGGTCCACCTGCAAGAATGGAGAGGGTACATGTATGACTGCACATGTGGAGCGACTCCACATTGTGCACAAACAGAGAAATGAGAAGTTATGCTCCATTTGTGTACAATGAATCGAAAAGCTGTCTGCTGTCATGTGTAACTGATTAGAACTAATAAAAAATAAATTAAAAAAAAAAGAATGGAAAGGAGATGGCCTGGAATCACAAAATTAATAGGCCCTGGTGGGCTCCCTGGGAAGGATGGTCCTTGCTGATGTGGGGTCCAGCTTTTGGCCATATCTGCCTCAATCTTAAAGTTCAAGAGCTGGATGATGCAGTGGAACTGGATGAGCTTTCATGAGAAAGACTTATGAGTCTGGTGTCTCATAAGTGTGCAGCTCATGTGTATCTGTGACTGAACTTACCTAAGTGTAAGAGATCTGCTGCCTGCCTGTGACTGAGATGGCACAGCCCCCCGGAGACAGTATTTTAGCCCCTTGTAGATTCAAGACTCCTCTATGACAGAGAGGAACTTGCCTCAAGTTCCACCTGTAGTGGGTGGCAGAGGAATCCAGGGCTGTCTGGCACTAGAGGGCTAATGCTCAAGCACTGTGCTCTGGTGCCTTCCTTTTCATTAGATTGTTTGCCCTCTAAGTTTCTGAGTGTGTTCTTTTTAGTAAAACTCCCTTTTAGGGCTGTGGCTGTGGCTGTGGCTCAGTGGAAGAGCGCTTGCCTAGCACGTGTGAGGCACTGGGTTCGATCCTCAGGATCATATAAAAATAAACAAACAAATAAATAAATAAATAAAGGAATTGTGTCCATTTACAACTTAAAAAATATTTAAAAAGCTCCCTTTTATTTCAGCTGAACGAAGAAGGAAGTGGGATTTTCCATGTGTCGCTGGATGTCCATAACAGGCCAATACATTGCAGGGCAGGAGGGGTGGGGACTGTGGCATCTGAGCTCAGCCCTTGGAAAAGGCTGGTGAGCGTGGGCTAAGGGTAGAAGGGTAGAAAGGGAAGAGCTGGGATGCCAGGTACCCATGCTATCCCACCCACAATTCCCATCACCCCAGAGCTACAGGCACCTCAGGAGCATGGCCTGCCACTTGGTCAGGGCACTCTGGGCCTCTGGCTGTCCACCCTGCTGTAGGCTGTGGGCTGTGGGCTCCAGTGTGCTGATCTTTTCCATCTGTACCTTCAGGCCCTGCTCAAGCCTCTTGTGCTTCCATAGGAGGGTCTCCACATTGGCCAAAGAGTCCTAGGGGGAGCATAACCAGATGGTGTTCATAGGGCTGTCCCCTCCCTGTCCTAAGCTATCTGCTCCCCGCATTCCAGAGCCTTCCTGCTAAAACCTCTTCCACCAAAGAATTGCTCTGTCCAAACCCATCTCTTGAACCTGTCAAGGCGCTTTCAGCTTTCTCAGCCAGGGGCATTGGGTCTAGAGTCAATTTCCAGGCAGGCAGAGATTTTCCCCTCTCTTCTGCGCTCCCAATGAGACTCTGTCAGCCTGGAATTATTTTCTGAGGTCTCTATAAGTTCCACTTGTCTGTCACAGGGTTTGGGAGGCAGTGGAAAAAGTGAACGTCTGGGTGTGTGGGAAGAGAGGAGGGCAGTGATGAGGTGGGTGGGAGGGAGGTAAGGAGGGGACAGGGCCACAGGCTCACTTTCTAGCTCCCAGGGTATTCCCCGTGGGGCTGACCCTGGGTGCACGAGAAGCACTGATGGGTGAGTAACTGCTCAATGTCTGATGTGCTGGAGGAGGAGGAGGGGACCCTTGGCCTGGGGAGCCCTACTGGCTCAACTCCATCCTGCTCATGTACCTCCTCTCCAACTCCTGCTGGGCACCTACCCCAACACCCTCACTGATTGGGGAAACTTCCTGGCAGTATAGCCAACATTCCACCTTCTCCACAGAGCTCAGAAATAGCTGGTGAGAAAAGATAAGGCAAAAGAAAGTCAGCAGAGTGTCTAGTTGCTTCAGGGGAGGTGACCCTTTGGGGGACCACATGGGGAAACCAGGGGCCTAGCTCCAGGGATCAAGTCCATGCCAAGCCAAACCTGTTGTGGATAAATTGAGCAGGGACCGGTGGGAAAGCCATGGCTCAGTAGCCCCTCTGGCTTTGGCTCTGGAAAGCGAAAAGGGCTGTGGGACCAGTGCAGACCCTGACAGTGAGGACAAGCTGGACACTGGGGTGGTACCTACCTGCAGCTCCAGGGCCTGCTGCAGCTGCCGCTGGTGCTCCTGCCAGGCTCCTTGCAGGCCACTCAGCTCCTGTTCTAAAGCAGCCAGGGCCTGCCGAATGCCAGGAGCTGATGGGTGCCCAGTTGCAAGTAGGCGCTGCCCGGTGCTTTGAACCAGACTGATGCTGTCTCTCCGGGCATCTATCTCAGCCTGGAATGGAACTGGGCTCAGATCCTCCTGCAGGCTGAGGGCTGCAGGAGGCCCAGAGGGAAGGAGAGAGGTGAGAAAGACAGCCGAGGGGTGGGACAGAGGAGGACAGAGGAAAGCAGGAGACAGAGAAAGGATGCAGGACAAATGGGAGTTAGGGGAGATAAAGTCCAGAGAGGCCCAGTGACCCTGCTGCTCACCTTGCGTGCCTGGTGCTCGTCTAGCATGTGTCTGGCTCCTGCAGGGCTGCAAGGGGCACCTTGCAGGTCCATCTCAGCCCGCAGCCTCTGGGCCCAGACCAGCAATTCCTGAAGCAGTGCCTGGAGCTTCTGAGCTTGGTGAAGGGCATCCAGCAACTCCTTCCTACCCACAGGGCTCATCGGCTAGTCCTAGGCCACCAGTCCCCTCTTTCCCCATGCCCACCCATGTGGTCTCCTATCCCTTAATCCCCTCAGCACACAAGAGCCCTGTGCTGGTAATGAATGAGTTGGCAATACAGAATCTTAGGGGAAAACAGGGACTGAGGGGAAGTATAGAGACTGAGATTCTGGAGGGAATGGGTCAGTGAGGGAGTGAGGCCCAGGGGGTTCATACCACTTCTGGGCTCTGCTCTGGAGTTGCCACCAGCTGCCCATCATCTCTTGCTTCTTGTGACTGAGGCCATGGGCTGCCCCAGGTCTTCTCTGGCAGAGGTGGCCCACTTTGTGCTCAAGGGACTGCAGAAGAAGTCAGGGTCAGAGGCTGGGTAGGGGAGGCTCTAGCTGTGGAAAGCCCCTGGCGTGTGGCTTGCAGGATCTTAAAGCCCTTTCTGCCTTCTGGCTGCTAGGGACCACAGGAGGAGGCATTCATGGCCTGGACCAACTTGTACCCCCAGCTGCATACCTCCACCTGAACCTGGATGAGGCCCATTTCCTGCTCCAGCACCTTGTGTTTCCACATCAGCTCCTGAATGCTCTCCAGATCTTTCTGACCCTCTAGGGTCTGGATCAGGGATCCCTGAGGGGTGAGGGAGAGAGGCCTTTATGGGTTTGACCTTAGATTCTGCCAGTTTCCTCATTCTGCAGAGGGCTAGGCAGCCCCACAGTGGCAATGTGGAAAGAATCCTCTTAGGTAAGAATCTTTGTATGTGTGTGTGGTGCTTTCTAATATTTTGTTTCTTTTGATTCCCATCCCTGGGGAGGTGGAGACCTTGGAGGAAAAGGGGCAAGCAGCACAGAGTCCTAGGTCTCTCTGTGTGAGAGTAACTGGAGCAGGAAGAAGCTGGGTGGGCCCAGAACAGGGCCCTGTTTCACGTGGGACTTCCCAGGTTGCATGTGACTTTACTTCCTTCTGAACAGCTTTTAGCGCCTATATCTGTGTGGTGGTTGAAATTACCCTGGCACAAGCCTCCTGTAAGGTTTTGGCTTGCTCAGGGGCTGGAGGAAACAGAGGGCATGTTCTGGCCTCTAGTCCTATAGCACATCTGGGGGAGAAAATGAGCAGGTGGGCTGGCTGTGGAGCCTGCAAGTGGGTCTATACTCTGTTGTTGATCCCTTATCAGATGCCCCCAGTGGAACTCTGATAGGGCCAACCTCTAAGTGCCGAGCTGAAGAGTGGAACACCAGGATACTTTAGGTCTACTTCCCTGACTCAATGCACAAGGATCCCCTTTTTACTGCTTACCTTCTCCCCAATCCTCTCAGTGATGTAATCCAGCTCTCTGCACAATGTATGTATCTCCAGGGCCCCTTCAAGCTGCTGCTGATACTGGAGCAGGTTGCCTTGGAAACTCGCCCACCTGGCCAAGGGGTGGTAGTAAAAAGGGGAGCCTGAGATGGCTGTCTGCCCATCTCCTGGCCCCCCTGCCCTGCCCAGTCTGGGACTGGCCTGTTGTTGAGCTGACTTCGTCGCTGGCAGATGGTCTTGACCTCCTCAGGGTCCTGGTTTTTGAGCTGCAGTGATAAGTCACTGATGCTCCTGATGTAGGTGTCACCCACTGTGTCCTATGGGGGAGGTGCAGGTAAGGCCACTGGAACCACCTGCTCAGAGCCCCTTCCTGGCACTTCAGTTGGCACTCAGGAACTAGGAGCAGTGTGTTTGAGGCACATGAAGCAGTTACTTTCTTTCCTGTGGCAGGGCCAGAGGCCACCCCTGCCAGGAAGGGTGAATGATATCAGCTTAGAGTCAGCAGCTCCAGAATCTCTCAGACCAAGAGATCCTCTCCCAGGGATCAAGACCAGAAGCTTTTAAAGTCAAAATGCAGGGGCTGGGGCTGTGGCTGAGTGGTAGTGCTCGCCTAGCACACGTGAGTCACTGGGTTCAAACCTCAACACCACATAAAAATGAAATAAAGATATTGTGTCTGCCTACAACTAAAAAATAAATATAAAAAAAGTTAAAATGCAGCTGGTTGGAATAAAAGAAGGAAAAAAAAAAGGAGTAGAGGGACATGTGTGTTCCAATCTTCTACAGTTTGGGTGTCCTGCCCTCAAGGATTAGCCTGGGTTGAGGCCACTTCCAACTCTTTCCCTGCTATACCATCTGGCACAACATCTGTATGGTACAATTCTACCACAAGCAAAGGACATGTTCAGATTAGGCAATGCAGCCTTTAAAAACCATCACATAGGGCTGGAGTTGTAGATCAGTGATAGAGTGCTTGCCTTGCATGTGTGAAGCTGGGTTCTATCCACAGCACCACATAAAAATAAATAAATAAATAAATAAAGGTATTGTGTCTATCTACAACTAAAAATATTTTAAAAATAAAAACCATCATATTTTTTTACATCAAGGGGAGGAGATTAGAACACTTGAGTTCTAACAGCTGATTGTGAATACATTGCCAAATCGCTTTCTTCTATACCACATAAGAGAAACAGTTCTGGTGTAATTCATAGGGAGGGGATAAGAAGGGATGCTAAGATACTGAAGTAGCCACACTGAGGGAGGGATTGACTACCTACTACACCCAGGCATATGCAATCTCTTTTAATTTTTTTCTGAAGTAATTATAGATGCATAGGAAATTGTAAAAGTAGTACAGAGAGGCTCCATGTACCTTCCCTAAGCTTCTCTCTTGGTGACATCTTATGTGCTATGATACAATAATAAAACCAGGAAATTCACATTGGTGTAATACTATTAACCAAACCAGACTCGACTCTGCTCTCATCTGTTGTTGCTGTTGTGTGTGCGTGTGTGTGTGTGTGTGTGTGTGTAGGAAAAACATATGTCTGTGCAGTTTTTTCACAGGTAGAGACTCATGTAATTGCCCCCCACCTCTGAGGCAGGCATGATCCTCAATACAGAGGTGAAGAAATGAAGTCCTGATCAGAAAGAGGCTGACTGCATGTGTGCAAGCGGTGAATGCAGAACTGACACTTGGGCCACACCCTTCTCTGTAGCCCATGTTCTTTCACTGCTCCCAGCTGCATTTCCCAAAGGGCGATGCTGTGCCAACCCCTCCCTGGCAGAGTCCCTTACCCTGGCCGTGGCGCTTTGGACCTCACGGAGCCTTCTGCAGAGCCGCAGGCAGTGCTCCAGGTCCTGGCCCAGGTCACCCGTGTTCACCATCACCTCCTACAGAGGCCAAAGGAGGGGAAGACAGCATGCTGAGCTCTGGCTCCAGGCACCCAGCCCCCTGGCACCAACTACTGGGGTAGGAAGGGGCAGGTAGAGGCTTTGGGACTACCTTCCAGGACAATCTCCTGTCAGGGAGCCAGAGAACCATGGGCCTGTGCTCCTCCCTGCCCCGACTCTCAGCCTCCAGCCCCCAGCCAGCCCCTGCTCAGCTGGGTTTCCACCTTTTTCTGGATCCAGGCCTCTGCAAGGTCCACTCTCTGCAGGAACTCCAGGAAGTTCCGCTTGTCTTCCAGGTCCCGGCCCCGGAGAGCCACCACCTGCCTCAACTTCTCCCAGTGCTTCTGCAGCACCTGTAGCCTCTGAGCAACCTCTCCTGCCCGAAGGTGGCTCTGTGCCAGGAGAGCTTCCCCCTGCTAGGGAGAGAGGGGACAGAGAACTTGCAGGTGCCTTTCTTCCTGCCTGAGACCTTACCCTGGGTCATCCTGGAGTCCACACTTTAAAGCAGGCTATAACTTAGGGCTGTTGTTACCTTGGCAACTGAAGTCATGACCTCCTGGTGGGCCTGGACCTCAGACTCAAAGGCCTTGTGTATCTGGAGGTGCTTCAAATAATCTTTCAGGTCCCGAGGAGGGATCAGCTCTCTCAGCTGCTGTGCCCGCTCCTGAATCCAGTCCTCAGCCTGGTGGGAGTGGAAACATAATTCTGTGATGCCTCAACCTCCAGGCTGCCCCCTCAGCTGAGATCAGGTGGTGGGTTACTGGCCTGGGCCAGGGCCGGCAGTGTGTGGTATATTAAATGGGTTCTAGAAGGTAAATGAGATGTCCCAGGCCTAGCTGGCTCCCAGCCACAGGAAGTGGCTAGGTGGGAGGGCTTGTGGTGGATCTCACTTCAGAGATATGACCCCTACTCCTGGGACCCTGAACTGTTCCGCTCATTTCCTTGCCCCTTTGTTCTGGCCTGGCTAGCACTCAAGAAATAAGTCTCCACACACTTGCTTAGAATCAAATGTTCTGTCCTCCAGCATGGTGCCTGGGAAATAATTTAACTCTCCAAATCTCAGTTTTCCTCATTACAGGATTATGGTATAAAGGTCATCTCCTTTCTTCTATGGTGCTGGAATTGAACCCAGGGGCCCTGAGCTACATGCCAGCCTTTTTTATCTTTCATTTTGAGACAGGGTCTTGCAAAGATGCTGAGGCTAGCCTCAAACTTCTAGACCTCTTGCCTCAACCTCTCTAGTAGCTGGGATTCCAGGCGTGTGCCACTGTGCCCAGCTTGAAGGTCATTTTAATCTTCCAGCTGTGGTCCAAATGGGTGGTGGGTGGCCCTCTTACCTGGGCAGCAGCCCTGGTGAAGCTGGCTATCAGCAGGGAGGTCTGCAGGGCATGTCCTCGGCTCTCTGCTAGCTCCTTCACTAGAGCCTGGTGCTCCAGTATGCTGTGAAGCAAGTCCTGTCTCTTGGTGCCTGGGAGCACCTTCAGCTGCTCACACAGAAGTGCCTCCTGTGGGGCAGAAGCAGGGCTACTGGTTTCTCACCCTGGGAGACTAGACTCGGACTGGCCCCAGGACTCACAGTCCTTTCTTCCAGAGTATTGGAGTTTTTCCCTCAGCCTAACATTGCCAAGGGCTGGTCAATCCGCTGCTCCCTGGTGACCATGTGACATGAACAGAACCAAGCACCCACTGTGGCCCCTCCAGCATTGCCCACCTCATCCCTGACCCTCACTTAAGCCACACATACTAGTCTGCCCCACAGATATATCAGTGCTGCCTCTGGGTGCTTGCCATGTCCCCCACACAGGACTCTTTCCCCATCCCCAACACTCTGACGGTGCCCAGGATTCCCCCGGGTCCATCACCTTCTTGTCCTGGGCAGTCAGCACCTTCTGGAAGATTACATGCTTATGGATCAACTGTTCTACCTCTTCCACCGAGCTGCCCAGGGCACCGGTTTTCAGGGATATCTGGATCAGGCCATGGAAAAGTCAGAAGCCATTGAGGGCTCTCAGCCAGCATGCCCCTCCCTGTGCTGAGGCAGTGCCCCTGGGCGAACCAAGGGCCTGGCTGTGGCTGTGGCTGTGGCTGATGTAAACACTGGGCACAGGCAGAGGAGCCACGAGTGTGAGTGAGAGCCTGGGTTGGAGCCAGCAATGCCTTGACTTCTGAACAAAGTGGGGAGTATGACCAATCTCCTTTGGGGCTTAGTCTGGGGTCAGAGATGGGGAGGAGAAGGCCTGAAACTGGCCTGGGGCCCAGTGCTCCACCCTGGCCACCTGAGAGGGCTCACACACAGCCTCTGTGTTCATGTGAAAGAAAATGCCAAAGATTCAAGGGAAAGGGAGGAGTGGAGAGAGAGATAATGCCATGTGAGGTGGGACGTGCCCAGGGGACCTGCCTCCTGTGCCATGAGGATCTTCTCCAGGTGCTGGCACCGTCTGAGGAGGAGCTCTTCCTGCTCCACAGCCTGTAGCCTCTCTTGTTTCTGTGACCAGGCCTGAAACACCTGGTCTCGCTCTTCCTGCAGGGCTCGTAGCCCATCCTGGACCTGGGGATGGGCACGTGGAGAGGCAGGGCTGGGGATGGTGGCATGAACAAGATGGAAGTGGGTCCCAGGGGAAGCCTCTGAGGAGAGGCCTGTGTGCCATAGAGATCCCCAGGAACAGGCATGCTAGGTTAGGTCAGGGTAGGCTGGGAGTGCCAGGAAAGGGGCCCACCTCCTTGGTGGGTGTCCCTATAGCCAGAAGTGCCTGCTGGCCCAACTGGGAGGCCTGATGTCGTAGCTCCTCTCGGGACTCCAGCTCTGCCTGAAGCCATTGGTGAGTCTTGAGCTTGAGCAGGGTGCTGCTGGGCCCCTGGGAGCTCTCTTCTGCCTGCAGTTCCTGCTTCATTCTGGCTGCCCAGGAAGTGTAGTCCCACACCTGATCAAGGAGATGAGGAAGAAATGTGGGTGGCAGGGACCTAGGCATAGAGGCACAATTGTAGCCCACTGGAATACACTTGCACATTGAAGCCACCTGAGCTGTCCAGGGTTGGGGCCTCAGGTGAGGTGCTTGGAGCTATTGACACCTGTTTTTCCATCCTCCCTGGTCCACGAACCTTCCATGTGTGTCAGGCCCTCCCCCTCACCAAGACTCACTTCCTTCCTAAGCACTTGCTGCCCTCCTGCTTAGCATCCCCTGTCCTTCTTTACCATCTCTAAAAACTTTACCTGGAAAATTGGTGACAGGAGATGGTTGGCAAAGGCTGCTGAGTAAATAGCTCCCCTGCTCTTCTAGGGCTGAGGCCTTCTTTGCCTCTGCAGCCTTCCCTGTCCATTGATGTCTTCCTGCTCTCCCACTCTGAGCTTCTGAGCTAACATTTACAGTTGTCTTCTATTTTTTTTTTTTCTGTAAGAGATTGAACCTAGGGGCGCTTAACCACTGAGCCATATCCCCAGCCATTTTTTATATTTTATTTAGAGACAGGGTCTGGATGAGTTGCTTAGGTCCTTGCTAAGTTGCTGTCTTCTATTGATCTGTGGATGATCATAGTGTCAGAGCTGGAGGGACTTGGGCTTTTATCCAAACAATTCATAAGGGAAAGGGGATAGTGACACCATTTATGTGTCAAATTATAGGTGCTTGACTGGCAGAGAGTAACAACCTAGAGCTGAGTGCCTTTCTCAGAGTGCTACAAAGTGACAGAGTGGCACCCTAAACTCAAGCCTTTTCATAGTGTCATAGGTTGAGCTTCCTGGTCTACCAGGCATTGGAACACAGGGACTCCTGGGACCTCACTACAAGGCTCACTGTTCTCATTTGATTCCTTTTTAGGCTCACCCACCCACATTGGGTGGGTTCCATGAGGGCAGAAATTTCATCTTCCATATCACCCTCCTTTCTCCACCCACAGCTCCTAGCAGAGGGCTCAACACAGATGTTAAATAGATGCAGGTTGATCCAGAGGATATTGTCTAGAATATCTGGGTCTCTAATAATGGGCTCTCACTTCTCAGCCCTGGCCAGGACCCTGTCATTCATTTGTGCTGGCATTCATCCAAACCTAAGAAGTCCCTGCCATGTCCCCTGAGCTCCACCCGTGAACAGCCAGACTAACATCTTGATGGGTTCATATTTTTCATGTTGTTGTCCCATTCCCCCCCAAAGACACCAGTTTTCTTTCATTAGTGCATGCACACACAAGGTATAATACATCGCGCGCACACACACACACACACACACACACACAGAGGCCCCTCAAAAGGGGAAGAAACTCTCACTGCTGTGTGGAAGCGGGCCAGGAGGCATGCCCGCTCCAGGTGGGCCCTGTGCTGCTCCACTTGCAACCACAGGTTCTTCCAGGCCTGTGTCACAGCTTGCTGCCTCTGCTGCATGGCACGGGCCTGAGGCCCTGGACACAGCTTCTGCACCCTCTCTCCAGCCTCCAGCAGTTTCTGCAGCTGTTATCATATAAGGGATAGAGAGGAAGGGTTGCGTCCTCAGAGGCCTGACCATCCCAAAATGTGTCCCTCACAGGGAACTCAGGTCCTCCTTGGGTCATGCCCTGCCATGCACAATGGGCCCTACTGGATGCTGAGGGACAGTGGGGGAATCTAGGAGAACAGATGGGCCAAGCCAGAGGGACCTGCAGGGCTCAAGTGGGGGAGGCAGCCCATCTGCTTACCTGCTGCTCAGAGAGCGCAAGCTCACACTCGAGACCCTCCTGTCTCCTCAGTTGGGCTTCCACCCTATGTAGGTCCTGGGCCACATCACTGGGGAGGCTCATGGCTTTCTCCTGAGGACAGCAGAGGTCCACCAGGGTCAGGAATGGTGGGTAGGGTACTGAGCCTGGGAAGGACCCACTTCTACAAAGAATCCCTTCCTCCTGCTGAGCTCACACCTGGACCTGGTTAAGGGCTTCCAGCAGATCTCCATGAATTCTGAGGATGGTCTTGGCATCTTGGAGTAGTTGGCCTCGAGCCTGGGTCAGCTCCCACAGCTCTGACCAGGCAGCCCTGATGGCGGCACATGGGAGACCAGCAGGGGATGAGCCTTGAGTTCCCCTCCCTTGTTAGGTCTGTTCAACCCTTTTCCTCCCTGGGTTGTATCCATAACTTGTCCAAAGCTCCTGAATGGGCCTCTTCCTTAGTGCCTCCTGCCTTTGGCCCATCTGCAAACCTCCCTCCTTTCCAGGAGTCTCTCTCTAGCTTCACTGTGAATCTGGTCCCTTGCTGGTATAATGCTCAGCACTTAATTGATCTCTCTCCTATGTGATACTCCTTACATCTTGCATATTTGATTCTCAATATATCAATCAGATTACAAATGCCTTAGGGGCAGAGGACACATCTCTTCATTTCTCATTTGCCAGCAAACTCTGGCTGAGCTCAAAGGCTTCCACTAGGCCAGGCCCTGTGCTAGGGGTTATGAAAAGTCATAACCTTGCCTGAAGCTCACAGGCTGGGGGTGGATCCACACCAGTTGGGTGGAACCTAGGAAAGTGGTGTGTAAGGGCTGCACAGGAGGCAGTTATGGGAGCTGGGGGAGCCCATGGAAAAGCCCCTTCCCTGGTCCAGGAAGTCTTCCTGCATCTCCTCCTACAAGTTCTGGGATCAGTAGGTGGGAAAAAGCCCTGGGCAGGGCTCTCTCACCTCACCTCCCATAACAGACCTCAACCTGTGGTCTTCCCTGGCACCAGCCCCTCTCCAGATGGACAGGCAGAACCTGTGTGGGCCTTGGAGCATGCCACCCTCTTTAATACCCCAGACTCCCTGCCCGACACCTTCCCCTGCTCCCAGCCCCTGCCCCTATCTCCTGCACTCACTGCAGTTCCTGCTGCTTCCGATGGACCTTGTGGGCAGTGTTGTGGCCATGTTCCAGCAGGCTCTTTGCCAGCTGCTGACAGGCTGCCACCCGCTGGCCACCCATCTCCATCTGGTGCTGAAACTTTGCAAACTTGGTACAGAGGTGCTGAGGAGAGAGGGTAATGGATGACACGTGTGGCACCCACTGGTCAGGCAGCAGGCAGCCTGGGGAGTGGGGCACCTCAGTGACCTACAGGAAAATGTGGGGTTGGACAGGCACAGCCCGCCTACTCTACTCTGAAGGCCTGTCCTTAGCTAGGACTCGTGACTCCACTGCACCTTCTCCATCCAACCCAGCAGGACCAGCCACCTTTCCCCCATAACCTGCCCCAGTCCTTCCCCCACCCCTGCCCCCTCACCAGCACGTGCTCATAGTTCTCTCCAAGGCTCTCCTCCCTTCTGGCCACCTGCTTCTGGCTGGCCAGCCAACTCTTCAGATCCTCAGCCTCCCTCATGAACTCATGCAGCTTCAGGGTCCACTCCAGCTCTCGACCCCTGTGGTGACAGCCCATGGTTCCCAAGGAGTTAGTTGCTGTCCCCCTGGGGACAGCTGGGCCAGTTGAAGGGAGTGACCCGAAGGATGGGGGTTTTCATGGTCTCTGCTTAAATTATGATCCAGGATTCAGGGAGAAGCAGGCACAGGAAGACCAGGGGAGGGTAAAAGGAAGGTATAGATGTGGGGAAGAGATGAATGGCCTTAAGTTGGGGCACCTAGTTCCTGCCCAGTGGGCGATGATTGAAGAATTTATGTATAAATAACAAAGATATCCTTCTCCTGATGTATCTCTATGGGCCTGGGGTCATATGTACCAACTTACGGCCGTGACATAGGGACAGTCAACTGAGGCTAGGACCCCTGAACCCACTGATGAGAGGGATTGCAAAGCCTCTCACCGTGAGACTACCAGCTCCTGTAGCACCCACAACTGTTTCCGGAGCCTCTCCTGCATCACCCCCAGCTGCTCAGGGGCCTCTGGACCAGAGAGGGTTTGGGCTTTCTGGTCAAGTTTCTCCATGGAGCTCAAATGAAGAGCTAGTTCCTCCTGCAGCACCTGCCAACATAAGAACCCATGTAAGGCTAGGACCCAATGACTCTTCATCTATCCATCCACCCACCCACCTGCCCACCCTCCCCACACCTATCCATTCATCTTCCATCCATTCACTCATCAACTCATACACTCATCCATCTACCCATCCATCCCCATTACCCAATTCTGATGACGTACTGACTGATCCAGAAAATGAAGACATGGTCTATGTCCTCAGAGGGCTCATTGTTTAGCAGGAAAGGGTGAATAGTGGATGGTATGGGCCAAGGAAGGGAGCAGCACACTAGACCCCAAGCTCAAAGTGTAAGAGGCAGACAGAATAAAGGAAGCCTTTATTCTTTATTCCAGGATTCAGGGATATTTGAAAAAGGGTAGGCAGCTGGAGGCACAGGGCCCACTTCACCACCCAGGGGACCTGCCTGTCCAGACAGGGGTGTCCTGCATGGGACCAAGACTCTAGGCATATCCTAAAGGAATGGTTCACTAAAGGTTCTCAGGCACAGGACACATGGAAATAGTAGTGTCATGGGGTCCAAGCTGTGGAGCTTGTGTGGTTCTGAGAGTTCAATTCCAGAAATGAGGAGGGGGCTTCCAGGCCTCCTTCCCTTTAATTAGGGCATACTTGTGGGAGGAAGGAGGTTTCAGGAAGGGCATCTGGTTAACTCTAAGGGTGATATTCAAAGCCTGAGAGGAAAATACCATGGAAGATGTGGGGTGAGCTGGAGCAGGTGCCCCTGAAGGAGTAGAAAAGTGTTGGGGAGGAAAGGGAGGAAGAGGAAGCAGAGACACCCAGAGGCCGAGGCAGCAGGGAGAGGCAACAGAGGGAGAGTGTTCCCAGGTCCCAGTGCTCGGGTTGCATTGGCAGGAGGGAGAGCCGGGGAGGAGGAGGGTGCCATAGGAGTTGGGTGGGCAGTGGGATGGGGCAGGCCTGTCTTCAGGAAGAAAGAGCAGGGCTCTGTGCCTCCGAGAAGTCATATGTTCCCTTTGGGGGTGAGACAGACCCCCTCTTCATGGTCCACCACCACCCAAGTCCACCCTGTGGGGTTGCTTAGGACAGGGTACCTGGTGCTTCCTGATGAGTTCCAAGGTAGCTGCCTCGTCCCTGCCATAGTCCTGACTGCTTGCCAGTGGCCGCTTCTCCTCTACCCAGCCCTCCAGCTCTGATGCATGGAGAAAGTACTGCCAAGAATAGTACCATTCACCTGGGTAATCTCAGACAGAACCTTCTCTCACCCACTGGGGATACTGTGCTCACCAGCAGCCTGCATAGAGGGGCTTCTGGCTATATGGGGACCAGCCAGCTCCTGGCGCAGGCTCTCACCACTGACTTCCCTCCCTGAGTGTGCACAAATGCTCCCTCACAGGGGCTGCCCTCCCCTGGCCTTGTGCTTTCTCTATCCTACCTGTTGGAAAGCAATGGCCTGCTGCAGGCAGTGTGACTGCACCTCACATGCCTGCTCCAGCTCTGCCCAACAGCCTTCCAGCTCCTTGCACTGCTCCCTGATGCGCTGAGCATGGGGGTGCCCAGAAGCTGCAAGGTTCTGGCCAGAACACAGCACCCGTTGCACCTGCCCTTGGTGGGCTCTCAACTCTGCTTGGAGTTCCTGCCACAGGAAAACATGACAGGCATTGCCTCTGAAGTTCCCTTAACTACAGGGTCCAGAGCAGAGGCATGGATGTGACTTCAGCACTCAGTTGTGGTAAGACCCCAGATCAAGAATAGCTAGGGCAGATATGGAATCCAGGAAAAGGGACTTAGAGGCCAGAATACCCTGAGTAGTGGCAGAAGGCTCCTAAGGTCTGGGAATGGGATGTCAGGGGTCCTGGGAGGAAAAGGGGCCACCACCTTGTGCTTATGTTGAAGGCTCTGGGCACTATCCCAGCACTGGGTGTAGCTGGTAGGGCTGGTCCTGGGCATGTGCTCAGCCACCCATGTGAGCTCCAGGTTGCTCAGGTGGTCAAATGCATACAGCTCAACTGAGGCTTGCAACTGTAGACACTGGGTGGCCAGATGGCTCTGCAGGGACTTGAACCTGAGTGGAGGGAGAAGATGGAAGAAGTTGGGAATGGGGCCAGGACCAGACCCATTGCTTCCTTGGCCCAGCCAGGGACCTATGAAGAACAAGGCCAGAGAATACAAGAAAGTCATATTTGAAAAAGGGTAGGCAGCTGGAGGCACAGGGCCCACTTCACCACCCAGGGGACCTGCCTGTCCAGACAGGGGTGTCCTGCTTAGGATCTCTGATCCTCCTACCCCAGAACAGCTCCACTCAGAAAGAAAGGGGGTTTGGACATCCAGGTCACATAGTTGACACACTTTTGGCCTTTGGGTTAACAAAGGATGAGTGAGAGGACACAGCAGGGTGAAGACAGAACAGAGGTCACTCTGTGGACAGGGACTCACCTCTGTTGGTACTTCTGGATCTCCTCTAGGATGGTCTGGGAAGTGACCACACTATGGGCCTGGGAGATGAGGGTAGCCATCTTGCTGCCCAGTGCCTGCCTTTCATTCTCCAATTGGCAATGCTGTTTCTGCAGCCTTCGGATTGAACACAGGTTGGACCCCATTTCTGCACTCTTCAGGACTCCCTCTAGCTGCTCCATCTTTTCCTTGGCATCCTGAGTAGGGCCACAGGGGTATATTAGGCTTTCCATTATAGCACAGCAGATGAGACTCAGGTCTTACAATACCAGACTCACCAGGGACCTATCGCTGTCATCCCCAACCTGCAGTGCCCATACACTGTTCCCTGGCCCCTCATGCTTCTTTCTTTCTGGAGGACTCAAGTTGTTGACCACACATGGAAACAGAAGAGCCACTCTGGCCTTCTGATGGGTAAAGCCATGCTCAATTTGCTGTGGGCCAGAGGCCTCCACAGGTTACAGGACTTCATGGTGCCATTCTAGAGGCAGTAGAACACCCAGACTCCTTCCCTCTGCCTTCTGTCTTGCCTACTCCCACCCAGCCCCAGCCCAGCAAGTCTCCCTCCTGTAACCTGCAGCAGTCCCAGGAGCTGTTCCTGCTGTCTAGCCTGCTGAAGCGCATCCCCACGCTCTGCCATCTTGCGATTCAACTCCTCCCACTTGTGCCCCAGGCCCTGAAGCCTGGACTGTATGTCTTCCTGGGCATGCGGAATGCTGCACAATAGCTCTCTCCCAGCCTGGATCACAGAGACAAAGGCACAAGGCAATTTTCTGGGTTGCTGGACCACAGCAGGCTGGACCCAGGGGATAGGGGGGCAGGTGACAGGCTTCAAGCTGCTTTCCACAGGTTGTCTGGACTCCAGCAGTTCATGTGTCCCCTACCTAGCTATAGGCAGAGGAAAGAGGGCGAGTAGAGTCGGGTGAGCAGGCCCAAGTGGAAGGTAGGGAAGAGCTTTGTTCTGGCGAAGGGGCAGGCTCTGAGGCTTGTCCTGGAGAGTGGAGGGAGCAGGGGTGGTGGCAGCTTTCTATGTTGGTTTGGGTGCCAAGCAAAGGAACACCCATCCGAGTGAAGGAGGTAATTAGAATTGACTGATTCCATGGTAATTAGAATTGACTCTTCTTTCAATGACTGTGCTCCATGAAAACGCGTAGGCTAGTGTGGACTGTCTCAATGTAGTATCCCCCACCTGTTGCAGGTCCTCCATATGCCCACGGGTGGCTATCAGCTCCCTCTCAACTGCTTCATGCCGCCTGAGTTTCCGCAGAATGCTGCTGGGTACTTGGGAGGGCTCACGTGCTGCCACTGACCACTTCTCCTCCATCCACAGCATCAGCTCCACCACGTCCTGCTTCCATTCCTGCCCCCAAACCAGGAATGCTCAACAACCAGAAGGTGGTTATCATGGCCTGGGGACAAGGATGGTGCAAGGACCTACCTATATAAGGGGGGCCTCAGGGACCCCTATGGGGAAAGCAAGACCCACAGCCAATTTTGGAGCATGAGGGAGATGGAGCCTGAAGTTACTGCTCAACAAATTGGGGACAGGAATACTGTGCCCAGATAAGAGGAGTGCCTTCAGGTTCCCACTCCTCTAGCCAACATCAGGTCATGTTTGGCCACCTTGCTCTGATAGGCCAAAGCTCTGGGAGGCCCGTGGCCTGGCCCAGCCTAGAGCTGTTCTGGAACTGAACAAATATTCACAGAACCACAGTCTGGTCTTGCATGACCCATGTAAAACCCTAGAGTGTGCCAGAAACTCAGGGAAAGGGGATAGCAGGGTGAGGCAGTGGTGGGTTAGTCAAGGGGCCTGCACTTTAGGCCTGGCCCAGTCTCAGACAGCCAAGTGGCCACACTTCATTATCCTCATCAGGAAACACCTGAGGTACAGAGCCTGCCTCTCAGGAGGTGCTGCAAGGAGGGATGATGTGATGTGTGGGAAGAGTGCTCTGTAAGCGGAAATGCTCCCTGTCGTCACACGGTTAGCACACAGGTGGACTCTCAGGCACTGATCTTGGGAGGCCTCCTATACCCAGAGAGCCCCTTACCTGAAGCTGGAGGGAAGCCAGCAGCTGCCCTCTCCTCTGCTCACTCCTCTCCTGGACTCTGGTCCACTGTACCTGGACACTCTGCAGCTTCTCTCTGACCCTGGAGGTGGGGGAGGGGAGGGCTCCTCTCTGCCCTGAGGCCCACCCAGCCCAGGTACACCCCTCTGCTTTCCTACTCTCCAGCCAGCACAGCAGTCTGCACAGGAGGAGAAAAAATGGCAGGCCAGGCTCACCTGGGTGCAGCAGGATGTTTGTTCTGAACTAGCTTCTTGCCATGGGCCTGCAGAGCCTCTGCTTGAAGGTGCAGGGTTCCCAGGAGCCACCCAAAGGCCTGGTGTTGCTGCAGCAGGCTCTGGGCCTCCCTCACATCTTCCTAGGGTATAGAAACCTGAAGTCATTCCTGGGAGGACGAGGGCAGCACCATCTCACCCACCATGGACCCAGGGGCCTCGTGCCCAGCCGGGCTTCTGGGCCCAAGGAGGTGAACTCCCTCCAGTGATGGGGGATTGATAACCCAGTAACAACCCAGTTCCATATCCCTGGTTCCATACCCCCAGGTTGTCCAGGCACAGGAAGGCCTTATGGTTGGCACAGGTGGCAATGAAACCATCCACTTCTTGGCTAAACCTGTGCAACTGCAGTCCCTCCCACAGCCTCTGCTGTCTCTGCTCCCATGCAGCCTTCAGCTCCTGGCCACAGTGGCCCAGGAGCCGCAGAGCACTGGCCACCTCTTGGGAATGTGGGGAGTCCAAGGCTGCCATGGTCATACCCTGAGCTTCCAGCTGCTGTAACCTGTCCAGGACAATAGGCAGAGGTTCAACCCCTATCTGGCTCCTCTCCCAGCTTCCTCCTCTCTCATCTCCATGCTTCCTTCACGGTGGAGCTCTGATGTGAGGGTAACTGGCAGGAGGGGTCTGCCAATCAGTTCACCTGTCCCATGGGACAGCCATACCTGGGTTCATGAAGGACGCAGTGAATGTAATGGGCCCAGCACAGTGCTTAGGACCCAACAGTTCCAAGCTCTCTGCCATGCCACACCTTCACTCCTGTTGACCATCCTCTAAATGTGGCTGGCTAATGGCCAATGCCAAAGCAAGTGAACCTGTTGGGGCAGCACAACTAACAGAGACAGACCACTCAAACCACATGTCTGCCTGCATCCAGGGCCACTGCAAGCCCACATGGAGCCTTTGCACAAGTAGGACAGGTGATCCTTTTAACTGGGTGCAGTCATACAGCTGGGGAATAGGTGACACCATTGTGAGAAGTAGAAAAAAAAACTTCTACTTCCTGTGAGCTGCTGCAGCCCTGAACCAGGTAATGGGGTGTGGCAATCAGAGAGAGGGCAGATGTATCTCAGGGTCTGTTTGACATCTGCCAAGCTCCTGAAGACTGGCCCACAGCCTGAGCACTGCCTGTGGTGGCCCTGCCTGTTGGGCCATCACATCATCCCTGCAGGAGGAGAGGCATCACTATACCGGGGAGGCAGGTACTATAGTTTATGGATGGCTTCTGAGCCATTTGACTCCAGGGCCCACAGGGTCGGCCTCATCCAGAATGCAGCGCTAGATTGCCCTGATGGGGTGGCATCTATTAACTCACCTGGAGGGGCATGTGGGCCTGCACAGCATAGAGCCTCCCAGGCAGCTCAATGTCCTGGGGCTTCCCCAAAGTCTATGGGCTTCCTGACCTGAGCCTAGGTCCCTCCTGTAAACCTGCCTCAGGTATCACTCCCCCAGTGACCACACTGCTTCCTGCTCTCCTTTTCTGGGCTCGAGGCCCTCAGGCTTCACCCAGCCTGAAGTGCACCCTGCCTGCCCTCCCTTCCTGACCTTTCTTGCTGCAGGTGGATCTCCTCCTGCAGCTCTCCATGTTTCTTCAGCAGCCGCTGGCCTGAGGCTGTATCCACCAACTCCTCCTCGTGGCACAGTCGAGCCTGGATACCCTCTGCCCACAGCAGCAATTGCTGGCTCTCCTTCAGGAAGCTCTGCCAGGCTCGAGCCTCAGCCCGCACCCGGTTCTGTTGGGTCACCTGCCCCTGTGCTTTCTTCAGCAGGCCCTGCAGCATCCCCATCTGTTCCTGCAGGCCTTGGCTCTCTGCAGGGCCTAACTCCTCCACCCTGGGAGACAGGCAACTGCATAGTCAGTGCCCTATCCTGGGCCCTGTGTTCCATACATATATCATCTGCTCAGTCTTGTATTCCCCAGGAAAGTGTTAACAACTCTGAATGCCCACTCCACCCTGACTTAGGGGCAGCATGGACACATGGCTCTTTCTTTCCCCAAGAGCACTCTCATGCTGTCTCCCACCTCTGCCCAGGAGGTGGGAGACAGCATGAGGATGTGCTTCTTCCCATCCCAGGTTCTGTCCCCTTCCTCATTGCATTGCCTTGCTCAGACCTCCCTCTGACTTTACTGCCTCCCACGGCACTGTCACCAGTCATACTTTACAGCTACTCTCTGGAGGTAGTGGATCCTCTTCTCCAGAACCAGGACCTTCTGCTGGCTCAGCTGCAGGGCACAGTGACTGGCCTCAGAGCTCTCTAGCTCCAGGGCCTCCAGTTGGAGTAGAACGTCCTGCAGCTGGGCCTGTGTGTGTCCATATTCCTGCAGAAAACTGCGCACTTCCATGCTGTGTGCCAGCTGCAGGCCCTTCTCCTTCTTCAGGGCCTCTAGCTGGCCCCACCTGGGCAGAGGGCACAGGGATGTCTCTATCACAAGGACACCTTCCCATCCATTTTGAGGCCCTGACCAGAACCTTTTATGACAAGCTGATAGATTGGCTATCCCCTGCCCTCTCGTCCCTGTCTCTGACACTGTCATTATAGGAGGCACCAGACCTTACCTCCACCCTGTCCACATCACCTGGCACTCCCCCTCATTTTTACCTCTGGTGCAGGTCCTCTTGTTGACGCTGGATTTTTGTGGAGTCCCCAGGACATCTCTGTTTCAGTTGCTCAGCAGAGCTGTTGATCTCAGCCCAGTGGCCCTTTCTCACAGCCAGGGCAAAGAGGAAGTTCTGGAGAGAATGAGGACCCAGGCCTCTGTTTTTTTCTTTTTTTCGTGGTACTTGGAGATTGAACCCAGGGGTGCTCTACCACTGACCTACATCCCCAACATCCCCCCCCCCCTTTTTTTTTAAATTTGAGACAGGGTCTCACTAAATTGCCCAGGCTGACTTTGAACTTGCAATCCTCTTGCCCTGGCCTCCTAAGGCTGGGATTATAGGCATATGCCACTACTCCCAGCCTCTGGAGTGGGGGGGTTGTTTCCTTTCAATAGGACTATGAAGAACGTCTGACAAGCTCCGACATTGAGATGCTTATGTTGCTTGCCTCTGGAAGGGCATAACTCCAAGTCCTTAACCTTCAGGGTCTATTTATTATCCCTGCTCCCCTCCCAGACAGGACCTCAGTTAACATGGGGACCTGGAGCACATGACTAACAGGGAGGCAGGAGCAAGGCGAGGAAGGACTGAACACTCCAGGCCCCTCTTGGCTTCAAGGAGCTGTACCTTATATTTGGACTGCATGATTTCCAAGTCGTTGGCCTGCAGCTGCAGCATTTGGAACAGCACAGTCTGCTCCTCTAGCCAGGACTGGAGCTCCCCACAGGAGTGGTAGAAGCCAAAGAGAGCCACTGCCTCCTCCAACCGGGCCCTGCGGAGCTGAGAAGAGGTGGGCTGAGTGAGGATTGGATGAGGGTCAGTGCCCCCTACAGGGCACTCAGAGCAGATCCAGAGGGTGCACCTCTCCACCCAAGCCCACCAGCATTTGCTAAGGCCAGAAGGGGTCTTTGCCAATGCTTGGCCCCATGTCCTCTCACAGAGAGAAACATAAGAGGTTAGGTTTGGCGTAAGCTCATAGGTCAAATCCACATTTCCCTGTGGGCTTTGGCTCTGCCCAGGCAGCCCCGCTTGCTTCTCCGGGCTCTCTGCTAGCCATTGCCGCCCTGGCATCTGTGTTCCAGGCACTCTGGCTTTGGCGTCCTCATCAAGCTTACTCCTGGCCTTTGCTCAGGTTCTGGCCTACTTCACAAAGGTTGCCTTCTCTCTGCTTCTCCTTGTTCAAGTCTCAGTTTAAATGTCTTTCCCTTGTTAGTGACTTCCCTGACCCCCACGTTGACTTGGGCTCCCCTTTCATGGGCTCCCATCTTACTGCATCCATATACAGATTTGTCAACTTATGCTCAGCCATGACACAAATTTCTTGAGGCAGGAAGCATGTCAGTCACTGATCAGTCCTTTGGGATGGAGACACAGGGGCTAGTGGTTTGATGAACAATTTTTGAACAAGGAACATTACCTCTGCCAGAGCCCGCAGGCTCTCATAGTCCTGGTTTAAATGGTCCTGTGTCTGGAGAATGGTGTTGGGGTCAAAATCAAGGTCAGACTCATCAGAGAGAGCCATGCTTGGACCTTTCCCTGGAGGGCTCAGGGAAGACACCACCTGTGCAGATATAGAGCAGTCTGTCCACATGGGGCTCCAACCAAGCTGCAGAGGCCTTGGTTGGGGGGGGGGCAGTTGTACCTGGGGATCCTGATCCATGCCATGGCTGATGGGCACCTTGGCTTGGCATTCTCCCCAGTCCTTCAGCTCAGGGGTGTCCAGGGCCACTTCTGAGAGCCAGGTAAGCCTTGGCCCTGTGGGAGTACAGGCTGCGAGCACTGCTCAGGGCCCGCTCCTCTTCTGTACCCAGAGACTCACATTGGGGATAGATGGGGGTTATTTATTATTTAGTGCTTCCCTGTGCCTGACCCTATGTAACTTAGGACCTATCCAGGGGCTCACAAACCTCTCAGAACTGCAAGGATCACAGACTCAGAGCAGGTAGGACACTATCCTGGGATGTCTGTAGGTAGGCGGAGAATGTATCATGTGAAATAAGTAATATAGGTGTCTGTGCGGGAGGGGGAGCTGGAATGGTGTGGGGTATTGGAAAAGATTTTAAGGACAAGGTAGAGCCCCAGTAGGCCCTGCCAGAAAAGAAACATTTGCAGAGGGGAAGACAAGGTGGCTGGGGTAGTAGAAGCTTGGAAGAGAAGACTGGGGAAACAGGCTGGTGCGCCTCCTTAGGGATGGATAAGTACCCAGTCTGTGCCATATTTTACCTCTGTCCCTGGGCAAGGGTTGACAGCAGTGGCAGCTTCAGCTCAAGCTGCTCAGGACTAGGTTGAGGGGATGAAAGAAAAGGACGAGAAAGGGAAAAAGATCAAGAACTAGAGGGTGGGAGAAGGGGAACTCAAGAGAATTTCAAGCTGGACAAGACCTACATGACCATCTCATTTAAACTTCGCTGGTGTGAAACCACCTCCCATGGCTGCCTAGTGACAGGAACTCACACCCCTGGGCATTCCAGTGCTGTCTCTGAGTAGCCCAAATTGGCCTCCCCTAAATTTCTTCCCTTCAGTTGTTGGATGTTCCAGAGAGCCACCACACAGAATATGTTTAATCTCTTCATTCATGACAGCCTATTAAGGCTCCTATATGGCTCTTGACCTCATACCTTTGGAGGCAAAGTGCATCTGGCCCTGGGGGCATGGGTGCTGGCTGGCTGGTGTTGCTAAGATTTGGGACCCATTCTGGGGTCTCCCAATTGTCTCTTCATCAATCCTGCTCCAGCATTCTGAGGGCTCCTCCTGCATGGAGATGCAAAGGCTCTGCTCAGGTGCCTAATGGCTCTACCCCTCAGCAGAAGGAACAGTTCTGCATTTGCCATTCAGCATTGGGCAAAGCAAAGGTCTAAAATGCCAGGGGTCAGGCAGGACCTCTCCATCATTGCCAGCACAGGCTGGTCAACAGAGGACACAAAAAAGAGATAAGGATGCTCCCGTTCATTCATTTAAACAATTAAAAACTAGAAAAGCCAGACACACACAATAGGAAGAACCCATATTTTTGTCCTATACCTAGAGAGTTATGTATTAGTATAGCATCACAGAAATACAGTGTGGATGGGGTAGATACAGCTCAGGACAGGAAGTCAGGAGACTGTCTGGTAGGGATAACTACATGTTCTTAGTAACCTGGATCCTCTGAACCATGGTTACGTCATCTGTAAAGAGAGGGGGTTGGACCAGACCATTGGTGATATACTATGAATTAATTTTTTAAAAAAATAATTATGTTATCCAGGGAATAAACACAAAAGAAAAGGGAAAGATGGGCCTTTCAGACCTGGGAGTGGGACATGGAGCTTCCTTGGAGCTCAGGGTAGAGGAGTGGAGCATGAACAGAGAGTCTAGGGGCCTCCTTAGCTTCATTGTGAGCTACAAGCAATTTCCTTCCTTCCTTCCTTCCTTCCTTCCTTCCTTCCTTCCTTCCTTCCTTCCTTCCTTCCTCCCTCCCTCCCTCCCTTCCTTCCTTCCTTCCACTGGGAATTGAACGCGGGGGGTACTTCACACTGAGCTACATCCTCAGCCACTTTTTATTTTTTTTAACTTTTGAGACAGTGTTTTGCTAAGATGTTCAGGGCGTTGCTAAGTTGCTGAGGCTTGCCTCAACTTGAGATACTCTTGCCTCACTCAGCCTCCTGAATTGCTGGAATTACAGGTCTGCACCACTGCTTCCAGCGACAAGCAAGGTTTCTTGGAAGAGGACAGAACTCAGCAACCCACTACACATGCTTTTGGATACTAGGGGCTCAGTGAACTGAGGAAGAGGTTTCAGAGCAGTCTGGTGCAGTGATTAGACCATCCAACAAAACCCACAAGGACCGTCAGGTGAGAGAGACTATAAGGGCTTAAGGGTCACTTTAGGTCTGGTGGTGAAAATAAAAGGGACATTCCTGGAGGAACTTGCTTAATGCTCCGGCATTGTGCTGAGCAAAGTGAGCCAAACCCAGTTGTACTAGGATGACCTCGATTCTCTGGGCAGACACGATTCTACTTCAGGTCTTAGTCAGCAGGCGACCTGCCTAAGGATGGAGGGACACGCCCACGCCCACGCCCAAGGGAAGGATAGGATTCCCCGGCCAGGCCCACAAAGACCCTCCATTTGTCGCCCTCTGTGGCCCACGGGCGGTGGAATATGGGACTTAGGTGCCGAGCAGAAACTACACATTTGGTCTTGGAAGCGCACAAGTCTAAGTCCCTGCCCACTCTTGGCGCGCACCCTGAGTGACGCCCGAGCTGCGGCGGCCCGCGCTTGCTCGTCCAGCCGGGACAACTCGGCTGCGAAGGAGCGCACGGCGCGCTCCAGTCGCTGGTGGCGCAGTAGCATGGCCTCGGCTGCCGCCTGGTCCTCCCCACAAAACGCAGTCTCCAGCTCCTGCCGCCGTTCGCGCAGCCACGCAGCCCCTTCCGCAGCGTCAGCCAAATACTGAGGGGAGGAGGGCGGGGCTGAGCACAGGCAGGTGCCCTCCCCGGCCCCGCCCCGGCCCCGCCCCCTGACTGGAACGCCCCACTTCTCTACCTGCCGTAAAAGCAGGGATGTGTGCAGCCTCAAACCCCTCTTCTCCAACCTAGTCCAGATCAGCTGCCACTCTCTCTGCACGGCCTCGGCCCGCTCCCTGGGATCCGGCTGCGTCGAGGATCCGCGGGCGCTGAAGTCGCACCCCCTCTTCACGAGGTCCACGCACACAGCCTGGTGGCGGTGGAGTTTGGCTTCGAGGGCCTAGAGGGCAAGGCCCGGTTGAGATGGGGAAGCTTGGTGATGGGAAGGAAAGGAGAGGGGGCTGAGTTCCCAAGCCAGATGGGTGAGGAAAAGGTGTGGATCCACAGGGAGCGAGGGAGCGAGGGAGTGAGCACCTTGTGTTTCTGCAGGGTGACTGAGATCTGACTGAGGTCCCCTCCCAGGGACAAATTCTCCACCTGCTGTCTAAGTTCTCTCAAGCAGGCCTCCTCCTCCTCACAGTTGTTCAGGAATTCTGCCCATTGTTGGGTCTGCTCCAGCATAGCCCGCCTGGGAGACAGACAGCAAGGGCCACCAAGAGACTTCGGGTGTCGTGGGGCATGGGGAGGGAGTTCCCTGGGGGTCCTTAGACAGGACTTTTTTCCCCCCTGTAAGACTCAATAGGTGAGACAGAGGCCTTGGGACAGAGGGTCATTTTAGAGGAGGTTGTCAGGCGAACAGTATTTTAGTCTGGGCAGGAGATAATTGGGGTTACAGAAAAGTTCCAAAGAAGGTTGAGGAGTCAGGTCAGACTCTTACCTGTCCCTGACAAGAGACATCAGGTTCTGGTAGAGCTGGGCCAATGATTCAGCCTTGGCTTTGACCTGCAGCATCTCTACACTGGTGACCAGGGAGGAGTACAGCTCTGCAGTCTGATGGGCAAGATGGCTCACATGGGCCTCATGGGTGGAGACCTGGGCCTCTAGCAGGTCATGTCTCTGAAGCAGCTCCACTACTTCTGCCAGATGCTGTGTACAGGTCATGGAGCTGGCTGGCACCTGACCAGAGATAAGTGGTCATTGCAGTCTTAAGGTGCTGCATTCCTGTGAGCACCAGTGCTGGGGAAAGACCCTCACTCTACTGTGTTCCCCAGAGGTTGGCTGGTCCTGTGCCCACCTGCAGCTCCCGGAGCTGGTCAGAGGCAGCCTCCACCTCTTGCAGAAGGCTTAACACAGCCTGCACACCTGTCATCTGCTTCCTGTGCTCCTGTAGATGCTGAAGGAGTCTTTTCCAGCGCTGTGTGATCTTCTCATGCCTGGTAGACACAAGAATGAAGGAAGTTTCCAGAAGGCTGGGGCAGAGAAGCCACCTCAGGTTAGTAGTGGGGCTTGGCTGCCCTGGAGGATTTGGACCTCTGAGGCTGGAGGCAGGGTCTGGATGTGAACCTCTTGGTATGGGGAGACTAGGGCAATGTGTCCTGCCCTGGTTACAGGCAGAGAAGCCAAAAGAGGACCTGAAAGGTCTAGGCCTTCAGCCCCAACCCCTTCTAGTCCCTATGGCAGTTGATGGCAGCTCCATCCTTCCAGATGCTCAGACTAAAATCTTAAGTCAGTCTTCACACTCTGTAGTGGCACCCCCTCCTCCACAAAATATATTAACTGGGCTTTTCCAGAAATCTTCACCATGGCTGATTTTAGGACTGTCAGCAAAAGGGTCTCAAAAAAGAGTTCAATGTAGATAAACTTCCTATTTTTGTGTTGCCCTATTTTACTTGGCCGCTAGCCTGAAAGAAATCCGCACTCCAGGTGCTGGACACCCCCTTAATAGTTTTTCACAAACATGTATCCAGTATAAGTAGTTTGTAGAAATGTGTAAACAAGGCCACGGGCCTTGAGCTAGAGCTTCACAGAGATGTCTACATTTCTAAGATAAGTTACCAATTAGGCTGCATGGTAACAGCTGGCAGGGGGAGGAAAGAAAGGGGAGAAGAAGCTCTCCCCTTTTCAGGTGTTGTCCTTGAAGGGTTAACTTGCCCTGAACAGTGAAGGAAAAAGCTGCTTTTATGTGAACTTGTGAAAACTGTGAACTTCTGAGCCCCTCCCATTACATGCCGGGTATAAAATTCTGAAACTACCTGAACTCCGGGTTCAGAGAATTGATTACAGCAAAAGCTGTGCTCTCTGAACCTGGCTGCAGCCAAATAAAACTATTTTCTGTTATCTTTGGTGCCTTGCATCATCTGTCTCTACAACAACCCCACTTCTGACCTGTCTCTAATTCCTGTTTGGCACTACCTTCAAATACATTCAGAATCCCACCACTGCTATTGTGCTATTGCCTCCCTTGCTCTCCACCCAGTAATAGCTTCATAACTGATCTCTCTTCTTCTGCTGCTATTCCTTCATCCTCTTCCCAACATGGCATCCAGGTGACCATTGTAAAACAAAAGTCAGTTCTGTGCTCAAGCCCTCCAAGATTTCCCATCTTTCTTGGAGTAAAAACTGCAAGGCCCAGCCTGACTTCCACTCCTCTCCCTTGCCATTGAGCTTCCCTGACCTCACCCCTGTAACTTGCTCACTTTAGTCACCATAGCATTTTTAAAAAATTTAATTTGTTCTTTTTAGTTATATATAACAGTAGATTCTATTTTGACATATCATACATACATGGAGTATAACTTCCCATTCTTGTGGTTGTACATGATATGGAATTACACTGGTTGTGTATTCATATATGAAAATAGGAAAGTTATGTCTGATTCATTCTACTGTCTTTCCCATTCCCATCCCCTCTTCCACCCCTAGCATTTATACTGTTTTTCAGACTTGCCAGGGGCAGGAACCCACCTGGGATGCTGCAATTGTTGTTTCCTCTGCCTGGGTCACTCTGTCCCCCATATCTGCATGACCAGCCCTTTCACTCCTTTCTGGTCTTTATTCAAAAGTCATCTTCCAATGACTCTCCTCCGGCCACCCAGTCTGCACCACCTCCCACAATGGCCCCTCACATTCCATTATCCTGCTTTATTTAATTCAATTAATTAATTTGGTGCTGGGGATCAAACCCAGGGCCTTGTGCATTCTAATCACACGTTCTATCACTGAGCTACATCCCCAGACCCTACATTTTAAATCACTATCTCTCATGTTATATTTTTATTATTTGTTTTCCTTAATAGTGTGTAAGTTTGGTCTGGGGATGTGGCTCAAGCTGTAGCACGCTTGGCATGTGTACGGCCCAGGTTCGATCCTCAGCACCACATACAAACAAAGATGTTGTGTCCACCAAAAACTAAAAAATAAATATTAAAATTCTCTCTCTTAAAAAAAAATAGTGTGTAAGTTTCTTAAGGGGAGGGATTTTTGTTTGTTCTCTTCACTGCGAAACCTCCAGCACCTAGAATGGCACATGGGACACAGCGGATATGTGCCATAAATGCCATAATGAATGAACTAATCAGAGGCTACCTCAAAAGGACAGTGCTTTACCAAAGGGGATGAATTACTGATGGTAGAATTCCAAACATCCATGGGAGACTGATTTTTTTAGAAGGAGCCCTGATTCCATAAACCACCCCTCTCTTCCATGGCCAGGAATGGGCATGTGGAAGGGTAAGGGTGTGCCTTTCCCTTTTGTGAGGATGGTTTATAGGCTTGGGGCTCACCTGTGGGCCACATCTGCCCAGTCATGGTAGTGTTCCTGCTGGAGGATGTCTGCGATCTCAGCCAGGGCCTGGAAGCGCCCCTCCTGGGGCAGGATGCCAGCCTCCAGCATGCCCAACCTCTGGGTGGCTGCCTCCACTGTGGCTGGGCTGGCTGGCAGGGCTCTGGCGTGGTCCAGCACCTGCTCCGCATCCTTTAGAAAGCTCTCCCGGAGGGCTGCCTTGCGCTGGAAGCGACGGGCCAGTGTTTCCAGACGCTCCAGTTGTAGTAGCCTCTGCTGCAGGGCCTGGCTCCGGGCAGCCTCTGCTCGCTCTAGCCCTGCCCAGCGCTGGGACAGCTCTTCAGGGCCGAGGCCCTCCTGAGGCAGGAAGAGCCTGCGGTTCTGGGCTCGGAGTGCTGTCTGCAGCTTGAAGAGCAGGGCCTCTGTGGCCCCTCGCTGCTGCAGCCGAGGTGGTTTCTCCTGAGCACGAAAGGAGGCAAAGTCTACCAGTAGCTGGCGCATGGCAGGCAGTGAGTCTGGAAAGTTCCGCATCTCCAGTTGTGCCTGCTTCTCTGTAATCCAGTGGAGCAGGTCAGCCACGAGCTGCTGGTACTGGGTCTGTAGCACCTCGGTCTCCTGGAGCTGAAGCAGGATCTGGTGGAGGGCAGAGAAAGGATCAGGCCCTGGAATAGAGGCACTCCCCTGTTGGCCTCTGGGAGCCAGCTGCTTCTCTCAGCTGAGGGTGCACTAAAGTAGGGGTCCCCCAGCTCCCAGAGAGGAGGGGGCATCACACACCCAGTTTCAGGAGTGAGTGGTCTCCTTCTCCATGACTTGGGGGCAAGACTGTGTCCTGCCTTCTTCCATCTTGTTTCACCCTTTCGCCTCACCTCTAGGGGTTGAGGGCCTTTAGGCTACTCCTCATCCTAAACATTCTTTCCCCTACCCCCACCCCAAGCATCTTAGAGTCCTTGGCCTGTATCATCTTCCCCCACTGAGACACCAACCCTGAGGGCAGCCCTCCCAGGCCTCAGCCTCTGCCATCGCGTCCAGAGAGTAAGAAAGTCCTCCAAAAACATGGAGCCCCCCAACCCAGCAGAGCCTCTTCTATGCCTGTCCTTGCAGACTCCTGGTTCTCTAGGGCTGTTAATCCCATTAGGAGCTTAACAGCCTGCAAGTGGAGGGGGAGGGGAGGGGGGGGCAGGAGCAGCAGGAGCAGGCACTGCCTCCCCACTTTCCCTGTATGCCTGGCTCCATGTTGGGCCACTGAAGCTCCATTGAATACCAACCCAACAGCAGCCCTATTATCCAGGTGTTATTGTCTCCATGTTACAAATAGGAGCACAGAGGAGTTAGATGACTTGGCCAAGGCCACACAGCAAATGAATGACAAAGGAAGTTTTCAAGTTCCTGTCTGCCTGACTCTGGAGATTGTGCTCATCCCACCTGTCCTCAGAGCTGTGGCTCCCTGTGGCTGGCTGGACCACCTCCCTTTGTCACCAACCTTAGCGAGTCTCTTTTGGACAGTCTTCCCCTGGTGTAGGCGGGAGAAATAGTGGTAGTAGAGGGAGACATAGGTCATGATGGAGCGCTCATCTGGCTGTAGGCTGGCCACATCCTCAGGGTCCAGCAGCTGAGCAATGCCCAGCTCTTGCTCAGCCATGTGGAAGGCATAGGTGAGGTTGTGCAGTGGGCGGTCTGGACGCAGGGAGCCATAGTCTAGCAGGTCTGGCCTGGGCAGAGAGCAGGAAGGGCTCTTCAGGAGAGTGTCCTGCTTTTTAAAATGCACATGTTCCTATTGGCCAGACCCAGCTTACTGTAAATCCATTTTCCTCTGACAGTTCTCTGAGGCCCTGGCTGAAGGATGGATAGGACTCTAATGGGACAGGAGGGTTAATTTGGCATAGAGGCCAGGTCCAGGGATGGGGGCAGAAGTTCCAAAAGGGCAGCTAATTGCCGGGGAGAAGGCAATGAAGAGAAGGGAGGGATGCAGAAAGTGAAGGCCGGGGTCAGAGGCAAATATGGCAATTCCCTGGGGAGTGTGCGGGGGGAGGGGGGTATTACACCAGGCCAGGGACTCAGTTGTCAGCCCACTCTACTTCTGGGCCCACTTCCCCTCCTCCTCCAGGAGCCAGAGCGGATATGGAAAATGGGCTGGAGAGGCCCCAGCCCTGGGTTCAGTAATTGGAGACTCAGGTCCGGCCACACCTGTGGGCATGGATAAGGGCATTAAAACCCAGCCCGTTGCTCCAGCTGCGAGAGAAGTCAGTGATGCCCACGTTGGGGTAGCCGGCTGTCTTCCTCTGGCACCAGACCAGCAGAGCTTCCTTGGCTGACAACAGGGCTGCACTGGCCCCAAACTCCTCCTGTAGGACAGGGCATGTCATCACCATGTGGGGCCAGGTGGGGGCAGCAGAGCCTGCAGACTGTGGGTGGCTCATGCTGTGATCCTACCCCACCTGGAGATGGCTCTCTTTAGAGCATCTGATTTTACCTGATGTCATCCTCAGAAATTAGAGGTAGGGGTTAGAGAGCCAAGAGTCCTTCTGATTGATTGTGCTTCTAAAGAGGCAGGGTGACTGAAAGCTGTCACCTGTCATCAGAGCAGCTAGCTTTGCATTGCAGTTGAGGACCACAATAGCAATAGCTCCTGGTTTGGGGCCCAGGCATGGTGATAACCAACCTGGGGCCTCATAGAGGCTGGGCCCTATTTGACTCCTTCTCTGTATTGTAGGCTTTCTGATGATTATCAGATAGTAGGTTCTCAGCCTGTTAGTATTTACATTCTACAGAAGACAAAGGAGGTGTAGTAAGAGATTGGGAAGTTGCCCAGGGCCCCAGCTGATAAAGGGATTGGACTGGACCCCTAAACCTCCAACAGAGGACAAGAGAGCCCCCCACCTATAGTGCTCAATGCTTCAGGGACTGAGAAATGACTCGGCTGGGTTGGATTTCAAGCCCCGCCAGCCCTGCCGGGTCCTCTTTGTGGATAGTTTCCCTTATTCTTCCATCTCCATCTCCATCTCTTCCACTCAGTGCTTCTGTCTCTTGGCCCTTCATCCTCCTTCAACTTCTTTCTGCCTGCATCCCTGTCTTTCCCTTAGGGACTCCCCTTCCACTCACTCCCTGGCCCTGGTTGCCCTAAACCCTGCCTCTCCTGTTCTCATGGTTGCCCTCCTGTGTTTCCCTCTCCGCCAATTCCTGTTATGAATTCAGGAGTGCAGCTGAGCAGGATGCACTTATTCCCCTTCCTCTGACAGGAAGGATGCTGGAGACCAGCACAGGTCTGTAGAGTCATCTCAAGGATTTGGAGGCCCCTCTGCCCCAGGGAGGAGGCCAGGCCCAAGCCCCTGGGTGCTGGGCTAGGCCACAGGGGAACTAGGGCATGCTGAGATGGACTAGGAGGGAGCAGGGATGCTGGAGCCTGAGTCATCAGGGAGCAGGCCTGAGGTGGCAGCCTCCGGGGACGAGGAGTACCTGCTGCTCCCAAGGGACAAGTCTGAGGGGATATTGGGCCTCAGGATCTGGGGAGGTGAGTAGAGCTTCCTGGAAAGGTTTAGGGTCAGTTAGATGTTCATCTGCCCATTTGTTCCCCCAAACAGAGCTCAGCTTTGGAGCTGCGAGCACACAAGGCCCTGCTCCTCTGTAGCTCATAGTCATCATTTGTTTTGAAGGTCCACATGGATTTGTGCCAAATCTGTAATCTGTGGCTTTTTTTCATAGAATTTCATTTTCCAGCTTGGCTTTCCTGACCTACCAGAATCAAGTTTCAGGTGTTGTTTTGGGGATTATAAAACTTAAAAGTGATAAATATAAGAACATTATGTTTATACTCATTCCTTTTTTTTGGTACCAGAGATTGATTGAACCCAGAGGTGCTTAACCACTGAGCCACATCCCCAACTCTTTTTATGTTTTATTTTGAGCTAAGTTGCTGAGGTGGGCTTTGAACTTGTGATCCTCCTGAGCTGATGGGATTTCAGGCAGATGTCACCATGCCTGACTGGTTTATACTCTTTCTGATCCAGTTGTTGGGGAGAAAAAGATAGAAGGGGAAAAGTCGGGGAACCATGAGGGAAATACTGTATCATTGGTCTTCTGGATACTGGGGAATTAGTGAACCTCCAGAGGTAGGACTCAACATGTTGAATTTCCCCTAGGGGTGCATTATGGTGCAATGAATATTACAGGGTTTCAATGCCAAGTAGGGAACAGTAAACAGGTGGAAAGTGTTGCTGGGAATTCACCCTGTCCCTACCTAGTGAGTGACTTGTCTCAGGTCAGGTGTGAAGCCCTGTTTCTAATTCTCAGTTCAACATATGGCAACATCTCTGACCTGGGTTCTTTACCCCTGATTGAAGAATGAATACTAATTCCAAGGATGCCAAGGATTTGTGTGGGGAACGTAGATGTGCAGTGGAACTGCGCTGTCCCCAGGCGCCTGAGGTGAGGTCATGGGACACATACCCTGTCCAAGGAGATGTGGGAAATCTGAAAACGCAGAATGATCACCCAGAGGAGTCCTAGGATGAGTGTCTGGTCTCCATCCACGATGTTCTCTGGCCCAATGAGGGGTATCGGTACCTGTGGGCAAAGTTGACTCTATAAGTCATGAAACCCATGTTCCTAAGGGACTCAGAGGAACCAAAAGTCCAGGGAGCCAGTTGTGGGATAGGAAGTCCTGAAATTCAGCCTGCCCCAGTGGGAGGTCCCCCAGGAAAAGCAGGCAGAGACAAGGCAGAAAAAGGAAGACTTTTATTTTTAGCGCTGGGAATTGAACTTAGGACCTTGCACAGGCTAGGCAACTGCTCTACTACTGAGCTACATTTCTAGCCCCCCCCCCTTTTAAAAACATTTTTAGTTGTAGATGGACATAATACATTTATTTAGCTATCTATCTACTTATTTATTTATTTATATGTGGTGATGAGGATCGAACTCGGTGCCTCACACATGCGAGGCAAGTGCTCTACCACTGAGCCACAACCCCAGCCCCCCAGTCCCTTTTTATTTTGTTTTGTCTCACCAAGTTGCCCAGGCTGATCTGAAACATGGGATCCTCCCGTCTCAGCCTTCCAAGTCACTGGCCTGACAGGACAGGCTTTCTGAGTGGTTAGGTCCTGGGTCTAAGCCCACCTGGGTGATCTTGCAGCCGGGTGATCTGGGCTGGACCACTGGACAGGGGATTCCCCATATGTGGGCTACAGGGAAACCTGGGCTATTGGTCACTGGTTCAGCTGGGTCATTACAGATGTGTGAGCTAAACAGACAACTCCAGTGTCTGCCTCTACCTCCAGGGGCATCTCAGGATTTCAAGGGGGTGCCTGGGTCCCTTGGGGCCACACTCAAATCTCAGTCTTCTTCATTAGGCTCTCCAACAGAGCCTATTGGAAATTTTGAGTCCCAAGCACCACAAAACCAGACTTTCTAGGGCCAGGGTTCAGGAATTTGCATTTGAACAAACACCAGGAGTGGCCATTCTGTACACTGAAGTTGAGAACCTCTGCCCTAGATCTTGCCACTTGGACAGGAGGATAGGTGAATCAAAGGGAGAAGAGGACAGAATAATTGCCAAATTTCCATAGGATCTGATCCCATTACCTTCTGGATACATCTTCTACTCTCCCAAATCATGCAGCACCAAGGCCTATAGGATTCTTGTAGTCTGTGAGATTCTAAGCATGGGCCTTAAGTCCTTTGCCCTGACTGTCCCTAATGTCTGGAAATATAATCCCCCAGCTATCATCAGCATGCTTATTCACCTCTCTTTCCCAAGGCTTATTCCTCCTACCCAAATACACACGCTTGATCCCTAAGACCTGGAAGGCAAGTGGCCTTAGCTGACCACCAGCCTTGAGGGAAGAGCTGCCCCTGGGTGTTGTGTCCCTCTAAAGGATCCCCTCTCCATGCCCTGGCACTTCCCTCCTCTCCCTGGCACATTCATCATTTTTGTACTTGGATTTGGGGCACCTGCTTAGTGGGGTGCGGGGACTGGAGTCCGCTCCTGCCTGCTCACTGGGGCCCATCCTACTGGCTTCATTTTTAGCGATGTTAGCTGGCAGCTTGAACTTGGTCATGATGAGAGAATTAATGCCTCGGAGATTAGCAGGACATAAACCAGTGCTTTGATTTCCCCCAGACAGTTGTAGGACGTGTCCCAGTACACAGCTGATCTGCATTCACCTAATCTGTCTCCCCTGAAACTGGGTCTGGGCTTTGCTTATCGTATCCCCAGTGTGGGCTACAGAATGCTCAGTGTGTGGCAAGGTCTCCGGCTCCATCAATGACAGCGTTCCACATTCTGCTACTTTAATGAACAGTATGTCTGGGGGCAGCTCTCTTGTCCTGTCTTGATCACTTGGCCTTGGATGTCTATGGAACCAATGATGTCACCTTCACAGGTATCAGGGACATGCTATATATCAAAGCTTAAGGAGATCTGCAAAGCCTCTGACGAAGGCCATGGGACTCACACCCTTTCCAAGATCCTGGAGGACAGATGACTGGCTCACAGGACCTTGGACCGCATGGGAACTGGCTCTCTGTGGCTGGCAGCTTTTTGCTCTTCCAGGTGCTAGGAACTGCAGTTGCTGCCCTTCCTTCCCTTGGCTTTGGCTCTTCTCTCCCTGGTGTTCTCCAGCACACCAGGCTCCAGGGACTATAGGTGACCTCCATCAGGACTTAGGTGATGGTTCACGCACTCAGGCTCATCCTGGCCAGGCCCAACTCAGTGCCCATATCCTCCAGGACAGCCACCACACAGTCTCAGTACCCGAGGCCAGGAACCTTCCTAATTCCTGCTCCCCAATATAAACCACCCCTGTGCTGGTCATGGGAGTCCATTGTGTTCAGGAGCTCTTGCTTCTATCTCCCTGGCCTGTCCCTTTCTCTGGTGACTCAGGCTCCTCCTATTTGCTGAGGCCTTTCTTCCTGCAAGGCAGGTCCTGTACTCTCTCCCTGCCGCCTGCCTTGGTGACTGGGGCTCTTCCCCCTTTTCCCCTACTTTCCACCAGCCTCCCTTGGCCCCGTATCTGGGCTCTGCTGCCTGGTCATGGATCTTGTCTGTAAATAATTGTGGACACCTTTATGAAATAAGAAGGTTAAGAGAGCACTAAGATTCTTTCGGTGTTGGATCCTGCAGTTCTGTCTTATAGACAGTGACATTTGCAGTCCCAATAGGCTTCCTGCTATAGCCAGCTGGGTGCTCTCCAAGCCAGAGTGCTGGGCAAAGCCTTTAATGCCGCTCCTCTGTAACCCAGCTGTTCTTCCCTTAGTCAGTCCCCAGATCCTCTGCTCTACCCTGTGGCCCAGCCTAGGAAAGATGACCATCCAGTGTGTCCCTGCTGCCTGCCGGCACCACACACAGCAGCACTTCTCTGGAACCCACCTTGGCCCTGAGGAAGGCCAGAGCTCTGCTGTTGTTCTCCAGAAAATGCACACGCAGGCGGCCCCGGCTAGGCGCCGGCAGGGCCTCTCCAGAGATGAGCTCCAGCAGCCGTAGTAGGTGAGTGCCATCGGCCAGCTCTGTGTACAGGTTTTGGATCTTGATGCCCACCTGGGAAGGGGATGGGCAGGTACAGGGTCAGCTCTGCCCACCCCATCCTGGGATCCAGCAGGTGGAGGCCAGAGCAGCTGTCTAGGAGGAAGGAGCTCTGCCTCAGCTCTGTTGTGGGATCCGGAGCAGCCTCAGGCCAATGAACCCACAGCCTGACCCCATGTCCACTGGCCCAAGCTGGGGGTGATCCCAGCCACACTCACCCGGCCGACCCGAAAGATGTTATTGACCCAGTTGGTGAAAGTCTTCTCCTGCATATGCGTGTGCCGAGCCTGTAGCTGGCGGATGTGGCCCATCTCGTACTCAGAAGCCATGGCAGGACCTGGACTGGGACTCGAGCTCAGGGGCTGGGCCTCTGGCTGCAGGTATCCTGTAGCCAAGGATCTCCTGGGGATTATGGGGCTGACTGGACACCAGACCTGCAGCCCTTTGGTGACAAGTGGCCTCTGGACATTTCCCAGACCCTGAAAATTGTGGGGCATGGAGTTAGGGAGGAGTGTGTGTCCTGATGTTCCCTCTGCCAGGAGTCTAGGGCCCTACCTGCCACACTGTCTCTGTGGTTGGTGGGGATTGTGGCTTGGAGCCTAGCTAGGTAAGATCTAGTCCTGGCTGCTACTTGAATGGTGTACCCCACCTTCCAGAATCTTCTCAGAGCCCCTGCTACCAGTCTTTTGACCACAGCAGATTGGCCTCCGCTCTGTGGGTTGATCAGGGCAGGTGGAAGGGAAACAGGGACTGCTCACCTTGACGATGTCCAGGTCAGGGGAGGAGGCCAAGGATGGAGATGGCAGCTAGTAAGGGCTGTGCAGCAAGGGAAGAGGCACCAGAGAGGCCTAGGGTGGAGCTGGGGCCAGGCCATAGCCCTCCTCTTGAGCCTGCTTGCTAGGGATAATGGCACACAGGCTGCATTGTCCTCCCACCTGCCTCAGGGAGTGGCCCAGAAGGGAGGGGGTGGCTCAAGAATGCTCCAGGCCCATTGCTGGGGGTCTCCTCCTTCATCTGCCACCCCCCTCCCCTGGCAGCTTTCCCTGTCATCAGGGGGTTCTAGTTCTCAGGACACAGAGGCCTTGGAAATGGCCTCTGGCGGGAACATCATGAGGGTGCTAGAGTCTGGGCAGAGCCTCTGGATGGAAGCCTGTGGACCCACTTCCCTATCTGGACTGCCGTCCTGCACCCCAAAGGGCCTCTTGGGGAGCACCTGAAGGGTGGGGCATGGGAGGATCATGCTGGCCAGCAGCCTTCTCACCCATCCCAGGAACAGCCATAGACACAGGGCATCATCAGAAGGTGGCTCTGCTTTCCTGGTCCTGGAAGAAGTGCAGCCAACCTGGCTAGGGCCTGGGGTGGGGGGTCCCTCCAGCCCAGGAGGCTACTTTCTGAAGTCCTCCCTTTTTGTGGGGGACCTGGAACTACAAATGACTATGTAAATGAGAGTCTCCTATAAAACCAGAGACTCAGCATTTACTCTTCAAGTCTCTGTAGAGCTGGCTGTGGCCTGGGGCCTGGGGGCAGGGTGGGCTCAGAACCCATGGATGGTCTCCTATCTCCTTCCCTGGGTGACCTTGGACTGCCAGAAGGAAAGCAAGTTCTAATTGTGGTGTTTTCACACAACTGTGTGGCTAAACTCAGGGTCACAGTCTCAGGGCTGGGGGTGGGTCAGAGGGTATATAACCACAGTGACCCTGGAGGCTCTGGGAGGGGGCACAATGCTCTGTAGCCAAGGCCTGTGAGAAGAGAGCTGGGCAAGGTCAGCTCTGAAACCTTGAGCCCCTGGCAGGCAGCTGCTGAGAGGTGTGTGCTCAAAAGGGAGCTCCTCCTGCCACTGGCTGGCCTTCTGCATACTGAGCTGAGCCCAGCTCCTTCCCTGCGGGTGGCTCAGATCCAGTCAGCAGCACTTCCACTGCTTCAGCACTGCTGTCCCTGCAGGGCCTCGTCCCCACTGCCCGATCTCAGAGCCGGATACCAAGCCTGGTTACTGTCCACAGCACCACTCTGCCCCAGGTAGGAAGACTGCTCATTACCTGCCGGGAGAAACTGGGCCTGTCAGAGCCACTTCAGTAAGGCCTTCGAGGCCTCCCTCTCACCCAGCTGCTTCTGTGGATGATGCTCCATGTCCTGGATGGTGCCAGCCATTCTCTTGGTTTAGACTGTCCTACCTTGTCCCCATCATCCACATTCTCCTGTCCTAGCAGCCCCATTTAAAGTAGTGCGTCTTCTAGGAAAACCTGTCCTACCTCCTTACCCCAGTGATGACTGGGCTTATTTCCTCTCCTGAGACCCTCGGCCTAGGAGGTATCTTGTGTGAGCACTGAGGAAGACTGAACTGCATGGTGCTTTGTACACAGATCTCGACAGAGGTTGTTTGAAGTTGTGGGATGGAGCAGGGGGGTTGCTTTTCTTTCTCCCTAGATCAACTGCACCTAAAGTCACTGCAGACCATCTCCTCTTTCGCTTTGACTGACTGCAGCTCCTGGTCAAAGAGCTTTGTTGATCAATGTCAACTTTGTTTTTTTTTTTTTTTGCGGACACAACATCTTTATTTTATTTTTATGTGGTGCTGAGGATCGAACTCAGCGCCCCGCGCATGCGAGGTGAGCACGTTACCGCTTGAGCCACATCCCCAGCCCGTCAACTTTGTTTTTTGTGTGTGTGTGTGTTGTAAATAATTGAAATTTCAACAGAAATTAAACAGAAAAAAAAAAAAGACTAAATTGGCCACATAACTGAAAAATGCAGCAGGAAGAGGATTTTAGGTGAGGTTTGATCTAGCAGCTCAAATAGTGTCACCACAGGCCACAGGTCTGGATTTCCTTTGCCTTTCTCAAAGCCTCCTTTATCTTCATGCTCCACAGGGTGGCTCCTGCCAGCCTGACGTCCCTCTCAGTGCCATTCACACTGTTGTACCAATAGGCTCACTTCTTTACTTTGCAGGGTTGAAGAGAAGACAGACTCTCTTTCCCAAGAATTGGGAGGCCCTGGATCTCAGAGGCTTGAATTGGGTGACAGATCCATTTCTGAACAAATATCTGTGACTAGGGGATGGAATACTCTGGCTCAAGCCAATCAGGACCCACCCTGGAAAGAGGGGTTGGGGTCCAGCTCACCTAATTCTCATTGCTCAGCACCTAGGTTAGAAGAGGGGAGGGTTCTGTAAAGAATAGTCCAGATGTTCACTGTTGGTGGTGCACACCTGTGAGGCACTGCAGGAGGCAGGAGCAGTGCCAGCCGCCCGTCCTTCCAGGCAGGCCTGTGTCTCCTAAGAGCACACTCAGCAATGCCTTGTCCCCGCCTCTGAAGTGCCTACCTCCAGTCTTGGCTTTTAACCTCTCAGGTGGGGCTTGAGCCTCCTCTGTCCCTAGCTGAATGTTCCATGTATGAGTCTCTCCCTACAAAGAGGACACAGGAAGAGTTGAGGGTCACAGGGATGGTGTGGAGAGGAGGCACACCCTCTCCCTGACTTCTCCATCTCATTTCAAAATGGGTCCAAGGAACCCACACTTCCCTACTAAGACATCAGGCAACACCCAAACTCTAGAGTCAACAGGAGAACAATAGCGATTTTTTCCAGAAGTTTATTATCAATAGACTGTCTCTTATTGTTTGACAGTTCTAAATAAGATTTAAAAATATAGAAGCGTTGTGCATTAACTGCATTGGTTAAGTGACATGTAACCTGATACGCTCTTGAATGAGACCATTTACTTGAATAAACTCAGTGGCTATCTGTCCTAAGAAGGCTATTCTTCGGCTACATTCCACATAGGAAATGAACAATAAAATGCTTTCCTTAATTTCATGATTTATCTTGGGTATCACTCTGGGCTTAATGGAGTGGGACTGTGCAAAATGGAAAGGTCCAGGCACAGGTGCAGCCATGAGGCAGGGGGTGTCCTGCCCTGGGCAAGACATTTCAGGTGCCCAGAGAGGGGGCTCCTTGAGGAGACCTAGCAGAGGTTGGAGAAAGGTCTGCAGCTAGGGACAGTAGGGCCATGGTTCTGTAGGGCTTCTCCAGAGGCTCTGATGAGGCCAGGGGTTGGGGGAACAAAGGAGGCATTTTGCTTGTCATTCCGTGCTCAGAGCAGCCTGATCACCCATGCCCATGACATGTGAGAAGTCAACTCAAGGCCTGCACCTTGTGGGAGGAGCCACAGTCCCAGAGCCAGATGCCATTGCTACATAATGACAAGGGTTCAAAAGAGAAGAGTCCAGCCCTGGAGAAATGAATGGCCCTTGCCAGTGAAATGTGACCCTGCCCCAGACCATGCAAGCTGCAGCGAGCTTGAAGTCTTGAGAGGAAAGAATTGATGCAGGCTGCTTGCCTGGGGAGTTCTGGTGAGTCTGACTGCAGTTTCTCCACAGTGAGGCCCAGCAGGCCCGCGCTGGCAGACTTGCAATTGGAAGGCTGATGTTGAGAGGAACAGGCTGAAATTTCCACATACCCCCTAAATGGAGGTTTATTTATATGAGAGCATACACTGTGTAGAAAGTAGGGCTTCAAGATTCATAGGTTTTCTTTGGACTCAGAAAGAACATTAGATAGTTTTAACATTCCAGAGACCTTTGTGCTGGTCCTGGGTTCCAGCGAACTTTTCAGGGTGAATAGCTTCATGTTGTAAGAACATATCATAAAAAGTGGACAAGTTATTTCTTTCTTCTTTTTTTTTTCTCAAGAACGTCTCAGGCACCAGTAGGGGCAGGACTAAGGTGTGATCCTCTCCCACACTGCCTTGAAAAGTTTCCTTCTGTGGAGAAACTAGAAACCTCAGCCTGCTGTCCCTTAAACACCTCTGTATAGATACAACCTGGATGAATCTACATGTGTGCACATTGACAAATTTTAAAAATACTCACATGACGCATATATATGTATATATTTGTTTATATACAACAACTGAGCAAAGTTAAAGAAACAAGGCAATTCTGAATGAAAAGTCAGCTCTCCCTGGCATCTCCAGGCCTCTGGACAAACCAACTTCTTTTCAGTCTATCCCTGGTGGCCACCACCCTTTGCACACCTGGGTGGTCCTTACCTTCACAGAACTATCTGCTCATACTACAGTACTGGAATCATAATTTTTTTCTTCTATGTATCAATATAAAATTGCTCATTCAGATTAAAAATATTATGTAATTACTTATAACTGAATTATTTAGAAAGCAAACTGGGGTGGGGGGGTGTAGAAGGTTAGCATCTCAACAGATGCCCCAGAATCAGTATTTTCTCTAAAATCTGCAGTTCAGATCCTGATGTCACCAGAGGCAGGTGACAGGGAAAAAAAAAAAAAAAAGAATTTTTTAGAAGGCCCATGGTACTGTTTTGATTTCATTCATTTTTGGTGTTGGCAGGGCCCATGCCATGTGGTCATAACTATTTTGTGATTCTTATTACATAAATACTGTTGAAAGTCACCTGCCTCCTCGTGCTGTGGCCAACAGAGTAGGTAGGTGGCAGTGGGAACTGACTACCTCCATCTGAGCCATGCATCTGAGCGAGTGGCCTGGAAAGTTTCACTCAAGGACTTGGGAAGACCCAAGAGCCAATGGAGAGGTAAGTGGCCCAATCCTGCCTCAAGACTGGCATTCACAATACGACCACATGGTCTTTGAGTAAAGGTTTTATATGAAAGATTTCTGTATAAAGACTTTTTATCCTGTAAGAAAAACAAGAGTGGAAATAAAAATGCCTATTTTCTACAAAAATAGAGTCTAACCCCTTAGATTGATCTCTTCTCCCCCACAGCCCTTGGAAACATTCAGTGGTTGAGAGCCACACTAAACAATGAGAAAGGAGAACCGCCTCTTTTCCTCACTGTAGATTATGTCTGATAAATAGACTTTGCTACAACGTATCAGGCAAACTGGTGAGAAAAACTAATCCGCAGACATCAACATGACCTGAACTGCAAACTAGAGGCCTTGCCAGAGGTTAATAGAGGTTGTGAGCTCCAAATTCCTAACCACACACAGCTTTCTTGGGAGCACCTGGAGGGAGGCCTGGCAGGGGTGGTCAGTGGGTGCTGGGACCTGTGCCCTGCTGGCCTGGCTACCTGCTCTGCTGGGGCCCGCAGGAGGGATGGGGGCTCACAAAGACATGGGGCATCAAGCCTGGGCTTCAGTCTTCTCTTTGGTAGACAACTGGAGAAAACAGAAACTCTATTTCTCTGCTCTATTTTTTTTTCCCCACTCCAAATTTAGCAAGAAACAAATAAAATAAATGAGATCATCTTTGTTGCCTCCTGGTGCTCTCTGAAGGACAGATGGGTGCTGCTGCCTCTGAACAGCCCAGTGCAGCCCTGAAACTCAGCTGTTCCAGGTGATGCCCCAGGACCCTTCCCCAGGTACCTGGGTGCCCACCAAGCCCTTGCCACGTTCCTCCAGGCTTCTGAGTACTTGGGATAATTTCCCCTCTCAAACTTTCAATGTCATTATCCATCCCCCGCACCACTACCCCCAATATTTTAAGAGAAACTCAGTGAACTTTAGAGGTGAAGGAGGTCCAGTGACTGCCCTCCTGTCCTACAGATGGAGAAACTGAGGCATGGAGAGGGCAGCTTTGCCCAAGGTCATTCAGCAAGTCAGTAGAAGAGCGGGTCTCAGGCCCAGGTCCAGGATTCCCACCCCATACTTCCCACCCCGTTCTGCGACCTGCCTTCAGTCGGCTTTTGGCAGGGACTTCCTGTGGGAGGGGGGCACAAGGTGGGGTGGCAGGCTGTTGGGCAGCTCGTAGCCATCGAGCTTGATCTTGATGAGGTGCTTGGCCAGTGCGAACTCCTCCTCATCTAACATGCCATCGCAGTCACAGTCTGCCAGCTTCCAGATCTTGCCCAGGACACTGTTGGGCAGCTTGGAGGTCACCATCTCCTTCTTGGCGTTGACTCCTGATATCTTGCCATTGATGGGTGAAAGAGTGTAGAAGAGCTCATCATAGATGGGCTTGTCTTTGGCCACTACCCACTCCTCCTCGTCAGCCCCCTCCTTGGCCCCCTCCCCGTAGCCCTGGTTGAAGGGGCCCTCAGTGGTGCCGTCGAAGGCACCGCCCTGCACCAGCTGTGTGGGCATGCTCATCTCCTCCTGGCTGATGAGGCTCATCAGGGACGAGATCTTGTTGCTCAGCATGTTATCCACGGCCTCTATCAGCTTGGGCTTCAGTGAGTGGAATTTGGTGAAGTCGTAGTTCTCAAGCTGCTCCTGCGGAAGGAGAAAGCACAGACTTGGTGATGTGCTCAGGGAGAAACGGGCGGGGGCAGCTGGAGAGAGATGAGTTTCCCTTTAAAGCAGACTTCCTTCCATGCCCTGTGCTATTCCAGAGCTGTCTCTTTGGTGGGGTTCTCATGTCCAAACTCACCGTTTTTTGGAACGAACTGCAAGGATGCAGTGTGGCTTTTTCTATAGGAGCTGATCTCTGCTGTTGGCTCCAGGAGTGAAGCAACTCCCCTAGGACTTTGAAAAACCCTCTTTCGCCCTGCTTTTTTTTTTCTTTTGGTGATACTGGGATTGAATCCAGGGATGCTCTGCCACTGGGTTATATCCCAAACCCTTTTAACTTGTGATCAAACTTGTGATCCTTGTGCCCCAGCCTTGCAAGTAGCTGGGATGACAGGTATGTGCCACCATACCCAGTCTAGAAACTTTCCCTCTCTCACATACCCTTTAACTGAAATCATACCACACTGTTAGGGTAACACTTGTGTTTTAAATAAATAGCATGTCATATCTTTCTGTGATATTAACTTTTACATAAACTTATTCTTTTTCTTTCTTTTCTAAATTTTTGGTACTGGGGATTGAACCTAGTGGTTCTTTACTACCAAGCCATATCCCCAGCTGGTTTTATTTATTTTTTTATCTTTATTTTGCTAAGTTGCTGAGGCTGATCTCAAACTTGTGATCCTTCGGGCTCAGCCTCTTGAGTTACTGGAATTATAGGCATATATCACCATGCCTGGCTTAACTTTTTCTTTTTTCTTTTTTATACCAGGGATTGAACCCAGGGGTGCTTAACTACTGAGACACATCCCCAGCCCGTTTTGAGACAGGGTCTTGCTAAATTGCTTAGGGCTTTGCTAAATTGATGAGGCTGGCTTTGAACTTGAGATCATCCTGCCTTAACCTCCTGAATCCCTGGGATTATAGGCATGTGCAACCATGCCCAGCAACCTTATTCTTAATAGCTATACAATATTGAACTAACAGAGCTATTCTTCATTTACCCTGTCCCTTGTGGTTGAATGTGGAGGTTGTTTGCAAGGAGAATGAAAATGATTGTCTCTACAGTGAGTGGCAGGGCAGGAATTCTATGCTGATATTTGGAAGGGGAGCCCTAAGTTTTAGGCTGTGCAGGAGGTAGAGTTGAAAGTTGAACAGCCTGGCAACTTCTGAAGAAGAGCCTCCCCATGGCAGCAAATGCTGTGCCACCAAA